TATCAGTTGCTCACTTGTCATGGGGAAGAGAGTAGCCCCTACCAAACTAACGACTATCCCAAGACTTGAATTGTCGTCAGCTGTGACTTCAGTCCGTAATGGTGATGTCGTCAAAAGAGAGCTCAAGATTGAAAACCTGCAAGAGTGTTACTGGACGGACTCAAAGGTGGTCCTTGGCTACGTGAACAACGACGCCAAGAGGTTTCACACGTTTGTAGCAAACCGGATCCAACGCATGAGATCAAGCACAAACCCTGAACAATGGCGATATGTCAGCTCTGAAAATAACCCAGCCGACTATGCCTCAAGAGGGCTGAGTGCAGTTCAGCTGAAAGAGTCTAACTGGCTGAAAGGACCCGACTTTCTTTGGCAGCGGAGTCTTCCATGTGAAGAGGAAATGGTGGGAGAAGTAGAAACAACCGACCCTGAGCTTCGCAAGGCCCATGTCCACGCATTCAAGACGAAAGAAGTGAATTCAATAGCGAATCGCTTCATTAAGTTTTCTGACTGGTGCAGAGCAGTGAGAGCCATCACCAGGATCCAGAAATTTGTCAGGGAATTCAAAGGACTTCAACCAAGAACAAATGAAGCAACTAGCCTTGAAGAAAGAAGAAAAGCAGAAATCTTCATTATCAAGCTGGTGCAAGAAGAAGCCTTTGCTGAAGACATCCATAAAATCAAGCTCCAGAAAGAACACACCATGAACAAGCGCAACAAGTTACACCAGTTGAATGCCTTCTTGGACAAAAACAATGTCCTCAGGGTGGGAGGACGGCTATCCCAATCAGCATTACACCATGATGTAAAACATCCCGCAATACTTCCGAAGAAATCTCATGTGTCAGCCCTGCTCGTCAAACATCATCATGTGCGTGTACACCACCAAGGAAGAGGCATGACTATGAACGAGTTGCGTGCAAACGGAATATGGATCTTGGGATGCGGAAATGTGGTCTCCTCACACATTTACAAGTGAGCACAATGTAGGAGATACAGAAGAACTACAGAAGTTCAACAAATGGCGGATCTGCCGGGTGAGAGAACAGAGACATCCCCTCCCTTTACTTACTGCGGTCTTGATTGTTTTGGCCCCTTCATCGTAAAGGAAGGAAGAAAGGAATTAAAACGATATGGATTGTTGTTTACCTGCCTATGCTCCAGAGCAGTGCATATTGAAACACTAGACGACTTGACAACAGACGCTTTCATAAATGCACTTCGAATGTTTGTAGCTATCAGAGGACCTGTATGCCAATTGAGATGCGATCGGGGAACACATTTCATGGGTGCTAAAAGAGTGTTGTTTGAGTTGCTCAAGGGAATGGATCAAGAACGTCAACGAGCAATCAGTTGTGAATTCGTTATGAACGTCCCATCAGCAAGTCACATGGGTGGAGTCTGGGAGCGCCAAATTCGAACGATTCGGAGCATTCTGACTAATATGCTCGACAAGTCCGCAAGCAGACTCGACACCACAACTCTGAGAACATTCCTTTATGAAACAATGGCTATAATCAACAGCAGGCCACTAAGTGTTGAACATCTTCACGATCCCAACAGTCCAGAACCTCTCACTCCTAACCACATACTAACTATAAAATCTTCAATTATTCTGCCCCCTCCTGGACAATTCTGCAAAGAAGACCTCTATCTGTGCAAAAGGTGGAGAAGAGTGCAGTTCCTAGCCAATGAATTCTGGCGAAGATGGAAACGAGAAAACCTGCTAAACCTCCAACAATGACAGAAATGGCAAAGAAAATCACGAAACTCACAAGTAGATGATATTGTGATTCTACAAGATGACAGCTCACCAAGAAACAAGTGGAAGCTTGTCAGGGTTGTAGAAGCTCATCCTAGTGCAGACGGCATGGTGCGAAAGCTGAAGCTACTAGTCAGGAAAACCACACACTAGATCAGTCCTCCTTGAAAGGCCTATTCACAAGGTAGTTACCTTACTAGAGGCTAACTAAATCACATACGTTCATCACGTTCATTCAGACTTAAAACATTTTATTCATTATTTTCATAATGTTTGTTTAAAAGAAAATCCCACATTCCAAGTTAATGAGTGATTTGGTGGGAGTGTAAGTGGTGTTACATAGATGCTGTGTTCACGATGCATGATTAATACATAATTCATGGTTTATTTGATGTATTAAATAAATAAATTATTTATTGATGTATAGGTAAGAATTTAAATGTGATGTAACAGGTAAAATTAACGTTAGACCATTGTTTGTGTTTTTATGTTCCATCCCGGAACTAACGTTCTCTGTTGTGTTACTGCTACGGAATTTGTTAATTGACTGTGTGCAATCTAACTTAAGCAGATCTTAGTCTGAGTTATAATTGTTGATGGCAGAGGCCAAGAAAGACAGTAAAGGGACTTTCAAGGGACTTTAAGGATTAAATAACCTATTTTCAGGACAAGCAGCCAACGAGGTATTTTGTTCAACATGTAGAACTATGTTTATATTCGCGCCAAGTGCCATTTGTATTGTCGCGCCGAGCGCCATTTGTATTCTTTTGTTTCAGTACTGTATAATTTATCAACGTTACTGTGTTCATTCAAATATATAGTTCTCACGGCGTGACGTGGATGCATCGGAGAAAGACGTGCAAGGCAATAAACGCCCGTTTCAAGGAACCAACCTGTGTCTGTTGTCGTGAAGAGAGCTACAATTTGTATATGAATTTCTACAATTTATAGTTGGTTTTTTGTGGCTGACTAAAAAGTATTTAGTCAGCCACAAATTGTGCAAGTTCTCCCACTTAAAAAGATGAGAGAGGCCTGTAATTTTCATCATAGGTACACGTCAACTATGACAGACAAATTGAGGAAAAAAAATCCAGAAAATCACATTGTAGGATTTTTAATTAATTAATTTGCAAATTATGGTGGAAAATAAGTATTTGGTCACCTACAAACAAGCAAGATTTCTGGCTCTCACAGACCTGTAACTTCTTCTTTAAGAGGCTCCTCTGTCCTCCACTCGTTACCTGTATTAATGGCACATGTTTGAACTTGTTATCAGTATAAAAGACACCTGTCCACAACCTCAAACAGTCACACTCCAAACTCCACTATGGCCAAGACCAAAGAGCTGTCAAAGGACACCAGAAACACAATTGTAGACCTGCACCAGGCTGGGAAGACTGAATCTGCAATAGGTAAGCAGCTTGGTTTGAAGAAATCAACTGTGGGAGCAATTATTAGGAAATGGAAGACATTCAAGACCACTGATAATCTCCCTCGTTCTGGGGCTCCACGCAAGATCTCACCCCGTGGGGTCAAAATGATCACAAGAACGGTGAGCAAAAATCCCAGAACCACACGGGGGGACCTAGTGAATGACCTGCAGAGAGCTGGGACCAAAGTAACAAAGCCTACCATCAGTAACACACTACGCCGCCAGGGACTCAAATCCTGCAGTGCCAGACGTGTCCCCCTGCTTAAGCCAGTACATGTCCAGGCCCGTCTGAAGTTTGCTAGAGTGCATTTGGATGATCCAGAAGAGGATTGGGAGAATGTCATATGGTCAGATGAAACCAAAATAGAACTTTTTGGTAAAAACTCAACTCGTCGTGTTTGGAGGACAAAGAATGCTGAGTTGCATCCAAAGAACACCATACCTACTGTGAAGCATGGGGGTGGAAACATCATGCTTTGGGGCTGTTTTTCTGCAAAGGGAACAGGACGACTGATCCGTGTGATGGAAAGAATGAATGGGGCCATGTATCGTGAGATTTTGAGTGAAAACCTCCTTCCATCAGCAAGGGCATTGAAGATGAAACGTGGCTGGATCTTTCAGCATGACAATGATCCCAAACACACCGCCCGGGCAACGATGGAGTGGCTTCGTAAGAAGCATTTCAAGGTCCTGGAGTGGCCTAGCCAGTCTCCAGATCTCAACCCCATAGAAAATCTTTGGAGGGAGTTGAAAGTCTGTGTTGCCCAGCGACAGCCCCAAAACATCACTGCTCTAGAGGAGATCTGCATGGAGGAATGGGCCAAAATACCAGCAACGGTGTGTGAAAACCTTGTGAAGACTTACAGAAAACGTTTGACCTGTGTCATTGCCAACAAAGGGTATATAACAAAGTATTGAGAAACTTTTGTTATTGACCAAATACTTATTTTCCACCATAATTTGCTAATAAATTCATAAAAAATCCTACAATGTGATTTTCTGGATTTATTTTTCTCATTTTGTCTGTCATAGTTGACGTGTACCTATGATGAAAATCCTGAGAGGCCTCTCTCATCTTTTTAAGTGGGAGAACTTGCACAATTGGTGGCTGACTAAATACTTTTTTTCCCCACTGTACATTGTGTAATTTCCTAACCAGCCCCATAGGGATATCTTATGTCAAACCAAATGACCATGGGCATTATGATCCGGTTGTGTACAGCTGCGCTCTGAATTGATGATTATTTGGGTGCTGCCAGCTGTGGGCATGTGGGCAGGATTGAAATAAACCCAGCCCAAGGAAAACTGTTACGGTGCCCTCCATTCAGTGACATACCATTTTTTTTCCTATCATCTCGTAAATCTCTGTTTTGGACGAGACTGACTTTATGACCAAAGTTATCCTATTTACACTTTGTAGTAAATTTTGACACTAGAATAAATGTTTCTGACTAATATCGATGCCACAGAGGCAGTTTTTCCAAATTAGAAGTTGCTTTTTAGGGGCAGTCGCTCTTTAATAAGGCTTGGCAATAATAATGTTATTCACCTCAGTTGCATGCTCAATACGTCAATCAGATGTGAATGAAACGATTTCATTTAACACCGCTGTCCATCAACATTTGTAATTAAGCGCTGAGCTACAGTAAACCATACAGAAAAAGTAAGCAGATCTCTAGGGCTACTGGGCTACAGACCACCCGCTAATGTATTTCTGTAATCTGCTGATTTCAAGTGGGCTTCACAGGACCAGGGCTATTGCTGCAGCAGCCTGTAGGTGGTGTCATTGTGGATGGTTGAGGGGGAGTATTACTCACGCAGACAGATGTTTCTGTGGAACATGTGCAGGATATGCAGACAGTCCTGCCACAGGTTCCCACTTCCCTCACAGCTGCACCACTGGGACACGTCCATACTGAGATTGTTTGCGTAGTTGGGGGTCATGATGGTGCCTGGTTCACACAGACACACACAGGAGCAGGTTGGGTTCATAGAGATGTGTCAGCAGACCTGATTTCAATACGAACTGGGAGCGTTTGATGAAAAGCCAAACAAGCCAATTGGCAATGAAATGAGTGCCTACCTACACCTTGGGGTTAGCAAAAGCTAACAACAATGACCTGATTAAAAGGCCCTTGGAGTCAACTCAGCACTCCTTCTCTAACATTGTTCCTTCCTTGTGTTGTTAATCCCTCTTCCATCCCCTCTTCCCTTTCTCTCTCCAGCTCACCTATGAGTCCTGCGTAGGCCTTAAGGCAGACGGCTCCACTCTCTCTCATGCAGCCAGAGGGAGAGTGGGATGAGGGCTGGCAGTTGTGCTGGAAATCAGCCAGACGAGATCTGATAGACATACACACCAACACACACATTCACACAAACACACACCCATACACAAACACACAAAGGGAGAAAAACATCATTGTAAACAGGTGCCAATCCTGGGTTGGCAACTTGGCAGTGTACATTTCTGAGGGCGTCTTTACAATTATGTTTTTTGGATTCAGTACCTAGCGAAACGCAGAATCCGTAGCACATGAAAGCATACAGAAAGAGAACCTTCCAGCTTGGAATTGTGTAAGCATCCGAAACATGAGACTCGAGGTGCTGCAATATTATTCTGAATATTCGATTTTTCCTGTATATATATAATATTTTCTGAATATTGACTTGATAAGAACACTGGAACATAGCGCCTGCTAGTCAAACCCAGTTGTGTATTCATAATTCCAATGTAGGTCACATTAACACCTCTCACCTGCTCCACAGACATACTCATCCATACAAAACACCACTGAGCAGCCAGTGGAATAAAAACACTGCAGCCTGTGTCAGAGTCGTCACAGAGCCTTATCGACATATCATTAGTCCTTATTATTATGGATGTTATCAACGTTATCAATGATGAAGATTAGTGAACAACCTCTTCTCTGTAGGGAAGTCAAACCTTGGAACTATTTGTACTGTAACTATTTATCTGAACCTCTTGCACTGAGAGGATTGCAAATGTTCAAATGGTTGATGAAATAGGTACATCCAGTCCTCTCCACCTCTGCCTCTCTAACATTACGCTAGTTATGAATCTTTGCATTGTGATTATAACTGTTAATGTGCCTTGATAGAGGACTTAATGTGGAGTGGAAAAGTTTAGCCTGATGTCACACCTCCCAGAAACCATGTTCCCCAGCCAGCTCAGCTCACCTACACAGCTCATCCCTGGCACAGTAGCCCTGCAGGCTGAGGCAGTTGGGTTTGCCGTCTCTCTCCTCATAGGAACACGACGGTACGATGGTCTTCCGCCGGCGCTCCCCACAGAGAGCATCGGAGCAGGGACAGAATAGCAGGGCGAAGCTGTACTCCTCTGGTACCCGCTCCAGGAAGCGACGCAGCGCCCGGTGGCACTTCTGTCTGTTACAGCTGCCGTCGGAGCCCGGAGCCCGCTTGGTGCAGGCCACAACATACTCCGACCTCAGAGAACCACACTTCTCATACAGACCACAGTCCTGGGCTGCTTTCAGACACTGGTTCTGTCCATCCAGAGGCAGAGAGGAGGCTGGGATGAGAGGGAGGAGTGGTAGGGTGAGGAGAGGAAGAAAACAGAGAGAAGAATGGAGGAAGGTGGGGTTTTGGGAAAAGGGGCAATGAATAAGAGAGAAAGGAAGACAAAATCATAAAAGACATGATTCTGGACATCCCAGACTGTCATAGTCATTATTATGCTCCAATAAGAGCGAGCTGTGTAGTGACGGGAGTGGAGCAGTACCTGCCATGATAGAGGCCATGCGTGACATCTCTATGTGCCTCACAAACTCCACCTCCAGATCCTCATACGGAGACACCTCGTACTCATCATACACTGCAGCAACAACACAGAGACATTCAAGAGAAAAACATCTCACACACACACACAGATAAAATGAAACACATAAAAAGACAAAAAAAACACACAAACAGTGAAACTCACCAGCGAATCTGACGGTCCAGTAGACCCTGAGGCAGAGCTCCTCCCGGCGGGAGCCGCGCTGGCACTTGCAGGCCTGGAGGGGCCCATACTGCTGCAGGGCGCTCTGGGCCTCCAGACACTCCCCCCGGGCATCTGGGCCCAGGGGCGACACGGCCTCCTCAGCAGCACAGTACTCCAGCACCCTGTACACCCCCATGCAGCCCTGATCCTGCACACAGCCTCGCTCAGCCTCCTGACAGTCTATGGAGCCTGCCAGCACGCTGCCTGGAAGAGGTGGAGGATTGGGAACATGATTATAATTGGTCACCTGTGGTCCTGACCGGCTATTTTTACAGTTTAAGAATCGTTCTGTGGGTTAGCACCTGTTTGACAAAGAGCGTCAGTGCTTATTTGGTGAAAAGCAAGAGCCTCATGTCAGAGGTGGAGTCGAGTGACAGTGTACATAACACTTCAGAGTATTGATTATGTTCTGTGAAGAACTGTGAAGAACTGGCAGCCCCATCAGTTGTCAGGATAAAGGCCAGGCAGAATCACAGACTGAAGAGGTTAAGTAAAAGAGTGGTTAGCAATGTTGTTTAATTTACAACTGTCAATTTTCAGTTTTAAGGGGAACTTCAATTCAGCTCATTCGTGGTAGCATTGAAATAGTTTTTGGCAAGTGGCAAATGCAGCTATTTCCCAGATGGTTTTAAGTGTCCGTCTACAAATGGGATCCGGATTTGCAGCTATATCCCCATTAAACATGTTTGTTATTCAGACTCTTTCTCTCTCTTGCTCACACCCACACATACTTGCAAACAAACAAACATAATGTATATGCCTATAGGCCCACATACAACCACACTCCTATACACACACACACACACACACACACACACACACGCGCGCGCACTAAGGGGCATCCTGATTAAATCGTCACACGCTTCAATTTAGCCCATGCTGGCTGGGAGCGCACAGCACAGCTGAAATCAAATTCCAGTGGCGCGTGGTTACAATCACAAACGCCCCATGAGGTCCACATCTCAATCTGGCAGGGGACACATCAAAAACAGAGTGATACGGTCCGTCAACGTAGGCAGGGGACCCTAGCAGACGAGACTGGCAAGGGAAGCACAAAAACTCTGGAGCTCCCAGCAAGATTCAGGACAATGAGCCATATAACGTTATATGGTAATGAGATGAAGTATAACGGATCACATTAATGACACCAAGTACTTAAATACATTCATATTAAACTAACTGCAAAATATGCATTTTTATGAACATCTACAACGCCATATACATCCTAATTAAGCATATTCAATTGAATAACCACATGCATTCTAAGCTCATTTGATAGGTTGGGGAATATGGAGTCCTATGGGGAAGCCAGCATGTTCATACAGATAAGAGCGCTGCCTTTATCAAAGTCCTCTGGTTACAGAGAGAAGTTATAGAATTGATTGAAATGTGAAGAACAATAATTCCCAAAGAGTTTAACTCGTCAATTTGGAGAAGACATTGTTATTGTTGTCTTTTAGCTACCGCCATGTTCATGTCTCCTAGAAAAGTGTGGTGGATGAGGAGTATTAGGAGATGTGGCACACACACACACACACACACACACACATACACACACACACACACAATGACACCTCATAATAAAGTCATATCACAGAAAAGCAGGCGGGGCCCCTGGCTTAGGTTGTGCAATTAAACAGCCTGCCAGTGATCTCCATTACGGACAGTGGTTTGTTCATTACTCTCCACTCCAGCATGGCTGACCAGGACCAAGATAGACACCATCAGCAACTTTTGTTTCAGAGGGCCTATCTTAATACACAAACAACATCATTAGAACCCATGTCAGGTACAGACCAGCTCGGTTAAATCTTGTCAGGCAGTGAAGTCATAATTACGGTAATGTCTTGAGCATTCTTTATAGACACGATGATGAACAGTCGCCACGCTACATTGAGCAGTTTCACTGACGACAAAATGGGTGGAGGGAGGGAGGGGTGTGATTGGTGGAGGGAGGGAGGGGTGTGATGGGGGGGTGGAGGGAGGGAGGGGTGTGATGGGTGGGAGGGGGGGGGGAGGGGTGTGATGGGTGGAGGGGGGAGGGGTGTGATGGGTAGAGGGGGGGAGGGGTGTGTGATGGGTGGAGGGAGGGAGGGGTGTGATTGGTGGAGGGAGGGGGGGTGTGATGGGTGGAGGGAGGGAGGGGGTGTGATTGGTGGAGGGGAGGGAGGGAGGGGGTGATTGGTGGAGGGAGGGAGGGTGTGTGATGGGTGGAGGGAGGGAGGGGTGTGTGGAGGGGGGGAGGGGGAGGGAGGAGGGTGTGATTGGGGGAGGGAGGGGTGTGTGTGGGGGGAGGGAGGGAGGGAGGGGAGGGGGTGGTGATTGGTGGAGGGAGGGAGGGAGGGAGGGAGGGGGGGTGATGGGTGGAGGGAGGGAGGGGGTGTGATGGGTGGAGGGAGGGAGGGAGGAGGTGGGAGGGGGTTGATTGGTGGAGGGCAGGAGGGCAGGAGGGGGTATTGGTGGAGGGAGGGAGGGATGTGATGGGTGGAGGGAGGGAGGGATGTGATGGGTGGAGGGAGGGAGGGAGGGAGGGGTGTGATTGGTGGAGGGCGGGAGGGGTGTGATTGGTGGAGGGAGGGAGGGAGGGGTGTGATTGGTGGAGGGAGGGAGGGAGGGGTAAAAGGAAAGGACTGAACATCTTAAGAGTGAGGAGGAGAGATGAATACCTGTGATATGTAAGGCTTAATGCGCTCTATTGATTTCTCAGTGGGGCGAGTTATAGAATTTGTGAGGCAAAGCTGATGGCTTTCTAGCTCAGTGACCCGCTTGAGGTTAATGTCATAAGAGCAGCCACAAACCACATATCAACACACACACAGACTCACACACACACTGTTCCACATCATTTAAAGTACACACACATTTATTTATTCATCCATTCTCACCCATACACAATAAGTTAAACACACAAAACCCCTACACTGCCTAGTCACAAAGATAAGAATCACACAAAGTGAGTAGTTCTGCAACCCGTGAATTCCACCATCTAGCTTCTCTCGTCTACAACAATTCCTTAGAGGCGTTTTGGTAACCATTTCGGAAACATGGAAACGCTGGAGGAGTTTCAGGATCTAATACGCTCAGTGCTCACCCAGGGCACATCAGCCTTGTTTTACTGAGGTAATTGAGGGTTGATTATTGGATAATAACTGCTACAAACATAGTGTGAAAGAGAAACAAAATGAAATAAATTCGCTCAACCTCAGTGAACTCTGTAAAGTGGTGATGATGACAGACATGTTGGGTGGGTCCACTTCAGAGGTTCCCACTCCTGGGGTTTACATACCACAGAGCTACAAGGTGGGCCCAGTATAATGTTTCAAAAACAACTCCTTGCCATGGGGAAAGACATAGAAATACAATAATGAGCAGAACAAGCAGTACCTCCTCTTATAGCAAGCTTTCAAATATCTAGGGTGTTGAGTTCTTTTGTTTCAAAAAGAAAAGCCAAGTTATTAAACCTGTACAGCCTGTACACATATACAAAAGGTAGATCGTTTTGTCATTTTGACCTAAACCATAAGTACGATGAAATATTAATGAATGGAGAAAAAAAAAAGAAACAGCGTCCTGAAATCACTGATCATTATTTATATTTTACAGGCAAAGCCAAGATGGCCTATTTACTTATTCACAGCGACAAAACAAAGATGGAAGGATGAAGATAAGAGAGATAGAGATAAGAGAAAGGGTAAAAGGATAATCACTCCTTTACTTTGTGTTCCTAACGGTCTAAAAAAAGGGAGGACATATGCAATGATTAGTCAGATGGAAATAAACATGAAAATACATGTCATCTACTGGGATTTGTGGACGTTTGTCTTGTGCTCTTGTAAGTGTTATACATACAAGACTTGTAGTTTGAATAAGACTGGCCAAGACATGTACAGCGGTCCTTGATAGGGCAGGGAATGAGGGGTGCATCTTGTGGGGGGGCCATACAAATTTGATGAACACAGCCAAATACTGGCACATACTCACCTAGGCCTAAGCTGTGAGCTGTGTGTGATGTGCACAAATACATACACGCAAAGAGGGCAAAACATCTCTCAGAAAACACCTGACATAGATGCACAAACACATACAAATGCAAGACACACACACACACAGGGCACACAGAGAGACACACACACCCACCCACTCTGGGCTACCCTCCCAAGCATGGATAGAGCTCTGTGCCATCTGCTCCTGGAGACTGACAGTGTGTTCCAAATCAAGGTTATCAACAAAATACACACGCAAACGTTCTCTATATCGACTGACTGACTGACTGCCTGACTGCCTCACTGTATGTCTTTTTCTCTCTACTGGTTAAGTCGTTTTCAAACATCTGCGTTTATTGGTTTTACACATCATGTCAACATTACTGCCAGCTGCCACCCAGTTTGTGACTCAGTGGTGTCCAAGAAGTCTCCGATGGCACTCTTTAAAGGCGACATCATTCTGTGTATCAATCTCCAAAGATTAGTGCATATTGTACATGGTTCCTGGTAGCGGGCAGTGAAGTAATCGTATCACAGTGTGTGCGTGTGCCCCATCAAACCAAGATTTTCCATGTCCTGTCTGCGATAGACAAAGGGGTTTACGGATAGGATGTTTTGTCACTACGGCTGCGTTTAGACAGGCAGCCCAATTCTGATGTTTTTTAACTAATTGGTCTTTTGACCAATCAGATCAGCTCAGAAAAATATCTAATGTTAAAAGAGCTGATGTGATTGGTGAAAAGACCAATTAGTGGAAAGAATATCAGAATTGGCATGCCTGTGTGAATGCAGCCAAAGGAGCTCACAGATTACTGTTTAACAACAACAATAAATATATACAAACAAAGGAAGTCCTCATCGGATACGATGGACTAACATAAGCATCAACAACAGCAGCAGTGTGTCCACTTTATTCTGTAACAGGTTTGACTTTTAGAGATATTGACAAGACACACTTACAGTATGTTGTTGTGGTGTTATTCTGGCGGTGTACTGAGGTGGTAGTGTTGTCGTGGCATTATTCTGACGGTGTACTGAGGTGGTAGTGTTGTCGTTGCATTATTCTGACGGTGTACTGAGGTGGTAGTGTTGTCGTGGCATAATTCTGACAGTGTACTGAGGTGGTAGTGTTGTCGTGGTGTTATTCTGACTGTGTACTGAGGTGGTAGTGTTGTTGTGGCATTATTCTGACAGTGTACTGAGGTGGTAGTGTTGTCGTGGCGTTATTCTGACTGTGTACTGAGGTGGTAGAGTTGTTGTGGTGTTATTCTGACTGTGTACTGAGGTGATAGTGTTGTCATGGTGTTATTCTGACTGTGTACTGAGGTGGTAGTGTTGTCGTGGCGTTATACTGACTGTGTACTGAGGTGGTAGTGTTGTCGTGGTGTTATTCTGACTGTGTACTGAGGTGGTAGTGTTGTTGTGGCGTTATTCTGACTGTGTACTGAGGTGGTAGTGTTGTCGTGCCGTTATTCTGACTGTGTACTGAGGTGGTAGTGTTGTCTTGCTGTTATTCTGATGGTGTACTGAGGTGGTAGTGTTATTGTGGCGTTATTCTGACTGTGTACTGAAGTGGTAGTGTTGTCATGGCGTTTTTCTGGCTGTGTACTGAGGTGATAGTGTTGTTGTGGTGTTATTCTGACTCTGTACTGAGGTGGTAGTGTTGTCATGGCGTTCTTCTGACTGTGTACTGGGGTGGTAGTGTTGTTGTGGTGTTATTCTGACTGTGTACTGAGGTGGTAGTGTTGTCATGGCGTTATCTGACTGTACTGAGGTGGTAGTGTTGTCGTGGAGTTATTCTGACTGTGTACTGGGTTGTTAGTGTTGTTGTGGTGTTATTCTGACTATGTACTGAGGTGGTAGTGTTGTTGTTGTGTTATTCTGACTGTGTACTGAGGTGGTAGTGTTGTCGTGGTGTTATTCTGACTGTGTACTGAGGTGGTAGTGTTGTCGTGGTGTTATTCTGACTGTGTACTGAGGTGGAAGTGTTGTCGTGGTGTTATTCTGACTGTGTACTGAGGTGGTAGTGTTGTCGTGCCGTTATTCTGACTGTGTACTGAGGTGGTAGTGTTGTCGTGGAGTTATTCTGACTGTGTACTGAGGTGGTAGTGTTGTCGTGGCGTTATTCTGACTGTGTACTGAGGTGGTAGTGTTGTTGTGGTGTTATTCTGACTGTGTACTGAGGTGGTAGTGTTGTTGTGGTATTATTCTGACTGTGTACTGAGGTGGTAGTGTTGTTGTCGTGTTATTCTGACTGTGTACTGAGGTAGTAGTGTTGTTGTCGTGTTATTCTGACTGTGTACTGAGGTGGTAGTGTTGTTGTCGTGTTATTCTGACTGTGTACTGAGGTGGTAGTGTTGTTGTTGTGTTATTCTGACTGTGTACTGAGGTGGTAGTGTTGTTGTCGTGTTATTATGACTGTGTACTGAGGTGGTAGTGTTGTCGTGGTGTTATTCTGACTGTGTACTGAGGTGGTAGTATTGTTGTGGTGTTATTCTGACTATGTACTGAGGTGGTAGTGTTGTTGTCGTGTTTTATCTCGACTGTGTACTGAGGTGGTAGTGTTGTTGTGGTGTTATTCTGACTGTGTACTGAGGTGGTAGTGTTGTTGTTGTGTTATTCTGACTGTGTACTGAGGTGGTAGTGTTGTTGTCGTGTTATTCTGACTGTGTACTGAGGTGGTAGTGTTGTCGTGGTGTTATTCTGACTGTGTACTGTGGTGGTAGTGTTGTCGTGGCCTTATTCAGTGTACTTTTATTGAACCTTCATCTTGACAGGGAGTCAATGATAGTAATACTACATTATGTATGTCCCTTGTCATATAATTCGTAGGTACCAGACAGGGATAGAAATGGGCATCATAGTGAAACAGCCAGGGTTAACTCTACACTGCAGCTGAGGGGTCTGAACCATTCTGAATAATGCTCAGACACCGATGCCAAATGGCCGTCTGTCAATCTCTGATCCATTAAAACAAGTGTAAAGACGATTGAATCCTCCAGTGTCATTACATTGAGTCCAAATCTTCACAGTGACCTAAGGTTGTTTTTACTATTTGCAGTCCTTGCTATATGGACAACTACTTGCCCCTATATGAGTTGCTAGGCAGAGGCACACAGTTTTTCCTATTTTGTTTGGTCCGGTAACTCACATTTTGTTGGAGGGATTCTAAATTTGATTCAAGTTTGATCTGATGATCAGACTATGGTTCATTGTTCAAGACAACATTTAATTATTCCAAGACAAACGTCCTGAACAAACACAGCAATTTGAATACTCTGATTGAAATATGTGAATGTTGAAGGGATCTGATTTATGATGATTGATTGGGTCATTACAATGTATTCTTCACAGGGCTATATTAATAGCCACAATCGAAACGATCAGTCTGGCAAGAGCCTGAACACTATTTTCAACTTGTACTGTATTAGCGGCTGGTGTGATAGCAGGGCTACAAAATAAGTCAGTGTTGGGGTGGCAGGTAACGTAGCGGTTAAGAGCCAGTAACCGAAAGGTTACTGGTTCAAATCCCCAAGGTAGAAAAATCTGCCGTTCTACCCTTGAGCAAGGCAGTTAACCCCAACAACTGCTTCCTGGGAGCCGATGATGTGGACATCGATTAAGACAGCCCCTTGCACCTCTCCGATTTTGGTTGAATGCATTATGTCGTGCAACTGACTAGGTATCACCTTTACCTTTAAGTCACAATACAATAAGAGCAGGCCTCTCATGTCAGAATGCAGTTAAATTGTTTTATAGGGGTTTTCTTATTACCAGCCTTCTAGCTCACACCTTTGTGATAATTTGCCTTGGAAGAGCAGGCCAGTGCTTTTTCCAATAACATCACAATTAACTAGGGTAGGTACATGATGTTGATATCCAGCTGGATCAGTAAAACAACGTCATGAAAACAAGACATAAAAGCATTGTAAAACTGTTAAAGGAAGAGGCAGAACACGTGTTCCTGTCTGGTCGTGTAAGTATAAGAGCAGGATAAGACCTTCAAAATGATGTCATGGAGCTATGGTCATAACTATATCTATAACCATAGATCACCCCTCCTCATGCTCTCACATGCCTTGATTTAAGTGCTTCAGTTTCAGGCACAAAGTCTTGGTATGAAAGATTATAACATTTTATAGGACCATCAATTAAATATATGGCTCATTTGTCAGCAATAGAAAGAGAGGATACATATATGAGTTTCCTAGACATGGAATATGCTATATTAAAATGAGCACAATAATGGAATTTTGTATAGGCATCATGAACTTGGAACTAAGGACAACACTGCATGCAATTCTTAAGTGACTTGCAATTTCATTTAAAAAACATGAAACACTTATCCATATTGCTCCTAAAAAGATTATTAGAAAGCTTATTGATGTTAAAAAATACAACGGGCAACTGGACTGAAGTTAAATTGATATTGGTTTAGATACGACTAATAATCGGCCTAGCCTACTGTAAATTATTCATATTGTCTTATTATAAAGGATTGTCAATATTCTAGCCAGGCCTACATTGTTAAAAAGTCAAGTAAAAGCATTGTAGCCTATTTAACTTTTTGTCTCATCCAATGAGTGCTTTCTTAACCAATGACCTGCTACATTTAGAAATAGAAGCACCGCTAATATGATCGCTGGAGATCCCTTAGAAAAAATAAGTCCCCTGACCGACTGTCCGTCGGTTGAACCCTTATATTCGAAAGTGACAGACAACCAGAAATGTTGTTAAAGGCTTTTACAGCGTTACAGTTTATGAGAGACTGGATTTTCTCAACTAGGTGGTACATTGAAGTGCAAAATGCGCTGGCTAATATTTCTTCACTTCAGAATATACTAGTACAAGATGGAGAAAAATTACTATTAGTGGCTGAGTGTGTCGAATTTCGCTTACCATGACTGAGGACATTCATAAGTATTCCAAGGACAATCATCATGCACGGCATCAGGTAAGAGAGGTCGGGAGTTGGGGACTTCGTAGAGGCACTTGGTCCTCGCGCTCACTGACCCACCGCCTGCAACATCCAGCCACACCGCGTATGTCCCAGGTTCGACTGAGACAAGGTAGCGGATACTTGCAAATGTGTGACAATTCCGAAACCTGTACTCGCACGAATGCAGTAATTGCAGTTGTCGCGTTTTTTTTTCTTTTTCAAAGAGAGGGTTGGCAGTAAAATAAATTACATGTATATTTTGATTAGCCTGCAGTGGTCAAGAATACTCCAAATACACTGCAAGCGTTCCGCGGTCACCACCAATTTAGAAAAATGTCGCTCCAAAGTTTCCAGATGCTGTCAAGCGACACGGAGGCCAGTCCACTTGAATTAGTTTTGAATAATTCTCAATTTCACTTATGTCGACTTGCGTCGTCGGTCCTTAGTTGCGCTTGCAAGAGTTGAAAATGGAATAGTCAGACTGCATGGAGCATCTCAAACACCAAGCAGTGTTGCGATTGGCCCCGGAGTAAATGTAATACACAGACAGAAAATGAGTGCATAGCCATACCACGATGTGCAGCCTGGTCTCATAGACTAGACGTAATAAAGTAAATGTAAATCCGGGATAACAAATTTGTATGATAAGTCTGGTTGTTGGACAGGGTGGGCATATAACGGGAACGTCTAGCAACCCAAAGGTTGCGATTTCGAATCTCATCACAGACAACTTTAGCATTTTAGCAAATGTTCAACTACGTACTACTTTTTAGCTACTTTGCAACTACTTAGCATGTTAGCAAACTCTTCCCCTAACACTAACTATTTTAGCTAACCCTTCCCCTCACCTTAACCCTAACCTTAACCCCTAGCCTAGCTAGCTATCATTAGCCACCTAGCTAGAATTTGTAACATATCATATGATTGTACGTTTCGCAAATTCGTAACATATAATACAACTTGTAATTCGTAACATATCATACGAAATAGGTGATGGACACCCACAAATTAATAGATACCATCCTAAACATATCATACTAAATGGAACGTCTCAATTTACGTACAGAATAATACAAAATGCTCTGAGACCAGGTTGCAACGTGATGCACAATGATGCTGCAGGCCTCTGTGTGTGTTTACTTAAAATAAAGCTACTCATTTAGTTATAACTGTAATTACACTAGAGGAAAACAGATGTACCTGCATACTTCAGAGAGGATGGAGTAGGCTACATATGTGCTTCAGCATGATTAGCTGGAATTATTTTATTTTTTCATCCGACCACAGGCCTCAGTCATGCATGCATATTGTGTACAGTATGTTTAAAAAAATGAAAATGAAAATATGACAAATCGCAAACCAGTGCCTGGAAAACTAATTGCCGGAAAAATACATGTTTATTACACCTCAAATGTACACCTCGCACACACACACACACACTGACTGAAGAACATGATTCTCACACAATTCAAATACTTCCAGACTGAGAGACTACACAGGGTCGTTCCATGTCATTTCAGTAAGCCATGACACCCACCATCTCAGATTGTTCTGAAATCGTTGCTGTAGTTAGAAACAGATAAGCATTCCGGAAAAATTATTTTGTTGAAATATAATTTGATCTGAGAAAGTAAGCTAATTGATTGCACCCAAATTGGCCATTTTAATTTATAGGATTCATATAATATTCAATAATGATAGTCCCTAACATCCAATTTGGACTAAACATTTTTTTAACAATGAGTTAGACATGAGGAATCCAAAGAAATTGTCAAAAGCAATCCACGACCCCCCACACCAATCCCACCCAAACAACGAGTATATACAGTGAGGGAAAAAAGTATTTGATCCCCTGCTGATTTTGTACGTTTGCCCACTGACAAAGAAATGATCAGCCTATCATTTTAATGGTAGGTTTATTTGAACAGTGAGAGACAGAATAACAACAAAAAAATCCAGAAAAATTCATGTAAAAAATGTTGTAAATTGATTTGCATTTTAATGAGGGAAATAAGTATTTGACCCCTCTGCAAAACATGACTTAGTACTTGGTGGCAAAACCCTTGTTGGCAATCACAGAGGTCAGACGTTTCTTGTAGTTGGCCACCAGGTTTGCACACATCTCAGGAGGGATTTTGTTCCACTCCTCTTTGCAGATCTTCTCCAGATCTTCTCCACTTCTCTTGGCATCTCGAACCTTCGGCTCCCTCCACAGATTTTCTATGGGATTAAGGTCTGGAGACTGGCTAGGCCACTCCAGGACCTTAATGTGCTTCTTCTTGTGCCACTCCTTTGTTGCCTTGGCCGTGTGTTTTGGGTCATTGTCATGCTGGAATACCCATCCACGACCCATTTTCAATGCCCTGGCTGAGGGAAGGAGGTTCTCACCCAAGATTTGATGGTACATGGCCCCGTCCATCATCGCTTTAATGCGGTGAAGTTGTCCTGTCCCCTTAGCAGAAAAACACCCCCAAAGCATAATGTTTCCACCTCCATGTTTGACGGTGGGGATGGTGTTCTTGGGGTCATAGGCAGCATTCCTCCTCCTCCAAACATGGCGAGTTGAGTTGATGCCAAAGAGCTTGATTTTGGTCTCATCTGACCACAACACTTTAACCCAGTTCTCCTGTGAATCATTCAGATGTTCATTGGCAAACTTCAGATGGCCCTGTATATGTGCTTTCTTGAGCAGGGGGACCTTGCGGGCGCTGCAGGATTTCAGTCCTTCACGGCGTAGTGTGTTACCTATTGTTTTCTTGGTGACTATGGTCCCAGCTGCCTTGAGATCATTGACAAGATCCTCCCGTGTAGTTCTGGGCTGATTCCTCACCGTTCTCATGATCATTGCAACTCCATGAGGTGAGATCTTGCATGGAGCCCCAGGCCGAGGGAGATTGACAGTTCTTTTGTGTTTCTTCCATTTGCGAATAATCGCACCAACTGTTGTCACCTTCTCACCAAGCTGCTTGGCGATGGTCTTGTAGCCCATTCATTGTGTAGGTCTACAATCTTGTCCCTGACATCCTTGGAGAGCTCTTTGGTCTTGGCCATGGTGAAGAGTTTGGAATCTGATTGATTGATTGCTTTTGTGGACAGGTGTCTTTTATACAGGTAACAAGCTGAGATTAGGAGCACTCCCTTTAAGAGTGTGCTCCTAATCTCAGTTCGTTACCTGTATAAAAGACACCTGGGAGCCAGAAATCTTTCTGATTGAGAGGGGGTCAAATACTTATTTCCCTAATTAAAATGCAAATCAATTTACAAAATTTTTGACATGCGATTTTCTGGATTTTTTTGTTGTTATTCTGTCTCTCACTGTTCAAATAAACCTACCATTAAAATTATAGACTGATCATTTCTTTGTCAGTGGGCAAACTTACAAAATCAGCAGGGGATCAAATACTTTTTTCCCTCACTGTAGTATCAGTTCTCTATGTTTGACAAGTTTATAGTAAAATCTTACATATGGGGCGGTTACAATTATTACACACAATGGCCTTCTCTACTGAAATTTAATTTGACCCTGCAGCTAATAACTGGACTCCAAAAACTAGCAAATTGTAGTCAGCTATGAGGTTGGATTTCCTCTCACTGTTAGCAGTTGAGCTTTTCACCTGGGATTCCTGCATATTGTGCTGATGGACAATAACTCATCTCTCCATCACCGCCACACCAATAACACCACTTAAATAAGATGGAATGGATCATTTCACTTTCCCTACTGCTCTATTCTGGACTGCAGGGCCTGTGGAGCAGGGATTAAGCAACTCTCAAAATCCATTGGCTCAGTGGAACTCAGCCTGTATATTCCAAACATTTCACTATGCCAGAAAGCACTATTAGACAGACAGTCATGGTAGCCTACAGGATGATTTTTTTGAGCAGGTGGCTTTCGAAAGCTGCATCTTGAGACCCCCACTTGGACATAAAGGTTGATAACGTGATTTCTTCATTCACAATCCTTTCCACCAATATCCTCATCTCCCCACTCAAAATGGCCTGTCCTCTCACTGCCTAGCCTGGGACTCGGAGTTGTTGTTGCCAGTGACTTTTGGCTGCAATCAGGGATCTGAGTATGTAGGCAGCCCCATAAGTGGCATTAAAAACCCACATAAAGCTCTGACTGCCAAAAGGTCATCAACTGCAACAGCCAGCACCACTTCATTCCTCCTGGGACAGGTCTGAAGTCTGAACCACAGCCATTCCCACCCTATCCCCTTTCAGCATAGCCGGATCCCACTTTCTGGGCCTGTGAAATCCCACAGTTCCGCATTACAGCTGCTGTGCAGAGAAGAGGGGGAGGGACTTTTTTAACAGAGGGGCATAGAGTTAACCCAGCTGTGTTGGAGGAGGAATCACAGCTGCAAACTAGACACACCTGCAGCACTGGCAGGGAGGGATCAGGACTAAGCATGTTCACACAACAAAGCCTCTTCAAAAATACCACTCAAGATTTTTCTCCTTCATTATGTTTTGATTTCTACTGTCAAGGGACCATTTCATATGATACCCATTCAAATAGTTACATTTTGTTGTGTGTTTTTTAATTATACATCTCATCGTTAATGCAGCAATTCATTTGCAACTACCTGACAAATCAAAACATTAAAACTGAGTTATTTAACAAATATTCAACCTAAACTCCAAGGTCATTCACTCTGGTAAAAAAACAAACAGTGTTATTCTTAACAGTTAAAATAAAGTCATGATTCCCATTCCCAATAATAATACAAATATACATCCATGATTTACACTGGAAATAATGCCACCCTTTTCTGCTCTACAGTGTGGAAATGACATTAAAGCAATTTCAAAAGCTGAAAAATTAAAGCCATTAACCTGTGGACTCTACTGTAATTAAAAGATACTACAGTGACATTAGTGGATTACACATCCTGTTCAACTGGCAGGCATTAATGAATATGAGTGGACAGTGTTGTTATTATTCATGGACATCCAAACAAAATAGACAAAACTAGGCAGCAGTGAACATCACCATTATGCATAGTTTCCATGGCAGCATATGAAAAATATTATATTTGGAAAGGTATCAAACACAACAAAAGGTCAATTTGTTATCACATAGTACAGTAGGTTCTTGTGACTAAGATAATTAAACAGACAATCTCTAGGTCACTGTTTGGAGACGCTGTACGTCTGAGTGGCTGTTCTTCTCCTGGCCTCCTCCCCCCAACGACTGCCTCAGAGTTTGAGTTTGACGAGAGTTTGGATATGGTGGCGTCTGCGGCGCTCCTCGGCCGAGGCTCTGCTGTGTGTGCGGCACCGCAGAAGCTCCTCTCTGTGGTCCTCGTGGTGCATGGGGCAGTAGGACTGGGGCTCACAGTGCTCCTGACAGACACACACAGACAGAGGAGACCAGGGGAGTGAGAAATAAACTGACTACAGCCTAGCCCAAAGACCACAGTCTATTTGGGTATTGTCAGGTCCATACCTGGTGAGAGTGATAGAAGTCTCTGTAGCCACCCTTCAGGATGTAGAGCTCAGGGTAGTGCAGGGCTGGGTACTCGTTCATACTGCGGTCCACACTGCGCAGGAGGTGACACCTACAGAGTGAGACAGACACTCTCATGAGGGACTTAATCTCAAATGGAATACATGCAGGGAAACCTAATTTCTGGTCAGGAGTCAAAAGCAGATAATAAGCAACCTGCAGATTTTACACACACACACACACAGGAGGAAGTGACTGAAAGGTCTGCATGTCTCACGTTCTGGGTGCTCTTTCAGAGGAGAATTCACAGTGCAGCACTAGCACAAGCCTCTTTTCAGGAGAGTGGGCTTTTAGCCTCTGGGACAGCAGGTGATCCACAGCCTTGTCTGTGTTGGGCAGGCTCAGCGCCCCCTGCAGGTGAAGACAGGGATAACACTACCTCAGAAGAACACACTCAGTACACACTCCACATTGAATTAAAAAATGTCAGCACTGTCCAGGGACTTTATTCTGTTAATCTCTCACCTTAATGTGTCCTCCCTGATACTCATATGGGTAGCGGCAGTCCACCACGACAAAAGACTCAACCAAGCAGCTGAACTTCCCTTCCAGAAGAGCACTCATCTGGGACAATGAGAGAATTCAGTTTGTTGTTGTTGTTGTTGATATAATTGCTCTTCCTGCAAATGTAACATGCACCGTTTGACGCACCATATCTCATTGCACTTACTGTGTGAACCGTGATGTACTTCAAGCCTTGATGTCTCCCTGTCACAGTGGGTAGGGCATGCACCTAAAAATGCAACAGTCATTTTAATTCACAGGACCATGTGATTGTGAAACTGTTTTTAGTGTGGATAACTAGTTGTAGTCTCAATATACTACCTTGCTGAAGTCTCCAATGAGTTCTGCATTGATCCCATCCCCACCCAGCTGCTGCTCCACGTCACACAGAGAGTGGGTCCTCTTATGCAGGTGCTGCTTGTGAGAGGAATACTAGTCAGTAGAGAAACAACCCTCCTCCCTACCACTACCTTCTACCAATATACAGTGTAGCACTCCTGACCCACCCTTACCCTCCTTTCATTGTTGACTCCAGCCCCTTGGTCTCCCTCTCCCACCTCCTCAGAGACGGCGGAGAAGGTGCAGTGTCGTTTGAGTGGCCGGGGGTTGGCTGGGGAGGGGGAGGTGGAGGTGCGTTTCAGCGGACGTGCCAACCGCTCTGGCATGGAAGGGGATCGGAAGAGACGTCGTCCCCCCTGGCGACACACTGAAACCTAGTGAAGGTACATGTCCTGTTACTCCTCGCAGCGCAGTAAAGTTCAAACCAATTGCAAGTCTGTGGATGTAAGTGATGATGGGAGAAGAGGATACTTACAGAGGAGAGATCCACTTCCTGGTTCATGAGGGGTTCAGACAGCAATTGTGCCATGCTACATGACATGGCGACAGCAATAGAACCCTGGGGGAGAGAATGGACATGAGGAAAGGTCAGGGCAGTGGAGATATTCAAAATAAAGAAGGGAGTCATGTTGGAAGACAGAAAAAACAGAAGTAGTAGGAAGCATTAAGGATGTAGCAACTGAGATTGAACTGTGCATTGAATACAGGAGCAGGAGTCACACTGGTGCAAACCTCGCTGCATGAACCATTCAGTGAAATAGATTAACAGAACGGGACAAGAGGTAAAAACGTCAGTCTATGAGATCCAAATCACCTCATCAGCTTCCTGCTCCAGGATTTCCATGAATCCATCTGCATCCCCTGGGGAGTGCCGGGTTAGGGAGGGATGTACAGGGAAGATGGGGCTCCCCAAGGCACAGGGCTCACCATCTGGAGCAGGCAACAAACACTCTGGCTTGCCCTGCACTCTCTGCCCTGGGGCCACCTGAACATAGGGGGAAACCACAGCAGTGCAGTAATTGTAATTCAGGTGAGATACAGAGAGAATGCGTTGAGTAACGCCTTAAAAACACATCCACATGCAATCCTCTGTTACAATGCTACAAGAGGTATTCTCTCTAGATTGAGCAAATCCCATACTGTCATCTAGTGGCCATAATTGAATAAGCCACAAAGGGCACTGAGCTCTTCCTAAACACGATGATTTCATAGGTCTTGTGTGGTTATGCCCTTGAGAGGTGCAAACTCTGATGACACAATTGAAATAGGGTATTGTAGTAGAAGAAACTAGACTGCATTTGCATGTGAATAAGTTAATCATGCATAACCCTGAATGTGAAAATACGTCCGCTCACATTCTCCTTGTTACTGAATGGACGTTCACTGGGGTGAAGCTTCGGACTGCTACACAGCAACCTGGGCTAAGAGACAGAAGACAGAGTGTGTTAATTAAAAACTCACACTGAGGTAATCATACAAAACCCATTTATACGGAGAGTAAATCCATAGACTGTTCTTTACCGGGAAGGACTGCAACTTTTTCATGCGACTGTTCCTGGAACAAAAAGGGGAACATTACTTTGGATGATGCAGGTAGCAACACAGTATAATATAATATGCCATTTAGTAGACCCTTTTATCCAAAGCGACTTACAGTCCACAGGGCCCATGGGGAGCAGGTACTCATCCCTCCACAAATGATAACATCATCATATTTGTGTTTCCAGATTCCAGAATGTTTCGAGCATGGGGCTTGCAATGCCAGGATTGTGGGTTCGACCCCCGGGGCCATCCATACGTAAAATGTATGTATGCATGACCGTAAGTCACTTTGGATAAAAGTGTCTGCTAAATGGCATATATTATTATTATATTATTCTAAACACGGTGTTCTTGAAGGTCAGAAGAATAAGTCTGGTACCTTGGTGCAGGAGATTCCAAGGCCACTGGAGAAGTAGGCTTGTCTGCAAACCAGCAGGAATAATGTTTAAGAGCAGTGTCAACTGAAATATTAAAATGGTGCAAAAAGTTGCTGAAAGTGAAAGTGCAAAGCCTCTGCTACAGTACCTACCTAAGTTTGTGGAGAGAATATGCATTGCACACCAGCATAGATAAATAGTCATACTCTGAACTTCTACCCAGCCAAGAGGAGCCTGGTTCCTCCCAAGGTTCCTACCTTGGGAGTTTTGCCTTGCCATGGTTGCCTCCGCTTTTTCTGCTGGGGTTCCCCCTGGGTTGCATTTTTTGTTGTTGTGAATGAATATGCCTACAGTATGTAAAAAGCATTGCTCACCTTTGTGTGGTGTTCCCTGTGCAGCAGCATTGTCTACACTCCCAGTGCTGAGGTTGGACAGGTCCAGACATCTCCGAGGAGTGTCACTGAGTAATGCAGGTGATGCATGAGATAAAAATGGGTAAATATAGTAGTATAAAGACCATGGGTGCGGTTTAATTCTGCAAGCCATTTTGAACTCTCAATCCTAGCTTCATCTTATTCACAATCCATGTAAACATGGCAGAGTAAGGGACTGGCCGGTAGCCATTCCCTCGATGTGGAGTCAGATAGCCACCCACACATAAAATCAGCTAGCCAACTAATGTAGTTCGAGGATAATAGCTTTTACCCTGTGTGAAAGGCGCTGAGTCCCGTAAAGCAGTTGGCGAGTTCTGACATTGGGGAGGCATGGTAGTCCGGTGAGTGAGGGCCAGGCATAGATAAACTGTAACCATCCATCGGTAGGCTAAGTGGGGGGAAACACATGATGTTGTTAGCTAAATATTTTCATGATAGCAGGAGAAGACCTACATCAGTTAAACCTAGATAGATAGATAGATAGATAGATACTGTAACTTCTTTATGTTGTTGTCTAGCTATTTAGCTAGCTAGCTAACTTGCTAGCTAGAGATTATTAGCGAGCTACTATAGTTTACTCATCATGACACATAATGATTACATAAGACGTTAGTTATGTTATCTAGCCACAAACTATACATAATATAATATATTTAGCTAAATAACTTACGATTCAACAATATCCGTAGCTAAAGAGAGTAGACAAATGGATTTTAAATGTGTCGCCAAAGAAACAACCAATGGCATGACATCTAACGTCACTTCCGTGTTGCGCAATATGCCTACTCATCGATTTGTCAGTGAAAATCACTCATCATCATCAAATCAAAAATGTGTCAACCAAAAAGCTTTACAATGTAATGTTATGAGCTAATGGTAAGAATATACATAGGCCATTTAAGGCAGTGCTGTCCAATCTTTAAAAATTGCAGTCTTGTGTTTGTTAGAGACTGTCACAAAATAATATAATATAATAATAATATGCCATTTAGCAGACGCTTTTATCCAAAGCAATTTACAGTCATGTGCGCATACATTTTTACGTATGGGTGGTCCCGGGGATCGAACCCACTACCCTGGCGTTACAAGCGCCATGCTCTACCAATTGAAATACAGAGGACCACAATTACAAAAGTAGCAATAGAATCTCATTCTATACTGAACAAAAATATAAATGCAACATGTAAAGTGTTTGGTCCCATGTTTCATGAGCTGAAATAAAATATCCCAGAAATGTTCCATATGCACAACAGAAAAAGCTTATTTTTCTTACATTTTGTGCACAAATTAGTTTACATCCCTGCTAGTGAGCAAGGTGATTAAACAGCATGATCATTACACAGGTGCAGCTTATGCTGGGGACAATAAAAGGCCACTCTAAAATGTGCAGTTTTGTCCCACAACACAATGCCACAGATGTCTCAAGTTTTGAGGGAGCGTGCAATTGGCATGCTGACTGCAGGAATGTACACCAGAGCTGTTACCAGAGATTTGAATGTTCATTAACTACCATAAGCAGCCTCCAACGTTGTTTTATAGAATTTGGCAGTATGTCCAACCGGCCTCACAACCGCAGACCACGTGTAACAATGCCAGCCCAGGACCTCCACATCCGACTTCTTCGCTTAATCATCTGAGACGACAGCTGATGAAACTGTGGGTTTGCACAACCAAATAATTTCTGCACAAACTGTCAGAAACCGTCTCAGGGAAGCTCATCTGCGTGCTCGTCATCCTCCCCAGGGTCTTGACCTGACTGCAGTTCGGTGTCGTAACCGACTTCAGTGGGCAAATGCTTACGTTCGATGGTCACTGGCATGCTGGAGAAGTGTGCTCTTCATGGATGAATCCCGAGTGCATTTGATCGATTACCTTATATGAACTGTAACTCAGTAAAATCTTTGAAATTGTTGCATGTTGCGTTTATATTTTTGTTCAGTGTAATTCTGTGGGTAGAAGTCTCTAGATCAAGGATGGGTAACTTTGATGAGGGTGGGAGCCACAAAGAAATCCTACACATTTTGCCATTGGGTGTAGAGAAAATGTTGCTACTGTGTAGTGTGCTGCAATTCTACACATTTTGCCATGGGGCGGAGAGAAGATTGACTATTTTATAACTAATTTAATTCACATTTAAGTGTTAAGAGTTTATTCCGTGCAATTCTACTCATTGGGGCGTAGAGGAAAATTAGCAGTTTTACAGCTAATTTCCTGCAATTCTACACATTTTGCCATAGTGTAGAGAGAAATGTTTGCAATTTTTTATATGATATCTGAGTGAAACTGACTAACAAAATCAATGGGGGTCCCCCAGGCTCTAATTCTACCTTGATTACTACAAATGTAGATAGCTGGCCGCTAGACTAATTTACCAATCTAAAAAATGTTAGCTGACATGGGCCAATTGAGTGACTATCAGTGACTGACATAAGAGAAAAACGGTTGATGCACAATCAAATTTCGAAATTGCACCTTATGTATTCTACTATTCTACCTCGCAACAGTAAGTTAAGACCCGGACTTGTCCACACAAGTTTTGATCCGATTCAAAAGTCGCCCATCACTGCTCTAGACTCTAGCAGGAAAGAAAGGTTCAGGTAGGCCTACATTTACATTTACGTCATTTAGCAGACGCTCTTATCCAGAGCGACTTACAGTTAGTGAGTGCATACATATTTTTATTTTTTTCTACTGTCTGGTCCTCAAATGAAATGAAATTGTATTTGTCAAATGCTTTGTAAACAACAGGTGTAGACTAACAGTGAAATGTCGACTTACGGGTCCTTTTTCAACAATGCAGAGTTAAAGATTTAAAAATATATAGAAATAGTGACACAAGGAATAAATACACAGTGAATAACGAATAACAATGACGAGTAAAAAAATAACATGGCTATATACAGGGAGACCAGTACCGAGTCGCTGTGCAGGGGTATGAGGTAGCTATAAAAATCTAAAAGTTACAATTCAACTAAGGCAAGAGCACCAGCCTCTGCCATATGGACACATCGATACACTGATCCATCTTCGACTAAGTAAAATACATAGGCCTAAAGCCGACAAATAAAAACAGTTGAAAATATCCTGATGAAAATGCTGGTTCTATCAATCACCTTCATTACTCTACTCCGCCTGTCTGCCTTCCTTTCTATATCTCTTGAAAAATTGACAACACTGGTAATGGTTATGAAATAAACCAAAACTTGTTTCTCACAAGTGTAGCAGGTTGGGAAATCCGCAAGTAAAGTTTCCAGTCTGAGAATGAGAACGGTAAATTAACATAAATTAATGTAAATGAGGGGGGATAAATGGTACATTTACTAGGCATACTGGTGACATACACTACCAGTCAAACGTTTTCTACATTGTAGAATAATAGTGAAGACATCAAAACTATATGATAACACATATGGAATCATGTTGTAACCAAAAAAGTGTTAAACTCTGGGTCTTCCATTCCTGTGGCAGTCCCCTTGAGAGCCAGTTTCATCATAGCGCTTGATGGTTTTTGCGACTGCACTTGAAGAAACATTCAAAGTTCTTGACATTTTCCGTATTGACTGACCTTCATGTCTTAAAGTAATGATGGACTGTCGTTTCTCTTTGCTTATTTGAGTTGTTCTTGTCATAATATGGACTTGGTCTTTTACCAAATAGGCTATCTTCTGTATACCCCCCCCCCCCCCCCCTCTCTGTTAATTGAAATGCACACCTGTTAATTTAAATGCATTCCAGGTGACTACCTCATGAAGCTGGTTGAGAGAATGCCAAGAGTGTGCAACACTGTCATCAAGGCAAAGGGTGGCTATTTGAAGAATCTCAAATATAAAATATATTTTGATTTGTTCAACACTTTTTGGGTTACTACATGATGTGTTAGTTCATAGTTTTGATGTATGTCTTCACTATTATTCTACAATGTCGAAAATAGTACAAATAAAGAAAAACGCTTGAATGAGTAGGTGTGTCCAAACATTTGACTGGTACTGTATATATATATTTATTTTTTGGGGACCTGCGGTTGAGTATGGAGGGGCTAGTTGATAAAAATGTCAAGTTCGCTAGCGACAGCTTCCATATTTGCTACAATGTTGCACTATACTAGCAATAGCTCAAGTCAAGACAAATAGAAAGGGAGGTAGACAGGCAGAGTAGAGAGATGAACGTGATTGAAAGAACCGGTATTTTCATCAGGATATTTTCGACTGTTTTTATTTGTTGGCTTTAGGCGTATGTATTTTACTTAGTGTTCCATAGAAGTTATAGCCCTACTGCTGCATTGGCCATAGGCTATCTCTGAGTTCTATGCTCTCATTTCTTTAGCCGCCAATGGATCACAGTGTATCAATGGCTGGTGCTCTCGCCTTAGTTGAATTTGAACTTTTTCGATTTTTATCATTTTACTTCAGATTTTTATGATTAACCACGTGACAATGATTTTGAGAAACAAAATCGTTATTATTGAAATGAAACTGTTCCACGAAAATGTGCATATAAAAATAATCATAACTTGCACACAGATTGGTAGAAATGGTAGGATAAATTGTAAGCTTCCACAAACTTGAAACTCAGGAACTGCCTATGGTCTTTACTATTACACGCATAAAAAAAAAAAAATGGTGAACCCGCAAGCAAGCGCGTGTACACATAGGAGGTCCCGTGAAAAAACGTGCCTGCCTATGGAAATCAAAGGCCAGTCCAACTGATTCGTTCTGGCGCCGGCCCTGTGTTGGAGTCATGTGGCCATGCAGTCGTGGGTGAACAGTGAATGCAGTAGGGGACTAAGCACACACACCTGAGAGGCCCCGTGTTGATGGTCAGCATGGCGGATGTGTTGTTGCCCACCCTCACTGCCTGGGGGTGGCCCGCCAGGAAGTCTAGGATCCAGTTGCAGAAGGAGGTGTTCAGTCCCAGGGTCCTGAGTTTGGAGGGGACTATAGTGTTGAATTCCTGAGCTGTAGTCAATGAACAGCATTCTTACATAGGTATTTTGTCTAGATGGGTGAGGGCAGTGTGGGGTGCAATAGAGTTTGCATCATCTGTGGATCTGTTAGGGCGCCATGCGAATTGGAGTGGCCGGGTCCAGTGTTATGGTATTGATGTGAGCCATGGCCAGCCTTTCAAAGCATTTCATGGCTATAGATGTGAGTGCTACAGGGCTATAGTCATTTAAGCAGGTTACCTTGGCGTTCTTGTGCACAGGGACTATGGTGGTCTGCTTGAAACAAGTTGTGTGCAGGCTTTTGATCCAGCCCAGTACTACACACCTGATATGCTGCCTGGGCCATAAACCAGGGACCCTGTACTAAATATGTATTTTGTTTTCACATACACTGGATAGGTGCAGTGAAATGTGTTGTTTTACATGGTCAGCCATAGTGGTACAGCGCCCCTGGAGCAAATTAGGGTTAAATGCATTGTTCAAGGGCACATCGACAGATTTTTCACCTTGTCAGCTCAGGTTTTGAACCAGCGACCTTTTGGTTACTGGCCCAACACTCTAACCTCTAAGCTAGTCTCCCACATTAACAATGTTACAGGTTTGAAATTTCAGAGACTGACCCTGTACAGGCCAGGGCTTGCACTTGTGCCTGTGTGCCATAAAGTTCAAGACCTCTTAGAGCAGGGGTGTCAAACTCATTCCATGGAGGGCCTTGGATCTGCAGGTTTTTGGTTTTTCCTTACAATTAAAACCTAGACAACCAGGTTTGGGAGTTCCTTACGAATTAGTGACCTTAATTGATCAATCAAGTACAAGGGAGGAGTGAAAACCCGCAGCCACTCGGTCCTCCATGGAATGAGTTTGACACCTGTGTCTTAGAGGGTATAATGTCACTACTATCTCAGGGAAACCAATTCTTCTTATCTAATTTCTCAATATCATATGCATCTAGTTTTCTCTCATTTTCCGAATCTGTGTAGGTAGGGCATCATATTCAAATAATAAAAAGAAATAAAGATAAATAAATAGCCTGAGCCAGGAGGATGTGTAAGTATCCATGACAACGATCACACCACGTGATAAAAAAAATGGAAAAAGGAGATAGAGCAGCCTTTTTCACTGCTGCAGAGCAGCAAGTTATACTTCAACGGTTTGAGGACCTAAAACATATTTTCAACCACAAAAATAATACAACTGCTGCTGGTAAAGCGAGACAGGCAGCATGGCAGAAAATTGCCGATTCAGTCAACGCGTAAGTAGCTGCCATATCATTGAAATACAGTCTACCCAGTGAGTGGAGCTAGCTAACTAAATTAGCTAGTGATGAATTGGTTGATAGCTCTCTGGGTAAAGAAGTGGGCTGACTAACTAGGTACTTCTAGCTTGTTACTCTAGCAACGTTCAGTACTTAGCTAGTTACAGTACAGCCTGACAAGGAACCATGAATGGCTTTGTAATTCCTGTCTGATAGCAAATATTGCTAACTAGCTGTCTGACCAGCATCTTCGAACAGCTAGTATAGCTAACGTTAGCTAGTTAACCTTCTAAAGATAACGTTAACTGTTAAGGTTAACGTTACTTGCTTTCCCTCATCCATCTAATCTGTGGTTATCCATTGAAATTGCAAGATATTAACCTAATGCTTGCGACAATATTGCAATTTCAAGTCAAACAGTGGAGATGAAAGTTGCACATACACATCATGAAAAAAATAAACAATTCACTGATTTTGGATAGACTGTTTGTTGTGTGTACTCATTGATTCAGATGATACTATTTCACCTACCTGACAGGGTTAATCCATCTGGAGTAAAACGAAGTTGGCTGCAGGTCAAGGTGAAATACAAGAACATGGTACAAACAGGTGAGCTGCACAGTCTGTGCACTGCCCCATAGACTCCACTGTGACGTTTTGTCAAGATACTAATTTACAATGTAATCTCTGATTCCAGCCAAAAAAGCAGATAGGCAGAAGATCAAGGAAGGCCCACTGCAACCTGTCTTTTCTGCTGCAGAGGACCTGATGGCTGAAACCCAGAAGTTCTGTTCCTCTATAGACAGTATCACAGAGGAAACCTCTTCCACAGAGCTCGAGTCAACACTCTCCCGCTCAAACTTTGTGAGAGGCAAGTCTAATCCATTTGGATCATCGCTGCGTCTTTTATTAGATCTTGCATTGACCTCACCATGGTTTTAACACGAGCATTATACATTTGCAGTGCTAGCAAACCACATGACAGAGGAGATCGCAGCAGAATCTGGGTCAGAAGTGTCTTTGAATAATGTGAGCTGTCAAAAGCAATAGAAAACATTCAAGCAGTTGTTACTCAGCCTACAGACCTTTAGTTAATTTGACTACTTCGTATGTTTCAGGTACCAGTCGTATACATTGACAATGCAGAAGAAATCACGTCGGATTCCTCTACACACGAGGTAGGTGTAATATGGTTTATTCAGAAGAGATTTGTGTGGTTGGAAAATGTTCAAGTGGAATTTGTTAAATTAATGTATTTGATGTGTATACAGTTGTTATTATAGAAAGTGAAAAAGTATTCTGGAAGTGGCCTAATCAGTTATCAGACCTCATTGATAAAGATAATGGCCTAAACATTACGCCTCCATAGGGTCCAGGCATAAACGAGGCCACCCCATCCACTTCCAAAACATGGGACAGAGAGGTAAGGTGATTACACCCCCCAAAAAAGTGTTTGCCATATAAGGTCTGATATTTCTACATTATGAATACAATGTATTGAGAAAAGAATGGGTGTAATGGCAATAAAAATTACACATTTTGTTAAATCTCAATGTTTTTAAGGGGGACAAACCAAGAAAGCCCTCAAATGTCAAAGTGAAGGACTTGTATATGAAATACTTGCAACAGGAGATCGACTACAGGAGATTAAAAATGCAAAAGATGTCCTTGGAGATTAAATTACTTAAGAAACAATTAAATGTAAGTTCCACAACTTAATGTTTACAAGATGTCATATCACCCAAGCAGCATCATGTTGGTAGAATTGTAGGACAGTTAAATAAACAATCAACTAAGAGCTTTTGCATAAACAAAGTCAAACTTAGTGATATAAGGCCCAGGATTGGGGAAAGCTAACTGGATAGCTGTTCAGAATGTAAATTAACCTAAAACCATCCACATCACTTCAACAACCAGTTGTCATGTTTCTAATTTAACCAATTTCCAATTTATTCATGAAATTTTAATCTGTCAACCTTCGCTCATGTTTACGTTTCTCTTTTCTTCGCAGTCATGAACTATGAACGAAAATTAATCATGCTTATGTACAGTTATTGCAATCTTTCAGTTTTACTTTTTGAATAAATGTTACTTTTTCCAAAAACAATGTCAGATTCCTTCTTCCGATACCATTTACTGATCTCTGGAGGGCATATATCTGGAGTGGTACAGTGTCTGTATGTCGTCAGTGGCCTTTTCTCATTTGGGCAAAAGTCTGTCCTCCGCCCTCTCTCCTCCGTGACCCACAAACTGATAAGTGGTCAAGGAGTGTGTACATGTGTTAGTAGGCAAACGGAAGACGGTCCTCCCCTCCTCGATAGCCTCCTTTTGGCGAGGAAGCACAAGTGTATCCTAATGGAGTCCTTCACAGAATAGTTTTGACATCTGCCACACCCCCTTTGAATTAGCTATCGTTTTCTTGAACCAGAAAAGCATGCAAACATTTAAAAACAATATGCTACTTATCCTTTTATCTATAAAATAGCTTGCACAACTAGCTACATTTATCACTTCATACATTTTGGGATTCCACCCTGTAAATGTCATTTGCCTGATGACGCACGATTGGACGAGTCATTTCATTCCTCTCCTCGATTAGCTTTTTACCTTTTTTAAAAGGAGTCCAGAGAGGACGGAGGACATGGGACCCAGGAGTTGAGCAAATCCAATTGAGAAAAGGCCACTGTGGTTGTCACTTACGGGAAAGTCCTCTCTTACCATCCTGTTTTTTCTAGGGTAAAAATGTCATCATGTGAAATTGTCATAACACTTGGCTGCATGACGCAAAGAGCTGAGCAGCGATGCTATCCCTGATTGCTGTACCATCTTGGTGATCACAGTAAACAGGCTCTGGCTTATTCCGGGGCATCCAACTAAAACAGGGTGGGGCCTCCTTACGAATGATGGCAACGTTATGAAGGACCATGCATGCCACTATTATGTCACACGCGCTCTGTGGCGACACCCGGAGACCCTTCAAACAACCAAATCGGGCCCTTAACGTGGTGAACGTTGTCTTAATGCATGCTCTTGTCTCGTACAGTGCCTTGTTGAAGCAGCTCTCTGCGCCTGGTTTAGGATTCAGGTATGGCGTCATCATGAATGGAAGACAGGGATACTCATTGTCAGCCACAAGCCACCCATCAAAAATACCTGAGAAGTAGGGGAGGTAAGAGAGATGCTGAAATCATAGAACTTGTAGGAAATTGTAACATTTGTCATTGTGCTTGTGTAATGTTGTCACCTTGCTGAAACTGATGGTACAGCGTACTCTTTTGGAGTATGTGGAAGTCATTCACAGATCCAGGCCACTTTGCCTCAATGTTTGTGATGAGACATTGCGAATCACAAACCATCTGGAAAAGATTTACATGCAGTGAGTTTTCACATGAGATTTACTCTAGGAATATTTTTTTTAATGTAGAATTTATTTATCACAGTTAAGAAAGCATTTACAGCTTCCCCAATATTACCTGCACATTTATGCTGTGAAATGATCTCTGATTTGTATAATCAGATGCCTCTGGTCCTGAAGGCACTTTGATGGGTATGTGAGTGCAGTCCACCACACCAATTACATTTGGTAGTCCTGCAACAATCACAGGTGTTGATAATTATTTAGCTAATTTACAGTTTAACTTACTAGTACTACCAAAATCATTGGCCTACTATGAAAGAATACATAACCTGCTATTCTATAAAAGCTGTCTTTAACTTCTTGTTGAGAGCAATGACCAGGGAACTTCACGAAATCAGGGAGAATTCTCGCCAGTGCGAGGTATACTCTCCGTATGGCTCGACAAACTGTAGATTTGCTCAAGTTTTCAGCGTCACCGACTGCATGCATAAATTCTCCACACGCGAAAAAATGTAAACCAATGCACAGTGTTTGCATTACTGTAAGCGGATAGCTGCGGAGTGTATCGTTTCTCAATGACGGTGTCAACAGATCCGCCAGGTAAACTATACAATGAGACGAGAAGTGATACCTCTCATTAATGTATTCTTCGGAAAAACTTAGAGGATTTTGTCTGTCTTTGAACAAACGCTTAGTTCGTATTGTTTTTCTCACAATTTGTGCCCCGATGTCTATTGGATCTCGTAAAAAAGGGCAGGCCATTGTTCGAACCAAAATTCTGGGATTGACGAAATGTTCATTTGTTTTCTGTACTGACGGAACATCCGGAATGAAATCTTCAAAATAAAAGTCTTAGAATCTTCAAATTAAAAGCCCCCAAATTAAAAAGCCCTAGGATTCGATTATAGAATTGTGAATTAAATTTCTTTTTTAAATTAACTGTAATAATTGTATCAACTATAAAAAATCACAAATTAATAAAATCAGTGTAAATACTCTCACTTGAGTCCAGAAATAGTGGAAGATTAGCTAGCTACATGTTATTTTCCCCCCAGTCCCTATGAGGAATGTATTTTGAGTATTTCTAAATACAAATCACATGAATAGCCTACATGTAATTGAAATGCTGTTTGTCTCTGAATATGTAGTGGTAGTGATTGCATGAAAGTTTAAATCCTCCCCTCTTTGCATGAGCAAGGAAAGCTGTGGTGACTGTTACCAATGCAATCAATCCGCTTTGGCATGATCATCAATGGTTTTCGCTCTCAGCTGTAATTGAAAGGAAATGGCGTACTTGCGATTATGACTAGTGGATAGCACATACAGTGCCTTCAGAAAGTATTCATACCCCTTGACTTATTCCACATTTAGTTGTGTTACAGCCTGAATAAAAAAATGATTAAATAATGTTTTTCCCCACATATCTACACACAATACCCATAATGACAAAGTGAAAAACATGTTTTTTCAAATTTATTGAAAATGAAATACAGAAATATCTCATTTACATAACTATTCACACCCCCAAATCAACACTTTGTAGAAGCACCTTTGGTGGAGATTACAGCTTTGAGTCCTCTTGGGTATGTCTGTATCAGCTTTGCGCATCTGGATTTGGGGATTTTCTCCCATTCTTCCTTGCAGATTTTCTCAAGCTCTGCTAAATTAGATGGGGAGCGGCAGTGAACAGCAATCTTCAAGTCTTTCCACAGATTTTCAATGGGGGATTCAAGTCTGGGCTTTGGCTGGGCCACTCAAGGACTTTCACATTCTTGTTCTGAAGCCATTCCAGCGTTGCTTTGGCTGTATGCTTGGGGTCATTGTCCTGTTGGAACGTAAATCTTCGCCCCAATCTAAGGTTGTTTCAAATCAAATCAAATCAAATGTTATTGATCACATACACGTGTTTAGCAGATGTTATTGCGGGTGTAGCCAAATGCTTGTGCTTCTAGCTCCGACAGTGCAGTAATATCTAACAAGTAATATCTAACAATTTCACAACATATACCCAATACACACAAATCTAAGTAAGGAATTAATTAAGAATATATACATATATGGACGAGCGATGTCAGAGCGGCATGGACTAAGATACAGTAGAATAGTATAGAATACAGTATATACATATGAGATGAGTAATGCAAGATATGTAAACATTATTAAAGTGGCTAGTGTCCCATTTCTTAAAGTGGCCAGTGATTTCTAGGTTATGTCTATAGGCAGCAGCCTCTAATGTGCTAGTGATGGCTGTTTAACAGTCTGATGGCCTTGATATAATCTGTTTTTCAGTCTCTCGATCCCGGCTTTGATGCACCTGTACTAACCTCGCCTTCTGGATGATAGCGGGGTGAACAGGCAGTGGCTCGGGTGGTTGATGTCCTTGATGATATTTTTGGCCTTCCTGTGACATCGTGTTTGCACTCTGAAGCAGGTTCACATCAAGGATTTGCCTGTATGTGGCTCCATTCATTGTTCCCTCTATCCTTACCAGTCTCCCAGTCCCTGCCGCTGAAAGGCATCCCCATAGCATGATGCTGCCACCACCATGCTTCACAGTAGGGATGGTGTTATATGGGTGATGAGTTGTGCCTGGTTTTCTCCAGACATAGTGCTTTGCATTCAGGCCAAAGATTTAAATGTTTGTCTCATCAGACCACATCATCTTTTGCCTTATGCTCTGAATCTTTCACGTGCATTTTTGCAAACTCCTGGTGTGCTGTTATGTGCCTTTTTCTCCGGAGTGGCTTCCGTCTGGCCACTCTCCCATAAAGCCCAGATTAGTGAAGTGCTGTAGAGAGTTGTCCTTCTGGCAGGTTCTCCCATCTCAGCCAAGGAACTCTGTAGTTCTGTCAGAGTGGTCATTGGGTTCTTGGTCACCTCCCTGACCAAGGTCCTTCTTGCCCGGTTGCGCAGTTTGGTCGGACTGCTTGCGCTAGGCAGTCTGGGTAGTTCCATATTTTTTTCCCATTTCCCAATGATGGAGACCACTGTGCTCTTGGAACTTTCAACACTCTAGAAATAGTTTGAAAAAAAAACTTCCACAGATATGCCTCATCACAATTCTATCTCGGAGATGTACGTAGAGTTCCTTGGATTTCATGGTATAGTTTCTACTCTGACAACCGCGTGACTTTCTATATAACAATTTGGGGGGTGCTTATATTTGTCCTGTTACAGCCAAGTGTGTAATCAAAATGTGTTGTTTTTTTGCCGCCTCCCAACTCCCCGAGACACCTGCAGGGAGTGGGGTCACAGCAAGGGTTGCCATTGTACAGCGCCCCTGGAGCAATTAGGGTTAAGTGCCTTGCTCAAGGGCACAGTGCCCAATTGTACATATTTTTGACCTTGTCAGCTCCAGTATTTGAACCAACAACCTTTGGTTACATGCCCAACGCTTTAACCTTGAGGCTACCTGCCGCCCGACAGCTGTGTTTCTTTCTAAATCATGTCCAAACAATTGAATTGGACTCCAATCAAGTTGTAGTGAAGTCCCAAGGATGATCAAAGGAAATTGGATGCCCATGCAATTGTCATAGCAAAGGGGTGTGAATACTTATGTAAATGAGATATGTGTGTTTCATTTTCAATACATTTGCAAAAAAATCTAAAAACGTTTTCACTTTGTCATAATGGGATAGTGTGTAGATGGGTGATAAAAAATTAAATATTTGATCCATTCTGAATTCAGGCTTTAACACCAACAAAATGTGGAATAAGTCAAGGGGTGTGAATACTATCTGAAGGCACTGCATGTGTGTCATAATTTGGGCCTTGTTGTGAAAGTGCATTTGTCAGAGCAGAACAGATGTTGAGGATTAGGTTCATGTGTCAAATAAGGCCACTGCCCCATGGCTGCTCCACGGGAAACCCAGCAGTGCGTCAAGACTGTCGACCGAGGTATGCAGTTCCGTGAGGAAAGTCTTCCCGTTTCCTAGAATTAACTGTCAGAATGACCGTGCAAATGTCTAACCATCCAAAAGACATCTAACTAATAAGGAGGGAAGGGGGGGGGGGCAACCTTGAGTTGAGTTGTTTGCAACCACTACATAGTACACAAAACTGTTTGAGAGAAAGTGACATAAAACAACTTATGTTTGAACATAATTGTAGTACAGTACTATTGATTCAGGGCCTGCTAAAAAAACAAAAACATTCACAGATACTAAAAATGCTTTTTATTCTGCATGTAAAAACTATAGATAAATGTTTTCCTTTACAGAGTTCATGCATAAAAATACATTTAATTATAATATTGCATTATCGGTTTCATGTTCACACTCACACCGCTTAAGTTCACATTCAACCAGCACCATCTCGTATAAAAATTGCTTTGAAATTAATCAAAACTAAATACATAATCTTTAGTAAGAAAAGTGGAATCTGTCATCTAAAAAATGCTTTCAATACAGGAATACTTTTAGGCAGAAAACTTGAAAAGGGGCAAATACAGAAACATATGAAATCAGTTTAAGTTGCTTTACCCCTTGTGTAAGTAAAACATCCAAACCCTTGTAGTTGTCCAACATGCACAAAACAAAGAAATGAAGCATAAGGTTGAAGGGATATTGTTGTGGCATGTAGACGACAAACAAGGTCATCAACCCTGACGCAAACATTATCCAGGCCTTTCTTTCATTGTAGCTAACATCATTATTTGTTTGAAGTCATCCTATCAAGTTGATGCGGGTGCTGAAACAACTGATTTAATATATTACAGCAAAATGATAACTTGGTTTAATATATTACTGCACGGAGCCGGCTCTGACGCTCCTGTCCCGTAAGAACACTTCACAGTTTGATCTTCTTCAATTGTTGCGGTTGGTCCATTTCTGACCTGTCGCCACTGGCAGTGAAGGGGATTCTTTGGTTAACTCTTTTCCCAATAGTCTCCACCTGGAAAGGACAAACAGTTACTTTGGAAACTACTGGACCGTCTATTACTTTTCAAATACTAATGGGACTCACTAAGCAGTTGAGAGGAGCTGCTGTAAATGGATCGTTGGCTTTTTGTCAGCACAGCCTTCCAAAAGCAAAGACAACCTTTTTTTTGGCCCTAGGGTGTTTTCATAATCTCATCAGAATCCTAGACATTGTTCAGTGTCTTACTGTAGGACGGCAGGTAGCCTGGTGGTTACAGCATTGGGCCAGTACCAAAAGGCGCTGGTTCGAATATCCGAGCCGACGAGGTGAAACATCTGTCGACAGGCCCCTGACCAAGGCACTTATCCCTAATTTGCTCCGTACTACAATGGCGGACTCTGTAAAACAACATTTCACTGCACCTATCCGGTGTATGTGACAATAAAACATATACTTTTTACTGTAGCCGTGGTTACTCGCCTGGAAGCCAATATGCTGGAGTTGGTCGTGCAAGCTGTCCAAGATCCTTCTGCCGTCAAAGATGAAGGCAGGTTTCAGCATGGCTTTATGGATCCTCTCATAGTCCAGCTCCTGCAGTACAAATATGGACTCCATGGTTTACATTGAGAGATCCCTTTCATCGGTGAACAATCCAATGCAACTACTTTATGTTATTATATAAGTGGCACCAAAATATCTGTGTGGTCAGAGTCATCTCCTTGCCAGTTTTTATTTGATGTCTAATTGATGAGTGAGTAGCTTAAAAAATGAAATACACACCGTGAACACATCCCACTCTGTGCAGATCACAATTGCATGGGCGTTCTCACAAGCCTTGTATGGGTCAGTGACGATGGTGACTAGACGAGAAACTAGGATGAGCGAGTATAAATTAGGGTTACTTCATGCATACAAATACAACTTTTTCACACAATTGTACAACAAACATTAATCCCATCTCATTAGAATTAGCAAAAAAAAGTCTCCCACGTTATGTATGGAAACTAACACCTAACGCAGAGAGAACAGAACACCCCTTTGAAATATCAATATGTATTCAATAAACATAATAATGTTAATCTTCTTATTGCTTTACTATAGAACACTGTGGCTACCTGTGGCGGGGTCATGTCTTTCTGAGGGTGTGGGCTGAGTCAGGTCGTGCATGATCTGCTCCGCTTTAACCTTGGGGTCATAGATGTGTAGACAGGCCCCCTCTTCCAGTAGGTAGCGACTGATGTAGATACTAGAGGATTCCCTGAACACAAAATGCACACAAGGATATCTGAGTGTATAAGCTTGGAGGCAGAAGGACAATACGCTCATAGCTTTGGATGTAAGCAGATAAATATTTTAAATGCCCTTCCATACCTTGTATCGCCAGTGTTTTTCTTGAAAGCGAATCCGAGCAAGGCTATCTTCTTGTCTGTCACTGTGTTGAAGAGGCAGTTGATTATCCGTGAGGAGAATCGTTTTCGCTGGTAGTCATTTATCTCTATAACCTGGGAGACGCAACAATGAGATGTTCAACATTTCTGTCATTGTGATACTGTATTTTACTGACTGTAAAACAAAGTGTTACAGGAATGTCTTATCAAATGAGAAGCGAGTTCTGTATTGCACTACTATGAGTTGATGAAAAAAGCACACCTGTTGCCAGTATCTTGCAACCTCGGGTAAGTTCAATGCCTCGCATAGGTACACAAGATTGAGGACGTCCTTCTGGAAACAGCTGCCACCAAATCCTGTAAAACAAACACAGAATGTATCATGACGGAACTCATCCACTCAAATCCCACTTTTCCATAACTGAAACCCAACCACTCAGTCATCCAATGGTCTCATCCAACCACAACTGAACTGTTACTGCCCCACAACTCAACCACTCCAGCCTTGCTTCTCTCCCACTCACCCACGCTGGCCTTCAGGAAGCGGCTGCCTATTCTCTGGTCTGTCCCGATGGCATGCGCCACCTCCTCCACATCAGCACCGGTTACCTCACAGAGGGCACTGATAGAGTTGATGCTACTGATACGTTGGGCCAGAAAGGCATTGGCTGCCTATAAACATGGAAAAGGAAAAACCAAGGATAGAGAAGTGAGCCAATGAATAAAGGCAGGAAACGTCGCAGGAGGTGTCTGAGATCGTAATGCTGCTGACCTGAGATTGTACTGATATAACAGAAGGACATATAAATACCAGCTTGGAAAGCTCAGAGGACCAGGTATTGGTGGTGATGATCTTGTTCTTGGGGACCCAGTGTTCATAGATGCTCCGCAAGGCCTGAATAGCATGTTGGCCCTCAGGAGTCTCATCCCCCCCAATCAATACCCTGTCTGGATTCTTCAGATCAGTGATGGCTGTTCCCTCAGCAAGAAACTCTGGGTTTGAGAGAACCTGCAGGAGAACAAGATCATACTTTTAAAGACCTGAAGACATGGCAGGCAGATGAATGTAGACGTTTGATACACAGTCCGTCCACCCATGCAACCCTGTCCCCTGAAATCACCTGGAAGCTGAGGCTACTCTTGGTGTTGGCGTTGAAGATGCGGCGGATGCTCTCAGCAGCACGTACAGGAACTGTGCTTTTCTCCACAACAATCTTACAGCCGCTGGAGACATCGGCAATGCGCCGGGCACATGCTTCTATGTACTTCAGGTCCGCTGCTCGACCCTTACCAATCCCAAATGTCTTCGTAGGCGTATTGACCTGGCAAAGGAAGGGGGAAATGTTTCAGGTGGATTCAATCATGGATCTTTATCCATCACTCTGGGGCGGCAGGTAGCCTAGTGGTTGGCCAGTTAACGAAAGGTCGCTAGGTCGAATCCCCGAACCGACAAGGTGGAAAATCTGTCTGTGCCCTTGAGCAAGGCACTTAACCCTAATTGCTGACCCTGGTCGTGACCCCACTCGTCGAGGTGGTCTTAGGGGGAGATATGCAAAAAAAAAACATTTCCAATTCATGCATATAATACACACTTGTACATGTGTGAAATAGGACAAATATAAGCAACCACCAAATTATTACTATTACCTTCAAAGAAAGCAAAACTGAGACCCATTCTTCTTAACAATACTTCCAAGGAAAGCAATTGACATTATAAGAAAGGAAAGTGTTGAAAAGGAGTATTTACAGATATGAAGACCAGGTCTGCATTTTTTATGGCCTCATCAATGTCTGTGGAGAAGAAAAGGTTGACCCCACGGCATGAGTCCACCACTTCCTGGAGTCCAGGCTAGAATGAAAGGAGATGTTGTTAGAGCACAAGTGTCAAAAGTGTCATGAGAGCTCAAAAGTCAAGTGGCTGGAAATACTGGAAAGACCAATACAAGTTAGGACAGATCTTTGAGAAACCTGGACATGAATGAGTAATTGTATTTTACGTAATTTCCTGCAGTTGAGACAAGTTCTACTAAGTTGAGATCTATTACGATAGTTTCTTGTACTAATATCGTTTCAGACTCACCTCAAAGATGGGAAGGCTATCAGAATTCCAGGCACGGATGCGGTCCTCGTTCACATCCACCACGGTAACCGTCACCTCAGGGCACATCTGGGCGATGACGCTGCAGGTGGGACCGCCCACGTAGCCAGCCCCAATACAACAGATCCTCCTCACCTCCACCATTCTCCCACTCGAGAAAGAAAATACAATCACGTAAGATGGGGGTCTAAATACTATTTTTTTCAATGGATTGAGTGATAAAATCGCTATTATTCCAACATTTCCATTAAACAGAAACTAAGCAAATACAGATGGGTCTGTCATTTATTTTAACTCCTGGCACTACTGACATCCTTTAACAAGCAGGGTGTTAATTACAAATATGCATTTTCTTATAACTTGCCATAATAGTAAGTAAAGTTTTGTTTGTCATAGTGTACAACATTGGCATCTAAGAGCTGAATTGCAGTGTACATACCTAAATAATTAAATAAACAAAGTGATAAATGTCCTTGTGAGGAGGGAGGGAGCATCACGGTCATAGCCAAGGGAAAGCCTCGAAAATATTTATTTTAGGCCAGCACACATGGCCTTTGAGTTTGTCCTTTCCCAAGGATGTCTGGATCCAGCACATCATTGAGAAGGGCTCCAGCCTCGAGGTAAAAACGTTGGCATTGGCAGGGTTCTCCCCAGGATTTTATAACAAGGTGGTGCTGCTGAATACGGCCGGGGTGGAGGCCCGAGAGATTTTTTCATGGCAATAGCTTCAAGATTTCGAGTTGGATTCCCCAGTGGGTATCAATGGAATAAATAAGAACATTCTGTTGAGCAAATCAAGCCACCTCTATTTGGCCAGTTTGCCCCTCACTCTACCCATGCTGCCACGCTGTCTCTAAATCACAGAGGGCTCTATGTGCAGTGTGGTCAGATGGAACTCCCTGGGACTACCGTCACTCAACACACGAGCGTGCGCACACATGCACACGCAATTGGCCCCTAGCCGTCCACCGCACTAGATACAAAAGACACATTATTCCCAACTTTTACCACGTATAGGATCTGCCAGATATGAGTATAAACATATGCAACTGGCTGCCCTTTATCAGTTGTAAATCACAGAGAGTTATCACAGTAACCAGACCAAAGTCAATAATCTTTAGAGGGATGATTAGCAGCAGATCTGGATACTGAAGGACCAAAAGCAACCATAGAAAATTATTCAGTGAATAAAACGGCATTTCACAATCAGAACCCTTTTTGTGGTGTGTGAGTAATCTTTACTGCTATGCTGATGCGGGACTGGGGGGATTTATAGCTTTACAGGCCAAACCCACCATTTGTGTGCGTGGCCAAAGAGCTCTATTTTCACATCATCTGACCATAGCATCGCCTGGAGTTTGCTAAACAGCATTGGCACTTGGATTGGAACCGGTGCTATGGTCATGACACGAAAATAGAATGCATATGCAGAAAATACCTCATCCCTACTGTAAAATATGGTGGTGGATCTTTGATGTTATGGGGCTATTTTGTTTCCACTGGTCCTGGGGCCCTTGTTAAGGTCAACGACATCATGAACTTTACCTGTACATAAGTACCAGGACATTTTAGCCAAAAACCTGGTTGCCTCTGCCAGGACTGGAGGCTGACACTTGGCGCAAGTGAATCTTCAAGCAAGACAATAACCCCAAGCACACATCAAAATCTACAAAGAATGGTTAATTGGCCACAAAATCAATATTTTGCTATGGTTATCTGTCTCCGGACTTGAACCTCATTGAAAACCTGTGGTTTGAATTGAAGAGGGCAGTCCATATGCGCAGACGAAGGATATCAAGGATCTGGAAAGATTCTGAATGGAGGAATGGTCTAAGATTTCTCCCAATGTGTTCTCCAATCTCATAAAACTTTTTAGAAAAAAGGCCAGTGTGGTTGTCCTCGCAAGTGGAGGGTGCTGAAGTATTGAGAACAGGGGAGACTATCTTTGAGGTGTACTTTTTTTTAAACTTGTTAAACAAAATCTCTTTCCCGGAGCAATTGTATTGTAAAGTATAAAATAACTTTTTTGCAGCATACAATATAGCTACTGTAGCTCTGTATTTTTTTTTCAACATCTATAAAGGGATCCAATAATTCCGGACCCAACTGTGGTCTGTAACGTATAGACGTAGGGGTTTAAAACTTGCCACACGGTAATTTAGGGGGTTTAAAACTTGCCACACGTTTCAGTGGGAGCCAGCACTTCGATGTTATTAGCTAGTTACCTACCTACCTAACGGTATCTCGCTAACTTGCGCATGTACACCAGCCACCTATAATTTATCCAGACCTGTTATTTACATGAATGTAACCCCATCCATTCGATCATCAATGTGTTTAGCTTGCTAACGTTACAAAGCCAATTTGGATAGCTTTTTTTTATTTTATTTTTTTGTTCGCTAACTAGCTAGCCTGTTAAACACAAAACACTTACCAGTGTTTGATGGGTGCGCTGCTGAACCGAATAAAACTATTTCAGAGACTATCAACCACGTTAAAGTGATTCCGTATAATTTTATTCCAGGGGTATGATTGCTGGTCTGTGGTATTGATGGTCCGATGTGTAGAAGCTTGCTCCAGAGAAAAGAGTTTGGTATGCTGAGTGCCACTGTGAGACTTCTATCTAAATCTCAGACAGGGGGCGGCGCTTCAGATTCCTTTGACATCACATCCCCACTGACGCTTACCAGAAATTGGTTTATTCAAGAAGACGCAACCATTCAGTCTATGGTACAATTTACAGAAGTTCATATTATACAATTTATTACAGGGTAATTACATTGTTATGCCATTGTGTGCCTGAAAAATCTTGTAGTTCTAAGGGGTTAGGATTTTGTTCTTTGAGATCCAATTCATGTAGGCTAGGTATTGATTGCCTATCACTAGTTAGTACATGGGTGTGACAAACATTTGCAAATGTAATGAAAACACATTCTTTCACATATTGAGTATTATTTATAAACCTTGGAGACAAAACATGACGCTGAGCAAAAGACAACCATATCAGAAGGAATTTGATGAGATTTGTCTGGGAGAGGTGGTGGGAGTGTACTAACGTTACAATCTATTAGTCCAATGATAATACAATTCCATCACACTGACGTATGAATGCAGAACAGGATAGAAAAACATACAGTGGGATTTGTAACAGTGTCACAAAAGCAATCCACTCATCGTAATGATGTAATCGTAAACCCTATGAGGCACAACCCAGCTCAATTTGAGACCAGACATGCACTGACCGAGTAACTAAGATGGGTGGAGAAAAAACTGTCCGTTTCATATCCTTTTTTTTTTTTTAATCTATATTTTTCTTTCTGCATTGTTGGGAAGGGCTCGTAAGTATGCATTTCACTGTTATTCTACATTTGATTTGTTATTAAATGCCAAGGGAATAGTCTCACAGCCCTATCATAGTCTCTCATTCCATACACATTACGGTAGTTTTAGGCTAAGAAACCGTGGCGATTAGTGCTGTTCAATAAGTATATTCTAAGACACTCATTGCTGACGTGTTACGGTGCGGGGTAATTTTGTCCCCTTTCACTAGTCCGTCCCCCTCAGCATCATGACTGCTGTCTTTGTGCAGTGTTACTAAGCAAACAAGGCAAGGGTCCACCCACTCGTCAGATGAAGTCATACCCAGCTCCCCCAAATCGTTGCTAACCCAACCCACGAAAAGTTAGGAGTCATTACACACCATCAAAGCCCTCTACTCATTCACTTCCCGCTCTCCATCCACCCTCAGGGCAAATGTAATTACCTTAGCCTACTTTTATGTGCCCCTTTGTCTGAAGTAGAGCAGTGCTGGAAAAAGTATGCAATTGTCATACTTGAGTAAAAGTAAAGATACCTTAATAGAAAATGACTAAAGTAAAAGTGAGTCACCCAGTAAAATACTACTTGTGTAAAAGTCTACGTTTTTGGTTTTAAATATACTTAAGTATCAAAAGTAAATGGAATTGCTCAAATATACAGTACTTAAGTATCAAAAGTAAAAGTATAATTCATTTCAAATTCCTTATATTAAGCAAACCAGATGGCATCATTTTCTTATTTTAATTTACGGCTAGCCAGAGGCACACTCCAACACTCAGACATCATTTACAAATGAAGCATGTGTGTTTTGTGAGTCCGCCAGATCAGAGGCAGTAGGGATGACCAGGGGTGTTCTCTTGATAAGTGTGTGAATTTGACCATTTTCCTGTCCTGCTAAGCATTCAAAATGTAACGAGAACTTTTGGGTTCTGTATGGAGTAAAAAGTACATTTTCTTCAGGAATGTAGGGAAGTTAAATTAGTCAAATATAAATAGTAAAGTACAGATACCTCCAAAAACTACTTAAGTAGTACTTTAAAGTATTTTTACTTAAGTACTCTACACCACTGGTAGAGAAAAGAGTATCCACTTAACATCCCATTCTTGAGAAACATATGTTCTAGTTAACATTGGTCAAACGTAACTGCCCTCAAAAGAAGGAGCTGTGTAGATTAGACAAAACTGAAAATTAGATTTACGATGCCACCTTAAAAAACGAATTCTGGGCCATGTAATTCAAACCAAGATTGTGAGACGCTCTATTGAGGGAGCCTTATGGAGATAAATGGGACTGTTAAATGCTGCTGCCCTGTAGATCCTTGCGTTTGTGTCCTCTAAGGACTGGTTGTGTCTGTTTTCAGTCTACCTGCACAGACAAAGCTCTTGGAATACATCTTCTGTTCTGGCACTGCTCTCTTTAGTACTATTGCCATTGGGGACTCCAACAGTCAACAGAACACCACACTTCTGCCATCACTTTACCTGGTCCTTACATTTTTTATCGTATTTTGTACAAGATGCCAATGAGTGTTGATATACTTTAAAACAGGACATCAATCGAATCTAATGTAAAAATGTACATGTCTTTTTAAACGATGTTATGCTGTACATTACATACATGTGCATGATGTCATGCTACAATAGACTGGTAATAAGGCATTCAAAGATAGTACAGCAAACCAGGCCGAGGGGTCTCCTCTTGCAAGAGGAATCTGAACAGTGACACTTGACCTCTGACCCCATAAGCAGCCCCAGACTCTTCCTTGATCCTGAGTTCCCATAGCTCAGCTCTCCAATGGCAGATTCCAACCAGATCTATGGGACTCATTTACAAGGGCTCTACATTTAACATACGTTTTTTTTTTTACAACATAACATATTTTAGCCTGGGATTGCACCAGATTTAAATTGACTTTTGAAGAGTCATGTTTCAGGAGAAAAATACACTGCAAGCTGTGGATGAAACAGGCTGTTCTCATCTCCAAGGCTATCCCTCAAGCGTACGCCATCTAACACTTCCACTCTGCCAAGATGTCCCTGTTTCAACAGTGCCGGTTGAGAGGAGTTTTCATTGGTGCAATGGTCAGGAGTTGTTTGACCAATAGCACACAACACCTCTGGCATCACATTATGACGGGCATGACTTCCACAAGTATCTTTTAATCGCTGTCACTTTCACTTTCTCCTTCATCCTCTTCTTCTTCTTTCTCTTCCTTTTTTGCCTCAGTCTCTTCCATCAGTCCAGAAAAGAAATCATCCCCAACTCCATAGGCTTTCTTGCTGAGGGACTTGAGGTTTCCATCTTTCTTCTTCCGCTTCCGGTAGTCACTGACTGTCATGTCGCGGAGACTTGAAATGTCCCAGAACTTGATCATCTGGTCGTGAGCACAGCTCGCCAGGAAACGTGAGTCGCGAGAGCGGGCAATTTGCTCAATAGGCTCCCCAACATGCTGCCCTATGCAGCCCAGTACCCGATTGGGCAGGAGGTTTATGGCACTGTCAAGAGGGAGAGAAAGACTAATTACAATCTAATGAAGTATAAACTTCAGTACTGCATCACTGAAAACAAAACATTTTTCTAAGGAAAAATCAAGCCATGTCATAAGTATGTTTGGCATACTCTTGCCCTCTATAGGAGATTTTGAAGAACAAAGCTTTGTAAAAGAATGTCACTCAAATCTGTGCTTTGCAGGTTATCATCTAATGCGGATGACAACTATAACTTAACATTCTTCTTTTCAATAATTAAAGTTTCCAAAACCATTAAACTCTTTAGATCCTATATAAAATCCAACTGAAAGCTTACCGTATAACTCCATCCATGGAGGCAGCACACAGTATACTGTCTGTAATGGGAACAATGCAGTCCACAGATTCTGCCTTCACAGCGAAGCGGTCACTGGTGGCTCCAAAGCCGTTCCAGTTGAAGATGTACATAGTCCCTTCACTGGAGCCACACACCACCTTCTTCCCTCGCTGTGTGATGAGGCAGGGAAGAGTGGAACAGTGGACAACTTAAGTTATTGACTCTGAATGTATTTTTAGATAGTGCATGGATTTCAATTGTCTCAGCCAGTATATCTGAAGGGTCAGGACTGGCTAAACAGGATGAGACACTCACTTTCATAATCGCCACAGAGGTAAGGTCCCCACTCTGGAACTCTGACAGGAGCTCAAATCGCCGCCTCTTGATGTTGAAGACCCCCATCGTCCCATCACCACTGTGACATAAAACATCATACATGTCAGTTGACAAGTCACATCTGTTCATGCTAGTCCCAATGAATAGAGACATTGAAAACACGTATTACCTGTAAGTTATCCATCCCCATCCCTCGTGTCTGAACTGAACTCTTACCTCGAGGTGAGAAGCATTCTCTTGGCCTGGTCAATAGCGATGCCGCTGATGTAATCATCATGATGCTTCAGATCCATGAATGACGTGCCCTTCCTCATGTCCCAAACCTTCAGTGTCCCCCCATCATCCCCTGTGGCGAGCACATTCTCATCCACCAGCAGCAGTGCATTGATAGGGACACTGTGGTCAAAGATGTGTGAAGGTGAGGAACAGAGATTCCACAATAATGCAATACAACCATTAGTCTCTCTCTGCTTTGGACAGTCTCAGAGTTAAGCAATTGGGCTACAGAACATGGATCAAGTAAGGGTGTAGAAAAATCAACAGAGCCCTAAACTAGTGTTGAGACATCAATGGCCTGAAGAGACTTTACCTGTGGGCTTTGGCGATGCGTGTGACAAGTTTTCCCCCTTCCACATCCATGAGATGGACTGACTTGTCTTTTGAAACGCTGAACAGTTCTACAGACACAGAAATTGAACTACTGGTTGATGTTCAACCATTTAGTACATAACATTAGACTGAATGGCCCAGCAAGTTGTGTTCACCAACATGATGATAAAAAATGTATCACGGGCAAAATAAATTCAAGGCAACCAAACCCTACCAGTGATCACACTTACTATGTCCATCATGAGAGAAAGCAACTTCCCTGCAGGACTTGAGGTGATGTCCAGACGACCATAGCTCCTTGCTCTCCCCCTCTGTGCATGAGTAGGAGTATCTGGGGATGCAAAACAATGACGTTCACATCCACAATGGCACTTACATTTATGTAAAATGTTCATAAGCATCACAAGTGGTTATATTTCTTACACGTAAATATCACCGTCAATATCCCCGGCAGCAAAAATATCTTGTTTTGGATGGAAGGCCAATGTGTTGACAATTGCGTCGAGTTTGATGTCCTCCGGCGTTTCACGAATCCTTGGTTCTCTTGGTTCATCTTCCTAGGAGAATATGATAGAAAAAAACTACTATAATAGGCTGTCATTAAATGTGGTGATACCGAAACACATTAACTTTAGGAGTGGAGAAGCCATAACCTAGTTGCATGCATGTTTGTTAATTACCTCGGAATCTTGATCTTCTGTTTTCAAATGATATTTTGGTTCCTCTGCCGATTCATCCTACAGAAAGGGATAGAAAAGGACTAAGATTGTCTTACTAAACTGGTTGAAATGTGGTGATATCCACATTCGGACTAGAGCTGCAGCATGCATGATTGGTTAGCTAGCTAAGTTACCTCGGTATCTTCTGTTTTCAAATCATCAGAACCAGTCATTATCGAAATAGCCTCGACTTCCTGAATAATGTAAGCAAAAACAACACCATTGATAAGTCACAATCACGTTTAGCCATTGACAAAAACGTGTTTAAAAGAGGGCTAACACCATAATTATCGTATAATAAAGAAACTCGTGGTCTCACCAAGGAAGCCGCCATTATGTATTCTGTAGACGTCAACCAAGCCAAAGATGCATTCAAGCACGCAAACTTTGCAACGTTCCTAACTTTGCGAAATTAACCAAAACGTCGCAAAATTAACCAGGCATACCCTGAGTTGGGCCAAAAGCAGACAGTGCCCATTCGGGCAGCAACAAACGCAAACAGAAAGAACATTTTTTATTTTATAAAAATACATTCTGCTAAATAAATATATCTAGCTAGTTACACTGAAATAAAACGTTGAAACTTTTTTCGAATGACTCCAACACATAGACTGTAGAAAGCTCCAACGACTGCCACAGGAGGTCTCCCTCCGCCAAATCCTACACTTTTATTTACTGTTGCAATGGTCGATTAGATTTTCTTGCTGAGGTTAATATCACGTCCCTTTGCTCCTCATGTAGCCTACTGCTCTACAGATCATTGTTCCCCAGATCAAGGTTTTTGGTGGCCCTAAAGCAACATTTGATCTTGGGGCCCCACAAATTTACATTTTACATTTAAGTCATTTAGCAGACGCTCTTATCCAGAGCGACTTACAAATTTGTGCATTCAATTTAGGATAGCCAGTGGGACAACGCCACGGGGGGGGGGGGGGGGGGGGGGGGGGGGGGGGGGGGGGGGGTTACTGTTATACTATTCAAGGTATTCCTTAAAGAGGTAGGGTTTCAAGTGTCTCCGGAAGGTGGTCAGTGACACCTTGTGACATCAACCATTGATCTCTTTCTTGCAGACGCCCATTTGGGTCAAGCACCATATAACTGACTGCGATTCTAACCAGGGTCTCCTGTGTGCCACAAGTCTGCCGAGCTAAAGGCAAGGCATCATCTCAGGGAGCTAACACGAGTCTTCAGGTCTCAGACAAAGTTAATCACCAGAGCGTTGTTCACCGAACAACCTCTCACCTCTGTTAATGACTGTGGGTGCACTTTGTGTTTTGCCCTAGCTGTACACACCTCTACCCAGGAACAGGATTAAGAAACACTGATGTAGCGAATGGTGGTGGGAGAGAGTATATTGCATTAGCGGGAATTAAAATCGATCTAACCGATATATTGCTTAATTAATTAATGTATTGATTGACTGATTCATTCATTCATGTTGATCACATCTCCGAAAAATAGCCGCCATGAGAAAACATAATGTGGATATTACTATTATTATTATTAATGTTTTATGTTTGTATTCTGTTTAGGCTATCATCATTTGGAAGTATGACGTAGCCTACCTGATCATTAAAATACAAGGACTTGTGAAGGCGCTAGGACCCAGAACTTTTGTTTTGCCTTTTGAATGCGGGTGTTGTAGGGAAAGAGGGAGGCTGTCTGTCATAGTAACCTCTATCATCAGTTCGTGATAATTATCGGATTTTGATGACCTGATAATGGCAGAGGTGTTATCAGGCACATGATATGCTATAGGCTTTTGCTATTCGGCAAACACTGGCGGCCGGACAAGGTCGAAAAACGGAAAAATAGACCACGCATCTAATTTACACCATGGCTACTGAGTTCACCATTTCAGAATCAGCAGTCCCGTTGAGTGAGCCCCATCAGGTTGAAGACGAAGAACATTGGCTGTATGGGGGTGAATATACAATGTATCCACATGGATACACAAGGCATGCGCTAAACAGTTCCCTCAGATGTTGATCAAGATTAATTGAAACAATGCACAAACGCACAACACCAGCTACCGGCTTCACCGATGATGCTTGGTCCAAAACACATAGGAATTCTGCGCATCGCACATTTGTGCACGTCTAGTGGTGTCTTTTTTGTGGAGTGGTTTGATTTCTCTTAGGATGCACACATAAAATGATTGTATCATGTATATTTTCCCCTGCAAAATCTGTAGTATGGTATGCAGCTCAGCCCAAAACAAATTAGCTCCAAAACGCTCTTGTCTTTAATGCTAGGCGACTGTCATCCTATGCCATGATGGCAATAATTGCATCGACCTTCAATTATCATGTCATCTTTTCTTAGGGGAAAACACCAAGAAACAAAATGCTCCCGAGGGTTTGCCTGGGTAAGAATTTCTCTTTCCTGCTCACTTGATCCTCTCAGCCAAATTCACTCAAGGCACATGATGTTCCAAATATTATTTTACATGCTATTACAATGTAACTACAATAATTTCCCCCTCTGCTTACTAGGCCTGGTGACTCCCTTCAGCTGACTTCAATGGGCAATACAGAGGAGAAGGATGCTGCATCACAGGCATGGCAATGGGGCAATGTCATCTACATTTCTTATCACATAGATAAATAGTTAGTTCTACAACGTTTTTACAATGTAGGCTACCCCCGGCAGAGTTACCATTGTATCTTAACAGCTGTTGTAAGTTGTTACATAGTAGTACAACCGGTGTTATTAGTTGCATCGTTTTGCTCTCTGAGAAAATGAATATTCCAAAACCTCTGATGGTTCATTCATACTGTAACACAGCGATGAGATCCAACCAATGGAAATATAGGAACCTCTCATAGGCAACCAATGAGGTGTGTGTTGGTTTAGGTAATGGGTGTGCAGGTGTGAGCGTTCATTTTGTAGCGTTAACCCTATCAGTCCCGAGACTCCAGCAAAAATCTGCTTTTCATTTATCTGCATGTCCAGACTTTATATTTAGCCTCACAATTAAGTGTTTTACCATTGTCTTTTCAGGACAACCAAGGCTAAAAGTAGAACACAAAACGATTTGACATAAACAGTTGTATTCATGCGTTTTATTGACAAATGTCAATAAAAAAATAAGGTCTGCCAAAGCAAAAACCTGATAGAAATGTATTTATATGAATACTGTAATTACAGAAATGGTTTGCTCACTGGGAAATGAATATCCAACTAGTCAGTGACAAATGTGTGGGGTTTGGAGTTTGTGACAGCAACTATATGTGAGCTTATTACAGTATTAAAGACACTATGTCCTGTGATTTGCTATGATCTTCTATGTAGAAAAACCCCTTACCTTCTAATGACTCTTCCCTTACGAAAAAAGATTGCAGTTGGAGTGCAGTATAACTGCAGTATGCTACAAATACTGCGTCCAAAATACCACAGTCGACGACTGCAGTTACTGCACTTTTACGGCAGTTTCAAAACTTCAATCTTTGTAAGGGTTGTGTAGCTTGTTAGCGTCACAGAGCAAAACATACTTGTTTGTGAGAGTCTCATCTTTTCATAGATAGCTTTTAATAGTTGTGACGAGTACTGAGGATACAAAGAGGCAGGACGCAGACGCAGGAATCAACAAGGTAAAGGTTTACTTAACACTGAGCAAGAGAACAACAAAGAGCGAGTACAAGACACTAACAATCACACACAACACAACACTGAACTGTCCAGGGCTATATAGGGGTGGTGATAAGATGATGAGGTGCAGGTGCGCTGGAGGTGATTAGGGTGCGTTGGGTTTCCATTCCGGTGTTGCCGAGGTGGTGCGCTCAGACCGGTGGCTCAGTAGACCGGCGAATCAGAGCGCCAGAGGGGAGCAGCGGGAGGAGACGTGACAATAGTTTGTAGCTTAAACCATTCAGACCATTCGGTATCCGCCCTTGTCTCACAAACACCGTTGTAGCTCAGCCCCCGTTAATCACACAGACTAATGGTTGGTATCTACGGATGCAGCAGAAATAGACTAATACATTGGTACAATCCTGTAATCCAATGGTACAACCCACTGTAGCGCAAACACACAATGTTTAAAAGGGGTTAGAAGTCCAAAATGTGCGACTCATTGGGTTAATATTACTATGCTCCTCTCTGTTTTCATCAGGAAGCCAAAGGTACTGAAGGTGATGAGGAGGAGGACAGTGACAGTGATGACGATGATGACGTCAAGGTCACCATTGGTAACATCAAAACTGGTGCACCTTCCTACATGTAAGTGTACTTGCGCATCCCCAGAGACAGTTGCTTTTCCAAAACACAGTGTTAAGTCCGAATGGTATATACAGTGCCTTCAGAAAGTATTCACACCCCTTGACTTTTTCCACATTTTGTTGTGTTACAGCCTGCATTTAAAATTGATTAAATTTAGATTTTGTGTTACTAGCCTACACACAATACCCAATAATGTCAAAGTTGTCACGACTGCCTCCGAAGCTGCCACCTCTCCTTGTTTGGGCAGGCTTCGGCGTTCGTCGTCACTGGCCTTCTAGCCACTGCCGCTCCTCATCTCATCACTCCATTTGTTTTGTCTTGTTTATTACACACACCTGGTTCATATCCCCTCATCAGTACCTGTATAAGTGTTCCCTCTGTCCCCCTTGTCTTTGTGTGTGATTGTTTATTGTGAGGATAGTGAAGCTTGGTTGAGCTCCTTGTATTTTGTATCGCCGGGTTATTTTCCCCGTGTGCCTTGTTGGTTCCAGTGTGCCTGTTTTGCGCACTGGACTGTTTTGACGCATTACTGCGTAACTCTGTATTCCGGAATAAATCCTGTTATTCTGTGATTTACCCTCCTGCGCCTGACTCCTTCAAATCACCCATCACAGAATCACACACCCGCCATGGAGTCAGCAGGAGAGGAGCACATGCCTGGAGTCGTGGCACGGGTCCGGGAGCATTCAACGATGCTAGCCAGCTTGGGAGAAGCGATGGATCGGGTTCTCCAGGTCGTCCAACGTCTGGAGAGGAGAGGACCCGATCTGTCGGGACCAGCTGGACGACCGGATCCAGCCACCCACACCCCAGCACCCAGAGGAATCCATATATGCCGACTACAGGATTTTGACGGGACAGCTGCTCTCTGCCAGGGATTCCTCCTACAACTGGAGTTATATTAATAAAACATCAGCCCGGCTCCATCGGAGCGGGAGAAGGTGTCCGCCCTCGTCTCCTGCCTCTCGGGGAAAGCCCTGGAGTGGGCCAATGCGGTCTGGAGTGAAGGAGGAGCCGCGTTGGACAACTAGGGGGAGTTCGCTCGCCTATTTCGGGCCGTCTTCGATCACCCGGGCGGGCGACTGGTCCACCTGAGGCAGGGGACGAGGACCGCGCAGGACTTCCCCCTGGCGTTTCGACTCTAGCAGCTGGATCCGGGTGGAACGAGCGGGCCCTCATCGACCACTTCCGGTGCCATCTACGTCCGAATGGAGCTAGCCTGCCGGAACACCATGTTGTCCTTCAATCAACTGGTGGACATGGCCATCCGGTTGGACAACCTGCTGGCTGCTAGAGGAGGGGGCCTGGAAGGGGCCTGCCCGTTCCACCCCCCCAACCCGGTTCACGAGCTGATGGAGCTGGGTGGAGCGGCGATCCGGGATAGTGGAGGCGGCAGGCAGGGCACTCTCGCGTCACCCCAGGTATCGAACACCCACACTCGTTCAGAGCCCTCTGCTGCGCACTGTATCCTACCCATCCACTTTCCTGAATACACAGTAGTTCCCCAGTGTAAGGCGCTGGTCGATTCAGGCGCAGCTGGGAACTTTATGGACAGGTCATTTGCACATTGTCTAGGCATTACATTGGTTCCCCTATCCATTCCACTCTCCATCAGAGCACTTGACAGTCGACCATTAGGGTCAGGGTTCGTTAGGGAAGTTACAGCACCAGTCACTATGGTTGTGCACGAGACCCATAGAGAGCAAGTCACCTTTTTTATTATTGAGTCTCCTGATTTCCCTGTTGTGTTAGGTCTTCCCTGGTTAGCACTACACAACTCCAACTTTTCATGGCCGCAGAGGGTTCACACGGGGTGCTCGCGAGAGTGTCAGGGTAGGTGTCTAGGTGTTTCCGTTGGTGCTACCACGTCCAGACACTACCTCCACCGTGCGCATTCCCCCCAAATACCTCGATTTGGCGCACGTGTTTTCCAAAACGCAGGCGACCAAATTACCACCTCATCGGATGGGGGATTACCTCTGGGTAGACGCTGTGCCTCCCAGGAGTCATGTGTATCCCCTGAAACGGAGGCGATGGAGACATACGTCTCTGAGTCCCTGCATCAGGGGTTCATACGTCCCTCCACTTCGCCCGCCTCCTCGAGTTTCTTTTTTGTGAAGAAGAAAGACGGAGGTCTGCGCCCTTGCATTGATTACCGAGCACTGAACAAGGGGACAATACATTAGTTATCCTCTACCCCTCATTCCATCTGTGATCGAGTCAATGCATGGGGCGCGCTTCTTCACAAAATTAGATCTCCGGAGTGCGTACAACCTGGTGTGTGTCCGAGAGGGGGACGAGTGGAAGACAGCATTCAGCACAACCACGGGGCATTATGAATACCTGGTGATGCCTTACTGTTTGATGAATGCTCCATCAGTCTTCCAGACCTTTGTGAACGAGGTGTTTCGGGACATGCTTGGTAGCGGTGTAGTGGTCTACATCGCTGACATTCTGTGGTATTCCGCTACGCGGGCCGAGCATGTGTCCCTGGTTCGCAAAGTGCTGGCCCGACTGTTGGAACATGACCTTTATGCCAAGGCAGAAAAGTGTCTGTTTTTTTCCAACAGTCCATCTCCTTCCTCGGATACCGCATTACCACCTCAGGTGTGGAGATGGAGGGAGATCGCATTTCAGCCGTGCGTAATTGGCAGACTCCAACCACGGTAAAGGAGGTGCAGCACTTTATTGGCTTTGCCAACTACTATCAGAGGTTTATCCGGGGCTTTGGCAAAGTAGCAGCTCCCATCACATCTCTGTTGAAGGGTGGGCTGTCCCGGCTCCGCTGAGGCTGACATGGCGTTCAGTAACCTGTGGGTTCTGTTCACCTCAGCCCCGGTACTGGCCCATCCCGATCCATCACTACTGTTCGTAGTGGAGGTGGATGAGTCCGAGGTAGGGATAGGCGCTGTCCTATCTCAACGCTCGGGCACGCCACCCAAGCTCCGCCCATGTGCCTTCTTCTCCAAGAAGCTCAGCCCGGCAGAGCAGAACTATGACGTTGTTGATCAGGAGCTGTTGGCTGTTGTCCGAGCTCTGACTGTGTGGAGGCACTGGCTCGAGGGGGCGACACACCCTTTCCTCTTCTGGATGGACCACCGTAACCTGGAGTACATCCGGGCAGCGAGGAGGCTGAACCCTCGCCAGGCCAGGTGGGCCCTATTCTTCACCCGGTTTGATTTTACTCTATCATACATCCCGGGTACGAAGATCGTAAAGGCAGACGCTCTGTCACGGCTGTACGACACAGAGGAGAGGCCCAGAGACAACACCCCCATACTCCCAGCCTCCTGTATTGTGGTGCCGGTAGTATGGGCGATGGACGCGGACATAGAGCGGGCGTTAAGCACAGAGCAATCTCCACCTCAGTGTCCAGCTGGGCTGCAGTACGTGCCGTCTCTTGTCCGTGACCGTCTGATCTATTGGACACACACGTCCCCCTCCTCTGGTCACCCAGGTATCGGTCGTACAGTGCGCTCCATGACCGGAAAGTACTGGTGGCCTACCTTGGCTAAGGACGTGAGGGTGTATGTCTCCTCCTGCTCGGTGTTCGCCCAGAGTAAGACACCTAGGCACCTCCCAGCGGGTAAATTACAGCCCTTACCAGTTCCACAACGGCCATGGTCCCACCTATGTATTGACTTTCTCACTGATCTTCCCCTCTCTCAGGGTAACACCACCATCCAGGTCGTTGTGGACTGCTTTTCAAAAACCTGCTGCCTCCTTCCTCTGCCCGGTCTCCCCACGGCCCTGCAGACGGCGGAGGCCCTGTTTACGCCATCTTCCGGCACTATGGGGTACCAGAGGACATAGTGTCTGACCAGGATCCCCAGTTTACATCCAGGGTCTGGAAGGCATTCATGGAACGTTTGGGGATCTCGTCAGCCTGACCTCTGGTTTTCACCCAGAGAGTAATGGGCAGGTGGAACGGGTGAATCAGGATGTGGGTAGGTTCCTGCGGTCCTACTGCCAGGACTGGCTGGGGGAGTGGTCAGTGTTCTTGCCAGGGGCAGAATATGCCCAGAACTCTCTCCGCCACTCCTCCAGTAACCTATCGCCCTTTCAATGTGTTTTAGGTTATCAGTCAGTTATGGCACTGTGGCATCAAAGCCAGACCGAAGCTCCTGCGGTGGATGACTGGGATGACAGGTTTCGGCGAGCGGAAGAGACGTGGAACGCTGCTCACGTCCACCTCCAGCGCGCCGTGCGTCGCCAGAAGGCCAACGCTGACCGCCACTGCAGTGATGCCCCGGTCTTTGTACCGGATGATCGGGTCTGGCTCTCGACCCGGAATCTGCCCCTCCGCCTGCCCTACCGGAAGCTGAGCCCGCTGTTTGTGGGGCCGTTCAAAGTCCTGAGGAGGATAAACAAGGTTACATATAGGTTATTACTCCCTCCAGATTACCGTATTAACTTCTTATTCCATGTGTCTCTCCTCAGGCCGGTGGTGGCTGGTCCGCTCCAGGAGTCTGAGGTGCGGGAGGTTCCTCCGCCCCCTCTGGACATCAAGGGGGCCCCGGCGTACTCCGTCTGTTCCATTCTGGATTCAAGGTGTCGGGTGGGGGGCCTTCAGTACCTCGTGGAGTGGGAGGGGTATGGTCTGGAGGAGCGGTGTTGGGTTCCGGTGAGGGATATCCTCGATCCCTCCCTATTGTGGGATTTCCACCGCCGCCATCCGGTACTGTCACGACTCCCTCCGAAGCTGCCACCTCTCCTTGTTCTGGCAGGCTTCGGCGTTCGTCATTCCATTTGTTTTGTCTTGTTTATAACACACATCTGGTTCATATCCCCTCATCAGTACCTGTATAAGTGTTCCCTCTGTCCCCCTTGTCTTTGTGTGTGATTGTTTATTGTGAGGATAGTGAAGCTCGGGTTGAGCTGCTTGTATTTTGTATCGCTGGGTTATTTTCCCTGTGTACCTTGTTGGTTCCAGTGCACTGGACTGTTTTGACGCTTTACTGCGTAACTCTGTATTCCGGAATAAATCCTGTTATTCTGTGATTTACCCTCCTGCGACTGACTCCTTCAAATCACCCATCATAAAAGTGGAATTATGTTTGATACATTTTTACAAATTAATTAAAAATGAAAAGCTGAAATGTCTTTAGTCAATAAGTCTTCAACCCCTTTGTTATGGCAAGCCTAAATAAGTTCAGGAGTAAAAATGTGCTTAACAAGTCACATACAGTAAAAGTTGCATGGACTCACTCTGTGTGATATAATAGTGTTTAACATGCTTCTTGAATGACTACCTCATCTCTGTACCCCACACATATCATTATCTGTCAGGTCCCTCAGTCGAGCAGTGAATTTCAAACACAGATTCAACCACAAAGACCAGGGAGGTTTTCCAATGCCTCGCAAAGAATGACACCTATTGATGGGTAAAACAAAAAGCAGACATTGAATATTCATTTGAGCATGGTGAAGTTATTAATTACACTTTGGATGATGTATCAATACACCCAGTCACTACAAAGATACAGGTGTCCTTCCTAATTCAGTTGCCGGAGAGGAAGGAAACCACTCAGGGATTTCACCATGAGGCCAATGGTGACTTTAAAACAGGTACAGAGTTTACTGGCTGTGATAGGAGAAAACTGAGGATGGATTTACAACATTGTAGTTATTCCACAATACTAACCTATATGACAGAGTGAAAAGAAGGAAGCCTGTACAGAATAACAAATATTCCAAAACATTCATCCTGTCTGCAATAAGGCACTAAAGTAAAACCGCAAAAAAATGTGGCAAAGAAATGAACTGTCCTGAATACAAAGCGTTATGTTTGTGGCAAATCCAACACAACACATCACTGAGTACCACTCTTCATATTTTGAAGCATGGTGGTGGCTGCATCATGTTATGGGTATGCTTGTCATCGGCAAAGACTAGGGAGTTTTATTTTATAAAAAGAAAATGGAATAGAGCTAAGCACAGGCATAATCCTAGAGGAAACCCTGGGTTCAGTCTGTTTTCCAACAGACACTAGGAGACAAATTCACCTTTCACCAGGACAATAACCTAAAACACAAGGCCAAATATACTTGAGTTGCTTACCAAGACGACATTGCATTTTCCAAAGTGGCCTAGTTACAGTTTTGACTTAAATCGGCTTGAAAATCTATGGCAAGACTTAAAAATGGCTGTCTAGCAATGCTCAACAACCAACTTGACAGAGCTTGAAGAACTTTGAAAAGAATAAAATGCAAAATTGTGCAATCCAGGTGTGCAAAGCTCTTAGAGACTTACCCAGAAATACAGCTGTAATCGCTGTTAAAGGTGATTCTAACATGTATTGATTTAGGGGTATGAATACTTACGTAAATGAGATATTTCAGTATTTCATTTGAAATACATTTGCAAAAATGTCTAAAAACATGTTTTCACTTCGTCATTATAGGGTATTGTGTGTAGATGGTTGAGGGAAAAAAACGATTTAATACATTTTGAAATCAGGCTGTAACACAACAACATTTGGAATGAGTCAAGGAGTGTGAATACTTTCTGAGGGGACTGTGTATACTGCTGTAATGAATAATAAAGACAGTATCACACTTGATTTAAAATCTGGGCAACTAATGAAGGCCACTGGATGGATTTAAAGAAATCTTTCTGAATCTCTGCAGTGGAACGGGCATGAACCTGAGCTTGAAACCAGCTCGTGGCTATGTCTCAGCAGCAGCCAGTGAGTGAACTCATCCTGTTTTTGGGGTTTATTTAAGGTGGGCAATAATGGTTTTATTGTATTTGTTGACTAATTAATTATTTTACTGTTTTGCTACAAGTTAAGCTGCAGCCCAAAGGGATAGATATAGAGACACTAGGGGCCTTCAATGGTGCACCAGTTGTGGAGGTGGAAATGGACATATTTGAGGACAAACCGTGGAGAAAGCCAGGTAAGGGTTTTGCTTACTTATACTGAACTGATCATTTGAATCTTTGAAATAAAATTGCTGCAGATTGTTACAACATATTATTTTGTATGTTGTTCTGTCTCTAGGTGCCGACCTCTCAGACTACTTCAACTATGGTTTTAATGAGGAAACGTGGAAGGGGTACTGTGAGAGACAGCGCAGACTACAGCTTGGCCTGGAGCCCAGTGCTTCTCTCAGTTTTCAAAACAAGATAACAGTGAGTCCTCAAAACATAGATTAATTATACCAACTTATCACACTACTGTAAAACATTGTGATATTAATTAGCAGTAATTTCGATCCGAATGTGCAAATTGTCCAAACAGATCCGCATGGTAGATGGATTATGGGCGGCAGGTAGCTTAGTGGGTAAGAGCGTTGTGCCAGTAACCGAAAGGTCGCTGGTTCTAATCCCCGAGCCGACTAGGTGAAAAATCTGTCGATGTGCCCTTAAGCAAGGCACTTAACCCTAATTGCTCCTGTAAGTCGCTCTGGATAAGAGCGTCTGCTAAATGACAAAAATTTAATTATTTTAAATATGTTATTGGACCATAAACAGATATGGCTCATTATTAACCTTTATGGACCAAATAATCATGATCCACACTTCTTTGACAATAATAACTATAGTAACTTATCAACCCTGCAAGCAATACAAGACTCTATTATTATGATGGGAGATTATAATACCATTTTAAATAGCTCAATGGACCGTAAAGGAAATCACACTACAAACTATCACCCTCATGCTCTTAAGGAAATCATGAATGTCACGGATATATTGGAACTAGTAGATATATGGAGGCTTAAATATCCTCATCTAGTGAGATATACATGGTGGAGGCTCAATCAAGCTAGTCGTCTTGACTACTTTCTTATGTCATTCTTGTTGGCACCAAAAGTTTAAAGTGTTGATAGGGGACAGAATGCGGTCGGACCATCATATAATTGGCATATATATTACTCTTACTGAATTTCCACGTTGGCGAGGATATTGGAAATTTAATCAAAGCCTATTGGATGATAACTTGTTTTTAACTAGGACAGAGGGATTTATAACACATTTTTTTAGACATAACATAGGTACAGCAAATCCCCTTATTGTATGGGATGCTTTTAAATGTGCCTTTAATAAGCAAACTGGATGGAATATGGGGAAAAATGCACCAAATTATTTAAAAATTATCAACATAGAAATGCTACAAAAAAGAATTTACTGAAACTGGTTACAAATGACGGAGTCACCCATGATTCACCAAATGATATTTTGAAGGAGGAAACACAGTACTTTAAGCATATGTTTTCGTTTTAGTTGCCTCCATCTCCTCTAACTGAAGCTAATTGTAGATATTTTTTTTCTATTGATAATGTAAAATTAACAGCCATACAGAAAGACTAATGTGAAGGTGAAATTACAGAGGAGGAACTTCTGGATGCAATTAAAGACTTTAAGTCCGGGAAAACTCCAGGGTTGGATGGCATACTAGTCGAGGTATACCAAACCTTTTTTGATATACTCAGAGGACTGTTATTAGCATGTTTTAACCACTCCTATGTAAATAGTAGATTATCAGACACTCAAGAAGAAGGTCTGATTTCATTATTACTGAAACAGGATACAAGTGGAAAATATAAAGATCCAGTCCATTAAAAAAATTGGAGGCCCCTTACACTTCAGTGTTGTGATGCAAAAATTCTAGCAAAATGTATAGCGCATATAATTATAAAGGTATTGACTGATATTATTCATTCTAATCAGACAGGTTTTTTACATGGACGATACATTGAAGATAATATAAGGCAAGTACTGGAAACAATAGAACACTATGAAAAATCTGGGAAAACAGGCCTGCTATTCATAGCAGACTTTGAAAAGGTTTTGATAAAGTACGACTGGGGTTTATATATAAATGCCTGGAGCATTTCAATTTTGGAGAATCTCTTATGAAATGGGTTAAAATCATGTATAGTAACCCTAGGTGTAAAATAGTAAATAATGGCTATTTCTCAGAAAGTTTTAAACTGTCAAGAGGAGTGAAACAAGGTTGTCCACTATCGGCATATCTATTTATTATGGCCATCGAAATGTTAGCTATTAAAATCAGATCCAACAATAATATCAAGGGATTAGAAATCCAGGGCTTAAAAACAAAGGTGTCATTGTACGCTGATGATTCATGTTTTCTTTTAAATCTACAACTTGAATCCCTCCACAGCCTCATAGAGGATCTAGATACATTTTCTAACCGCTCTGGATTACAACCAAATTATGATAAATGTACTATATTACGTGTTGGATCACTAAAAAATACAATTTTTACATTACCATGTAGTTTACCAATAAAATGGTCTGATGGTGATGTGGATATACTCGGAATACATATCCCAAATGAAATAAATGATCTCACTCCAATACATTTTAATAGAAAGTTAGCAAAAATAGATAAGATCTTGCTACCATGGAAAGGTAAACACCTGTCTATTTGTGGAAAAATCACCCTGATTAACTCTTTAGTATTATCCCAGTTTACCTATTTGCTTATGGTCTTGCCTATGCCTAGCGAACAGATTTTTAAATTATATGAGAAAAAATATTCTATTTTATTTGGAACGGCATGCCAGACAAAATTAAACGGGCCTATTTATATAAAGAATATGAATTCGGAGGACAGAAATTATTAAATATTAAAGCATTAGACCTATCACTAAACGCTTCAGTCATACAAAAGTTATACTTAAATCCAAACTGGTTCTCTAGCAAATTAGTAAGATTCTCACCCTGTGATGAGTGATTTGAAGGAGTCAGGCGCAGGAGGGTAAATCACAGAATACAGAATTTATTCCGGAATACAGAGTTACTCGGAAATGCGTCAAACAGTCCAGTGCACAAAACAGGCGCACTGGAACTAAACAGGCACACGGGGAAAAATACCCCGGCAATACAAAATACACGGAGCTCAACCAAGCTACACTCTCCTCACAATAAACAATCACACACAAGGACAAGGGGGCAGAGGGAACACTTATACAAGTACTAATGAGGGGATATGAACAAGGTGTGTGTAATCAACAAGACAAAACAAATGCAATGATGAGATGAGGAGCGGCGGTGACGACGAACGCCAAAGCCTGCCCGAACAAGGTGAGCTGGCAGCTTCGGAGGAAGTCGTGACACACCCAATGTTCAAGAATGGTCTTTTTCCCTTTATTCAGATTACAACCCCTCACTTTCAAGTATTTGAAAAGGAAATCATCTCCCAAATATCACTATTTCTAAAACAAGCCATAGAAAGTTGGTTGCAATTTCAATTTAATCCTCCAGAAACAACAGAACAAATAATGCAACAAATATTGTGGTTAAACTCAAATATACTAATTGATAAAAAAAATATTATTTTATGAAAATTGTTTAAAAAAGGTATAATCTTCGTAAATGATATCATCGGTAGGACTGGTGGAGTTATGTCGCACACGCAGCTAACAAAAACATATGGAAATGCTCTACCCAAAATTACAACCAAATAATTGCACCATTACCGCAAAAATGGAAGAGGAAAGTGGAAGGGGCACTGTTGCGCCTTCTTCACCACACTGTCTATGTGGGTGGACCATTTCAGATTGTCAGTGATGTGTACGCCGAGGAACTTGAAGCTTTCCACCTTCTCCACTGCGGTTCCATTTATGTGGATAGGGGCGTGCTCCCTCTGCTGTTTCCTGAAGTCCACGATCAGCTCCTTTGTTTTTTGACGTTGAGGGAGATGTTATTTTCCTGGCACCACTCCACCAGGGCCCTCACCTCCTCCCTGTAGGCTGTCTCGTCATTGTTGGTAGTCAGGCCTACTACTGTTGTGTCGTCTGCAAACTTGATGATTGAGTTGGAGGCGTGCGTGGCCAGGAGAGGGCTGAGCACGCACCCTTGTGGGGCCCCTGTGTTGAGAATCAGCGAAGTGGAGGTGTTGTTTCCTACCTTCTCCACCTGGGGGCAGCCTGTCAGGAAGTCCAGGACCCAGTTGCACAGGGCGGGGTTCAGACCCAGGGCCCCAAGCTTAATGATGAGCTTGGAGGGTACTATGGTGTTGAAGGATGAGCTATAGCCAATGAACAGTATTCTGACGTACAGTTGAAGTCGGAAGTTTACATACACTTAGGTTGGAGTCATTAAAACTCATTTTTCAACCACTCCACAAATTTCTCGTTAACAAACTATAGTTTTGGCAAGTCGGTTAGGACATCTACTTTGTGCAATTTTTCCAACAATTGTTTACAGACAGATAATTTTCCTTATAATTCACTGTATCACAATTCCAGTGGGTCAGAAGTTTACATACACTAAGTTGACTGTGCCTTTAAACAGCTTGGAAAAATCCAGAAAATGATGTCATGGCTTTAGAAGCTTCTGATATGCTAATTGACATCATTTGAGTCAATTTGAGGTGTACCTGTGGATGTATTTCAAGGCCTACCTTCAAACTCAGTGCCTCTTTGCTTGACATCATGGGAAAATCAAAGGAAATCAGCCAAGACCTCAGAAAAAAAATTGTAGACCTCCACAAGTCTGGTTCATCCTTGGGAGCAATTTCCAAATGCCTGAAGGTACCACGTTCATCTGTACAAACAATAGTACGCAAGTATAAACACCATGGGACCACGCAGCCGTCATACCGCTCAGGAAGGGGACGCGTTCTGTCTCCTAGAGATGAACGTACTTTGGTGTGAAAAGTGCTAATCAATCCCAGAACATCAGCAAAGGACCTTGTGAAGATGCTGGAGGAAACAGGTACAAAAGTATCTATATCCACAGTAAAATGAGTCCTATATCGACATAACCTGAAAGGCTGCTCAGCAAGGAAGAAGCCGCTGCTCCAAAACCGCCATAAAAAAGCCAGACTACGGTCTGCAACTGCACATGGGGACAAAGATCGTACTTTTTGGAGAAATGTCCTCTGGTCTGATGAAACAAAAATAGAACTGTTTGGCCATAATGACCATTGTTATGTTTGGAGGAAAAAGGGGGTGCCTTGCAAGCTGAAGAACACCATCCCAAGCGTGAAGCACGGGGGGTGGCAGCATCATGCTGTGGGGGTGCTTTGCTGCAGGAGGGACTGGTGCCCTTCACAAAATAGATGGCATCATGAGGAAGGAAAATTATGTGGATATATTGAAGCAACATCTCAAGACATCAGTCAGGAAGTTAAAGCTTGGTCGCAAATGGGTCTTCCAAATGGACAATGACCCTAAGCATACACAAAAAATGTATGCACGCATGACTGTAAGTCGCTTTGGATAAAAGCGTCTGCTAAATGGCATATTATTATTATTATTATTATTATTACTTCCAAAGTTGTGGCAAAATGGCTTAAGGACAACAAAGTGGCCATCACAAAGCCCTGACCTCAATCCTATAGAAAAGTTGTGGGCAGAACTGAAAAAGCATGTGCGAGCAAGGAGGCCTACAAACCTGACTCAGTTACACCAGCTCTGTCAGGAGGAACTGGCCAGAATTCACCCAACCTATTGTGGAGAGCTTGTGGAAGGCTACCTGAAATGTTAGACCCAAGTTAAACAATTTAAAGGTAATGCTACCAAATACTAATTGAGTGTATGTAAACTTCTGACCCACTGGGAATGTGATGAAAGAAATAAAAGCTGAAATAAATAATTCTCTCTACTATTATTCTGATATTTCACATTCTTAAAATAAAGTGGTGATCCTAACTGACCTAAGACAGGGAATTTTTACTAGGATTAAATCAGGAATTGTGAAGAACAGATTTTTGAATGAACCACCTCATCCCTGTACCCCACACATACAATTATCTGTAAGGTCTCTCAGTTGAGCAGTGAATTTCAAACACAGATTCAACCTAAAGACCAGGGAGGTTTTCCAATGCCTCACAAAGAAGTGCACCTATTGGTAGATGGGTAAAAAAAAAAAAAAGCAGACATTGAATATCCCTTTGAGCATAGTGAAGTTATTCAGTACACTTTGGATGGTGTATCAATACACCCAGTCACTACAAAGATACCTTCCGAAGAGGAAAGAAACCGCTCAGTGATTTCACCATGACAATGGTGACTTTAAAACAGTTCCAGAGTTTAATGGTTGTGATAGTAGAAAACTGAGGATGGATCAACATTGTAGGTACTCCACAATACTAACCTAATTGATAGAGTGAAACGAAGGAAACCATTACAGACAAAAAATATTCCAAAACGTGCATCCTGTTTCCAACAAGGCACAAAGTAATACTGCAAAAAATGTGGCAAAGCAATTCACTTTTTGTCCTGAATTCAGAGTGTTATGTTTGTGGCAAATCCAATACAACATATTACTGAGTACCACTCTCTATATTTTGAAGCATAGTGGTGGCTGCATCATGTTAATGGTAAGGCTTGTAATCGTTAAGGACTAGGGCGATTTTCAGGATAAAAAAATTAATGGAATGGAGCTAAGCACAGGCAAATTCTAGAGGAAAACCTTTTTCAGTCTGCTTTCCACCATACACTGGGTGATGAATTCACCTTTCAGCAGGACAATAACCTAAAACACAAGGTCAAATCTACACTGGAGTTGCTTACCAAGAAGACGGTGAATGTGTCTCAGTGGCAGAGTTACAGTTTTGACTTAAATCTGCTTGAAAATCTATGGCAAGACTTGAAAATGGTTTTCTAGCAATGATCAACAACCAATTTGACAGAACTTGAAGAATTTGGAAAATAATCATGGGTAAATATTGTACAATCCAGGTGTGCAAAGCTCTTAGAGACTTACCCAGACAGACTCACAGCTGTAATCGCTGTCAAAGGGGATTCTACAAAGTATTGACTCAGGGGTGTGAATACTTATGTAAATTAGATATTTCTGTGTTTCATTTTCAATACATTTGCTAAAATTTCTAAAAACATATTTTAACTTTTTCATTATGGGATATTGTGTGCAGGTAGCTTAGTGGTTAAGAGCGTTGTGCCAGTAACCGAAAGGTCGCTGGTTCTAATCCCCGAGCCGACTAGGTGAAAAATCTGTCGATGTGCCCTTGAGCAAGGCACTTAACCCTAATTGCTCCTGTAAGTCGCTCTGGATAAGAGCGTCTGCTAAATGACTAAAAATAAAAAATAAAAAATAGATGGGTGAAAAAATATATATTCATCCATTTTGAATTCAAGCTGTAACAAACACAACAAAATGTGGAATAAATCAAGGGGTATGAATACTTTCTAAAGGCACTGTATCATTAATATACACTACCGGTGAAAAGTTTTAGAACATCTACTCATTCAAGGGTTTTTCTTTATTTTGACTATTTTATACATTGTAGAATAATAGTGAAGACATCAAAACTATGAAATAACACATATGGAATCATGTAGTAACCAAAAAGGTGTTAAACAAATCAAAATATATTTTGAGATTCTTCAAATAGCCACCCTTTGCCTTAATAACAGCTTTGCACACTCTTGCCATTCTCTCAACCAGCTTCACCTGGAATGCTTTTACAACAGTCTTGAAGGAGTTCCCATATATGCTGAGCCGGTTAAGAGCGTTGTGCCAGTAACCGAAAGGTCGCTGGTTCTAATCCCCGAGCCGACTAGGTGAAAAATATTTTCCTTCACTCTGCGGTCCGACTCATCCCAAACCATCTCAATTTGGTTGAGGTCGGGGGATTGTGGAGACCAGGTCATCTGATGCAGCACTCCATCACTCTCCTTCTTGGTAAATAGCCCTTACACAACCTGAAGGTGTGTTGGGTCATTGTCCTGTTGAAAAACAAATGATAGTCCCACTAAGCCCAAACCAGATGGGATAGCATATCGCTGCAGAATTCTGTGGTAGCCATGCTGGTTAAGTGTGCCTTGAATTCTAAATAAATCACAGACAGTGTCACCAGCAAAGCACCCCCACACGATAACACCTCCTCCTCCATGCTTTATGGTGGGAAATACACATGCGGAGATCGTCCGTTCACCCACACCGCGTCTCACACGGCGGTTGGAACCAAAAATCTCCAATTTGGACTCCAGACCAAAGGACAAATTTGGCCCAAGCAAGTCTCTTCTTCTTATTGGTGTCCTTTAGTAGTGGTTTCTTTGCAACAATTTGACCATGAAGGCCTGATTCACACAGTCTCCTCTGAACAGTTGATGTTGAGATGTGTCTGTTACTTGAACTCTGTGAAGCATTTATTTGGGCTGCAATTTCTGAGGCTGGTAATTCTAATGAACTTATCCTCTGCAGCAGAGGTAACTCTGGGTCTTCCATTCCTGTGGCGGTCCTCATGAGAGCCAGTTTCATCATAGCCTTGATGGTTGCGACTGCACTTGAAGAAAGAGTGTGCTAAGCTGTCACCAAGGCAAAGGGTGGCTATTTGAAGAATCTCAAATATAAAATATATTTTAATTTGTTTAACACTTTTTTGGTTACTACATGATTTCATATGTGTTATTTAATAGTTTTGATGTCTTCACTATTAGAACATTTTTAAAACAATGAAAAACCCTTGAATGAGTAGGTGTTCTAAAACTTTTGACCAAATCATACCATATTAGAGAGACAGGAAATTGACAACGTTTATTTATGTGAACTGAAATAATATAGACTGGCCCAGACAAGGAAAAGCTGCTTTTTCCTGTGTCAGATTTCTCATTCCACACTTAAATCAAGGCCAGACCTCTCTGGATTTGGCCCCAAGTCAAATAATACATTAATAATTCCATTGATAATACTATTATAAATGTTCATATAAAATAATGGTTTATCTTATCTCTAAATGTGATACAGTACTAACATAGATTCAATTATATTAACAGTGATATTTTGCGGGTGGGAAATAATTGGATAATTGTTTTATTTTCGAGGTTCAGCAGGGAAGGGTAACCACTTTAGAAAAGGATACAGAACCGTCTTCCATCAAGCCTGATTACAAGCCAGACTTTCCCTCTGCTTCAGTCCTGGCCCTCGCCGCCAACAGACTGAAGGCAGGACCCCCACCTAACAGGTAAACATGTAAGAGGGATTAAGAATACCTGTGAATAAAGGTATGCTTAAATATGGAAGTAATAACCTTTTTACCTGTTCAAGCATCACACCAGCTCAGTCTTGTCTCCCACAATGTTACAATGTTCCAGCTTAACATGTCTGTACGTATACAATGTCAGTTTGGCATAGAGGAGTTGGGACATCCGGTTTTCTTACATCATTGCCTTATCCACTTGTTGCCCTAGCATAAACATTCCCGGACACAAAATAGTAGCTAGCAAGATGGAGATCACAGAGGTTATTTTTAATGAGTGCATTTCGCAAGTGGATAGTTTGCATCAACTACCTTCACTAAAACCACTGCAAAGGTTTTGCCTGCAAACATTGGTTTCGAATGGCGACGTTCTGGCATACCTGCCTCGTGATTTGTTGGCTTTTTTTTGTTTTTTGTCATCCGTCATTAATCCCAGACCAAGAGCTGTTGCTGCCCTAGGTCTGGGATTTCCGAGACTAACTCAGATCTGGTACAACATTTCCCTCAAAAGAAATGGATTGTAATTAGTTACGTTTTTTAAATACTTATTTTACACTTGGTAGAGAAAGCATGTGAAGCTATCAATTGGCGGCTCTAAATGGCTCCTGACTGCAGTGAGAGTACAGATGGCTGTCATCTCTTTCTGTAGGAAATTGGGTGGAACTATTGATGTGATTGGTGGACAGACAGGAGCCATTCGCCGGGTTGAAGGTCGAAGGAGGGAAATGCAGGAACAGAATCCCATCCAGGTTAATCTGTTCACACATTCAGTGATTTTATTTGATGAAGTCAGGCTGCAGGCTAAGGAGTGTAAAACACACACCTATTGTTCTGCATCATTCAATGTTCTCAACAACTCTGCAGGTGCTTGGAGACCATGGTAACAAGATACAACCCTTGGTTCCACCAGCAGGACCTCCCCCTCCTCTTCCTCTTCCAATGGGTATGCCCCCCCCACACTTCCTGCATCCTCCTCCACCAGTATCTGGTATGCCCCCACCTCTTCACCCCCCAGGTAAGGTATCATCCTTTATCCACACCATGAATGAAAGCATACCAAATGCATAGTCTTGAGATATGATAAGGAGAGCCAGGAGAAACTGACTATAACATAATGTTTATAATACCTTTACATGTTTGGTCTCATTCTCAGGTATACCCCCACCTTCCATTACAGGTAAGTATTTATAGCTGGACCACAAAACGATTAGTTACCGGAGTGTAACTCCAGTTCTATGAGTGGAGCGGAGCCCCATAGGGGAGCTCTGCTCCTAGTGGTTTACCCTCTGCCCTAAGGCAGCAACAGCCTGAGACAAAATTATGCACACACCTGCAGCCAATAGGAGCACAGGTGTCCCTATAAGAGGGGATGCCTCCCCTCAATCAGCCTCCCGAGATATTTATCTTCAGCGAGACTAGAGAGGGTCGGCAGGGCCTTAAGTCCTATGGGGCTCCGCTCCACTCATAGAACTGGAGTTACACTCCGGTAACTAATCGTTCTATATCGTGGAGCTCCGCCCCATAGGGGAGCTCTGCTCCTAGTGGTTTAAGGCGGAGCGTAGCGCTCCAAAATGTACTCCCTGCCGAGCCTAACACTTCCCATCGAAACGAAAAGGTCAGGCCTAGCAATGGCTGCAACCAAGTCCCGCAGTACTGCAACTAAAAACCCCTACGGGCGTCACAATATACCGCGTCATCGGTTAAAGACCCGCCCCACCTAGTCCAATGGCAATGCCAATGACTAGTGGGCAGATCACCAGAATAGAAGCCATACTAATCTGTACTAGCAGATAGATGTGCCTCAATATCCTGTGAAAACACTACCGACCACTAATGGAATGACACCAAGTGTCACTCTACATTGTGAACGCGGTAGACCGCCTCACTCACTCAATGGAATCCCAGAGATTAGTGGGCAGGAACAAAACATGGGTCATACTAAACTGAACAAGCAGATAGATTACCTCACATTCTGTCAATCAACACATGCCTCTACTGTACTGAACCTGTCAGTCAGGAGTCATGCCACAAAATATGTTTTTTATCCAAAGCGGACCTGATGGAAACCTTGTCCATAGTCCTGCTTTTTCCTCTCTTCCTAGCTCAAGATCTCCCTTCAGTTATGCTGAGTACAGACCGAGCCAAAGAGTTAGAAAACACATCTGTCAAAAACACATCTTCCTAACCAAAGCGGACCTGATGGAAACCTGTGTCCACAGTCCTGCTTCTCCTCTCTTTCTTGCTCAAGATCTCCCTTCAGCCATGCTGAGTACAGATCGAGCCAGAGAGTTAGAAGACATATCTAAGAGATAGAAACAGATAAATGGAGACGGCGTCGACCAGGATGCTGCTCTACAGATATCCTCTACCCCTGTTCCTCTGAAAAGGGCAGTAGAAGCCGCTACTCCACGAGTGGAGTGAGCTCTGATACCCTGAGGCAATTGCCGCCCGCTGCCTCATAAGCTGTCTCAATGCCTTCACAAAGCCAGTGAGACAACCGCTGTTTTGAAAGTGGTCTACCTAGTGCAGCCGCACCGTGACACACAAACAACTGAGGCGATGACCTAATCGCTGCTGTGCGCTCGACGTAACACGCCAAAGAGCGTACCGGGCACAGGCGATGGAGCTTTTCCTCACTCCTCTCTCAATGAGGAGGAGGAGAAAAAGCCCACAGCTCCACGGTCTGTGACCTATATGAACTCTTAATAACCTTCGGCACAAATGCCGGGTTAGGACGTAACACTGCTCTGCTCAGGTCACCATTGATGGCCAGGCAGTCAGGTCTCGTCGAAAGAGCACACAAATCACTGACCCGCTTAGCTGTAGTCAAAGCGAGCAACAGTGCTGTCCTGATAGACAGCATCTTGAGGGGTATTTGATTCAATGGCTCGAACGGCGACTTACATAGCGCTTCGAGTACCAAAGCCAAATCCCACTGAGGAAGCGTGAGTCTAGGTGTTGGCCTAAGTCGCCGCGTTCCTAATAGGAAGCGTTTCACTAGAGGGTGGCTAAAGACATTGTCTCTGCCAAACCCCTCATGACAAGCTGAAATTGCTGCTGAAAACACCCTAATAGTGGCAGGCGATTTTTGCTTATCAAACATGAGCTGTAGAAAAGAGAGAATACTCTCCACCTGACAGCTCATGGGGTCTACACCTTGTGTGACACACCATCGTGAAAACACGTTCCATCTACTGGCATACATCTTAGAAGTGGAACTGGCACGTGAACCCTGTATGGTCCTGATCACTGCATCAGATAACCCACGGCGCTCTAGCCTGTCCCTCTCAGCAGCCAGGCCTTCAGTGGTTGGCCGATTATGGGCAATTTCCCTATCGTGCCTCCCGCCTGAGACAACGCGTCCCGTCGATGTGGAATTGGCCAAGGTGGCGCAATCAACATCTGACTCATCTCCGCAAACCAAGGAGCCCCCGGGCGATCGGGCGCTATCAGTATCACTGACAGCCCCCCTGACCTCACCCTGGCTAGCAGTGGGAGAATGCAGGACAGCGGAGGGAATGCATACAGGAGAACTCTCGGCCACGGTTGGTGCGCAAAGGCGTCCCTTCCCAGTGGCGGTTCGTCCTGTTCCCTCAGAGAGAACCACAGAGGACATTGCGCGTTCACGCGTGACGCGAATAGGTCCACCTCGGCTCTCCCGAATTGTTCCCAAATCTGAAGAACAATGTCCGGATGCAGACACCACTCGTCGTCTCGAGGACCCCCTCTTGACATGAGGTCTGCTCCTACGTTCGAGTAGCCCGGAATGTGTGCTGCTCTCAATGAGCGAAGGTGCTCGTAAGCCCACAGCCACAATTCCTCTGCTGCCCGATGGAGAGCAGGAGACCTGACTCCTCCCTGGCGATTTATGTGAGCTACTGTGGTCCGGTTGTCTGACCAGACCAGCACATCGCGACCCCGAAGGGTAGACGCGAAGTGGGTCAGAACCAGTCTAACCGTTTCCAACTCCAAGAGGTTGATATGATGACCTGATTGAGGCCACACACCTCCTATCGCTTGGGTCTGACATGTCCCTCCCCATCCCGTCAGGGACGCATCCGTGAATACTGGGATGTGAGAGGACACCTTTCCTATCGGGACTCCATGCGTGAGAATGCGCAGGTTTCTCCAATAGTTCAGATCTGCACTGAGCGAGAGGGGAACCACCACCAACCGATGACGTTGATGCAATGGGTCTAGTCTTAGTTGGGCGAACCATCGCTGCATCCTGCGCATATGCAGGAGTCCCAGCGGAACCACAGAGTGGGCTGACGACATGAGACCCAAAAATGACATGATCGACAGCGCCGTCACCGTGTGATTCGGACGACACTTCCTCAGGGCTAGCAACAAGGCTACCTTTCGGGGGTCCGAAATTCGAGCCCTCATCCTCACAGTGTCTAGCTGTATCCCCAGGTAGTCAATCTGATGAGTGGGCCAGGGCGCGCTCTTTTTCCAATTCACAGCAAACCCCAGACTTGTGAGATGCATCACTGTCTGTGTTGTGTGAGTGATCGCCAGCTCTGCTGACGGGGCGAGAACCAGTAGATCGTCCAGGTAGGCTAGTAGCCGTATTCCCTGACGACGCAACGGTTCCAATGCCGCCTCCACACACTTGGAAAATGTGCGAGGTGCCAGGGCGTATCCAAATGGCATCCTCGTGTATTCGTACGCCACCCCTTGAAAGGCGAACCGCAGAAACTTCCTCTGACGCGGCTGAACCGGCACATGAAAGTACGCGTCCTTTAGGTCTATGCTCGTACAAAAGTCCCTTCTCTGGACACATTCCAGCAGGCGTTTTGTCGTTAGCATTCGGAAGGGCCGTTTGGTTATGCTCTCGTTGAGAATGCGTAAGTCCAAAATCGGCCTCACTCCCCCCGTCTTTTTGGGCACTAGGAAATAAGGCGAATATAGCCCTTTGTTCCTTTGCTCCCGGGGAACTACTGTCACCGCCTCCTTCGCCAAAAGTTCCGTAATCTCTGTCATCAGAGCGGCCACTTTGTCTGGCGTTTTCATCACCGTCTCCACCACTCACCTGAACGGGGGTGGGGTCCGGTGGAATTGGAGAGCATAACCCTTCTGCAACGTCTGTTCTAGCCAGCGTGAGAGGGTGCAGCTTCTTCGCCACTGCCAGCAATGCAGAGAAAGCGGCTGAGCACGAAGCTGTGGTGCATCCAGTAGGAAGGACCTGTATTCCTCTATGGCCCTTACCGCCACTGTTCCCCAACATTGAAGTGGTGGAACAGCCCAAGGTGGGCCTCCCGTGAAAGGGAGTGGAACCATCAATGCGTTCTGAGAGAGAAAGAGGAGCAGGGACGTCGGTTAAACTCGTAACCGTCGTATTCCTGCCCTCCTTGAACGCATCGCGGGTCTGAATTGCGCTGACCGAGGTCACAGCCTGCGGCAGGGCACCATCCCCAGCAAGCGATTGCATCATCTTAGGTGACTGCAATTCGCTATCAGAGCCCTTCACTACAGTACTCCTAGAAGTCTGTAGTATGAGGTCTCTATGAGGTAAAACAAGGCGGCGCCTTGATACCTTCTTAACTTTCACCTTCTGTGTGTGTTCAACTCTGCACCCCTGGTGGGTTGATTCACACTCAGTGTGGTGAGTACTAGCTCGTTCTGTCAGGGGAGCCGATACGTTGGTTATACCCATAACCCTAGTAATCCGGCCCTCCGTGAACGTAGCATGGTTCTGAATCGCATTAACCGAGACCTTGGTCTGCGATAATGCGCCGTCCCCAGATAGCTGCTGTGTTACAATGCCTGGGGGCGCCGATACTCTGGACACCTTCGTGACCGCGGTAATCGGGCCCTCCGTGAACGCAGCATGGGTCTGGCTCGTACTAGCAGAGACCTTAGTCTGTGCTAGTGCGCCATCCCCAAATAGCGGCTGCGTCCTCATGTCAGAATCTGACAGAGACTGCTGCCTGCTATGTAAAGCACTTCTTATACGTGAAGTGTGATGTGACGACCTGATTGAGGTCTTATGGATACCTACTCTAAGTGCCTGTTCAGCAACGCACCCTCAGTGGGCTGAATGGCTCTTAGAGTGGTAAGGAAGAGAGGGTGAGATTTGAACGCTCTCGGACGTATTATGGAAAAGAGGCTCTTTTTTGACAAAGTCATGTGGAGCCAACTCTTTATTAAACACATCAACAAAGGCATTTACATCAACACCCATCCCTTCAACCGAAGGGTGGGGGGGGAACAGTGGGCACGTTCGACACCATCGACGCGTCCTCCATCCACTCCCCCGCGTCCCGTCACGTACGCCTCCTTTTGCCTCCCTTGGAGGGCCAGGTCGGCGTCCTCGTCACCTCCCTCGCCGGCTGAAGTGGGGCTACTGTAGCTGCTGGAAGGGCGGGGCCCGTTCCCTTGCTGCTCGCTGCCGCCGGATGACGCCGATTACACCGCCTCGCTGTAGACCCCGGTCTACTTTGAGGGGCCGAGGTAGATGGCCTCTGGGACGGAGCGGGCCGAGTCGTCCTGCCAACGGCAGGTGCTTGGCCAGCTGTTTCTTCTCCTCCTCCAGTTTGGAAAAACGCTCCGTCGCCTCCTTGACTGCGACCCCAAAGAGGCCGTCGTCAGAGAGGGGGGCGTTCAAGAGAGACGTCCTGTCTGCCTCTTTCATGGAAGTCAATGACAACCAGAGGTGTCGCTCCCCGACCACCGAAGTGGCCATAGACCTCCCCGCGCAGACTGCGGACGCCTGTGTTAGGTGGAGTATGGCGCCAGAAATTCTGGACGCCTCCTCCACCTCCTCCGGTGCCAGCTCTGTCTTGCCCGTGGTTAAACGGGACAGAGCGGCCGCCAAGAGGCCAATGTTATTAGCTGCTGCTACAGCTTGGGCTCCCAACCCAAAGGACTTCTCTAACAGCGACGCTGTGAGTCGGTCCTTCTGGGATGGCAATGTGGCCTTCTTGGAAGAGGGCCAAGGGCTCGAACCCGGTACAAGATACGCCGCCATGGCGCTCTCTAACCTGGGGATTCCCTTGCCCTGGAACCTTCCTTCCACTCTCGTGAATGGGAGGTACGCTTTCACTGGCGAACGCGCCGCTAAAGGTGCCTCCCACGAGCCCTCAACATACCTGGCCAAAGAAGGCATGGCAGGAGCCACTGGCTCTGCCGCCTTCTCGGCCTGGAATAAGGACCGCCCTCCATCATATCAACCTCCGGTGCGGAGGGAAGAGGGGGCAGCCTTATCTCCAGACGTTGCGCAGCTCTCTCAATAAGACCCGGAAAATCCGCTCTCAGAGAGGCTGCAGCGAAGGACAGGGCTTCTGATCTCTCAGAGCTCGTGTCCCCTTCGCTATAGGGACTACAAGCCCTCTCGCTTTCCAAGGGAAAGGGGGGCTTGAAAATATGAGGGATGGGGTCTGACTGTTCCATCGGAACGCCGGACTCCTCCTCAAAATCCCTATCCTACCCCGAGTCTGCGCCGTCGGACGACGCCTCTGAAGCAGAGGCTAGTATCGACAGCACGTCCTCAAGGGGGATGTCCTCCCTAAAAAACGCCCAACGCTGCTTCCTCTCCTTTAAAGAAAGGAGGGCGCAGGAGGCGCAATTCGGGGGACTGCAGACGCCTTCCTTGGCATGCTGGGATCCCAAACACACGAAACACAGGTCGTGGTGGTCACCGGCCGCCATAGAAGTGCATCTGCACTGAGCTCTGAAAAGAGCTTTTGGGGGTGGGAAATCTCCCGGTGTGCTCATTTAGACGACGTTGATGACTGGAATATCAACGGCGTTTTCGTCCTGAGTCTTCGTGCTTCGTCTCTTCTTGGCTCTTCAGTCTAGTCATCCAGTCGCTGAAGAAAAAGGGAGGCTGATTGAGGGGAGGCATCCCCTCTTATAGGGACACCTGTGCTCCTATTGGCTGCAGGTGTGTGCATAATTTTGTCTCAGGCTGTTGCTGCCTTAGGGCAGAGGGTAAACCACTAGGAGCAGAGCTCCCCTATGGGGCGGAGCTCCACGATATAGAACTCTGTGTAATCCTTAGTTTCTCAGAGGATGCAAGAGAAATGCATTTAATTGTAGTATGATAAATATTATACAACATGCTTTGAAATGGCTGTAAACATACATAACCATGAATCTAGAATTGTAATCTGAATTTGTATGTTACATAGTTATACAAATATTTGTTGTTAGTGATGATTACATACTGCTTTTCCCCTAGGCCTGTTCCCACCTCCCCTTGCTCCTCCCCCTACCTTGATGATGCCACCAGTGGATAGGTACGTGAGAGTCAATAGACTAATTAAAATGTACTAACGCATTAATAAGGCAATATGTTCAGACGCTGCTCTAAAGTCACGCCCAACTCAAAAATGTCCACAAACCGGTTTGCCTGGCCACTCTTTTGATGATAGATCAGGTACCTCTGCTGTGCTATCAACCATAGCTGCAGGAAGTAGGGGTGCTGAGGTTGCTGCAGCACCACCTGAAAAAAAATGTCTCACAAAAGTAGTGCACTGGGCCTTTAATAGTCCTGTATTAGCAGACCAATATAGCAGTCTGTAGCGCAAGCTAAAAAATATTTCAGAAACAAATTGCAGCACCCCCACCCCCAAACATCTTCCTGCTGACTGCAGGGAGGCATCAGACTCAGAGAACTTCTGTTTCATAACTTCTTCCCTGAATTACAGCAGTAGAGCCCCTCTTCCTTTCGGATACAACAGTGGAGGTATGTATGGTGGTTACCTTGCAGGTTAAAAATACAATTGTCATGCCTTATGCTCCACACATCAAATAACTTCCCCTTGTATTGCAGTTAATGCAGTGTATTTTCTTTCAGAGCCAAGCTTCATTAACTACCCTCCAGTCTCATCATCACACATGCCGTGGGGCTCTGTGCTGGAGAAGGGGGGTGGGGAAGACGGAGGGCGAGGGCATTGGGAGTACCAAGGAGGTCATAGAGAAAGAGACAGAGAGAGGGATCAAGAGAGAGATCATACTCCAACCACCAGCGAATATAAGTGTGTAAACAAAACAAATAAAATGTTAAACAGTGTAGATACTGATCCATTTGCTTATGATGTTTTGTGGGAACTTTAACCTTTCGCATGCCTTAACTTTCTCCCATCTGTCCTGATATCTGGCCTAGTGAGGATGACCGTTACCACTACTACAGCCATGATCGAGAGAGTGAGCGAGAATTTGAGCGCAGTTACCTTCATGTTCACGACAGCAGCGGTGAACGTAGCAGGGAGAGGGAGGAGCATCAGCGAGACAGACGCCATCGTGACAAGGAGGAGAGTGGTAAACACAAGTCTTCCAAACGGTGAGGGAAAGTTAGTATTGTCAGATTGAGAAAAAGGAAAATACAGTAGGACAGACAATTTGTGATTTAATGCAAATATATTGTGCACACTGGTTAGTTTTTACTTTACTGGCCTACATTTATGAGATTGATGGACATAAGCTCCATTGATGAGCTTGTGGTTCTTATAAACTAGCAACGTGTGGTTACTCACTTTAAGACTTAAGATAAACACTTACAAAAAATAAAAACAGAATTATATTATATTATTAATTTCCTTACAGCAAGCAGCATGATGATGAGGGGGAGGTGCATCGCAGACACAAGCACAAGAAAAGCAAACGCAGCAAAGAGGACAAGGATGACCCAGAGGATATGGTGGGGCGTGGGGAAGAGCACAAGGACTGAAAAAAACAGAACACTGCGGCTCCATGGCTAGTTCTTACTTTTTGTAAAAAGAAAATGACCATGGCTAGACAACTTTGATTTCTTGTAAGGAAAAATTGGATATGAAATGTCCATTTCAAGTGAAGTGATTGGAATCAAGACAGAGATTCCAATCTAACTGCTTCTTAAGTTGTTTCAATGGTGTGTAGCCTAAAATACAAATGTAATCACACTAGAATGATGATTTTTACTCATGCATTGATCATGGACATTCTCAATTGCATCATTCCATTGTCCAGATTCCCCATAATTGTCAGCGTTAGGACAGGCCCCATCTTGCTTTGTCATATTGTAAATATATAGAATGTCATTTCTTTGCCAGAAGCCATTTCAAACACTGTGTTGATACCACTTTTTCTATTAAAAATATTACTTGATACAAATATGTCATCATGTAGATTAGATTCAAACTATCTTCTGACATTCTGGCACAGAGTAGCAAGGTATAATAGAATATAATGCTGTATACTATCACCTCTCTTTACATTAAACTAAATCCTGACCTGGGCTCTACTATTTTTTTGTAATCTGTGACCATCAACCATTTTGACTATGCGTAGCGTAGTTTGTAATCACAGCAGTGTTTGAGGCCTTGCTTTATTGCGCTGATTTTTTTTCTCACAATGCACTTTTTTTTTCTTTTTTTTTTTTTACCTTTATTTAACCAGGTAAGCCAGTTGAGAACAGGTTCTCATTTACAACTGCGACCTGGCCAAGATAAAGCAAAGCAGTGCAATAAAAACAACACAGAGTTACATATGGGGTAAAAAACATAAAGTCAAAAATACAACAGAAAATATATATACAGTGTGTGCAAATGTAGCAAGTTATGGAGGTAAGGCAATAAATAGGCTATAGTGCAAAATAATTACAATAGTATTAACACTGGAATGCTAGATGTGCAAGAGATTATGTGCAAATAGAGATACTGGGGTGCAAAAGAGCAAAGTAAATAACAATATAGGGATGAGGTAGTTGGGTGGGCTAATTTCAGATTGGCTGTGTACAGGTGCAGTGATCGGTAAGGTGCTCTGACAACTGATGCTTAAAGTTATTGAGGGAGATAAGAGTCTCCAGCTTCAGAGATTTTTGCAATTCGTTCCAGTCTTTGGCAGCAGAGAACTGGAAGGAATGGCGGCCAAAGGAGGTGTTGGCTTTGGGAATGACCAGTGAGATATACCTGCTGGAGCGCAGACTACGGGTGGGTGCTGCTATGGTGACCAATGAGCTAAGATAAGGCGGGGATTTGCCTAGCAGTGATTTATAGATGGCCTGGAGCCAGTGGGTTTGACGACGAACATGTAGTGAGGACCAGCCAATAAAAATGCAGCAATAATCTAAATTCAAATTTTGGCTATGTCCAACAATTGCATGTGAAGTGGTGGTGATGAACCATCAGGTCATGATAGACTTCTCATTTGACATTTGTTACATTTTGAAGGGCACTATGACAATGTTGACTAGGCATATTCAATTTTATTTTATGGGGTTTAGATTATAATAGGAAAACATGTTGCATTTTATATGCAACGTTTAAAATGCTTGCGCCCCACTGAATAAACCCCTTATTACATAGGCATTCAGAGTAGGAAGAAGTTGTAACTTCCACTGATACAGTGTCGGTCAGATATATTCTGGGTCCCGTTGATTGTTGAGATTAAGGATGGGTATGATGATCTGATCCTAGATCTGGGTTGTCACCAGTTACCACAGCCACAAAGTTGTAAAAATCGTAAAAATTCATGAAAACAAAATGTTGCTTTTTGGTCTTAATTTAAGGTCAGGGTTAGGCATAAAGTTAGCAGTGTGGTTAGGTTTAAAATCAGATTTTAAGACATCATTATGACTTTGTGCTTGTGGTAACTAGCGACGACCCTAGATCTGTGATTGCGGATAACTTCTCCCCTGCCCCTATCGTCAGATGACAATGAAATATGAGTTCCCGCTGTGTCTCGCGATCTTCTGAATTCATAAAATTCCTACACGTCTATAAAATCGGCCATTTCGTGGTAGGCCATCCGCTGTTGCAGGGCAAGTGGGGTTATCGCTGTGTTCTTCTGTCTGCAAGTCAATTTACAACTTCGCACAATGAATGAGACCGCAGTTTCATTTGCCAAGGATTTCTTGGCTGGTGGCATCTCTGCTGCCATCTCCAAAACGGCGGTTGCTCCCATCGAGAGAGTCAAGCTTCTCCTTCAGGTAGCTATTGGTCCATAGCTAGCTAACGTTATGCCGCCGCTGCTACATGCGAAGCATCAGCTAGCTAACTTAGCAAGCTAGCTGTTTTTACTGGCTAGAGAAATGTACGCTGCTTATTATCACCCTTGCGGTAACTTAAGTGTAGCTAGCTATGTGTTTTCTTTTCAGTGTCTTAAGACTGTTATATTGATATATGTTTAATAAACGCAGGATGGGTGTTTAGCATCTTCTGTTGGTTGCCATAATTCGAGGTCATGAGATGTTTCAAATGACCTACACACGAGCCGAGCTAGCCGGTTGGCTAACGCAGTCATCATTAGCACAGGTTGGCTAGCTCGGCCACACAATGCTAACGTTAGCTAGCTAACAAAGCCAGGGCCAGTCTATGACATTGGGCAATTCATCTTTCTGTCTGGCACCTGATATAGTTAGCTACACAACTCACTAACATGTCGTAACAATTTAGCTACGTTACTCAACTAACTAGCTTGGTTTAGTAGTAAATCATACCGGTGAAATGTCCATTATCACGAATTGAACAATCGAGCTGTTAGGTAGGTAGCCACGGTGGTAGAACTGAGGTTAAACTAGCTACCTGGTTGGCATTGAAAGTCTGCAGGGTAATTTGACCGGCAAACATTACCCACCAAGTATTGGTCTGTCTTGTTCAATTAGATAGTTGATGAAAATCGATAGCAATCAGAAAGACCGGATTTAAGCAGGTGGCAAGGTCGAGACGAGCAGAGCTCAGGGATGGCTGAAGGGCTTACGTCAGTTGTACCAGCTTGCCATTTAAGGGTTTATATAGTTTATCAACTGATAAATGTTATTCAAGTTTTCTCCTATTCTTCACAGGTCCAACATGCCAGCAAGCAGATCAGCAAAGAAATGCAGTACAAGGGTATCATAGATTGTGTTACCCGCATTCCCAAGGAGCAGGGCTTCCTTGCCTTCTGGAGAGGTAACCTGGCCAATGTCATAAGATACTTCCCCACCCAGGCCCTCAACTTCGCCTTCAAAGACAAGTACAAGAATATCTTCCTTGACGGCGTAGACAAGCGCAAGCAGTTCTGGAGGTACTTCGCTGGCAACCTGGCCTCTGGCGGTGCTGCAGGAGCCACCTCCCTTTGCTTTGTCTACCCTCTTGATTTCGCCAGAACCCGTCTGGGAGCTGATGTCGGAAAGGCTGGCGCGAGAGAGTACAACGGTCTGGCAGACTGCTTGGCGAAGACGTTCAGGTCTGACGGTATGAGGGGTCTGTACCAGGGCTTCGCAGTGTCTGTCCAGGGCATCATCATCTACAGAGCTTCCTACTTCGGCATTTATGACACAGCTAAAGGTATATTCTTTTTTAAACACTGATAACATTTTCACTGAAAGCTGTTGGTTTCTGGACATTTGTGGATATGCATATGTAATATTATGTGTGGTATGTAACAGGTATGCTGCCAGACTCCCAGAAGACTTCCATCTTAGTGAGCTGGGCAATCGCTCAGTCTGTAACTGCTGTGGCCGGCCTGACCTCCTACCCCTTCGACACTGTCCGTCGTCGTATGATGATGCAGTCTGGCCGTAAAGGAGGTGAGTTTTTCCTGTCTCCCAAACCATTTAGTGTTATCACGTTTAAATGATTAGGGAGAAATTGCACATCTGGAAGACTGTAGTAGCAACATGCTATTCCAAATACTAAATTGGCATTACGTCCTAACTTGCGTGACCTTTTTCTCCAGCTGATATCATGTACTCTGGGACCATTGACTGCTGGAAGAAGATCGCTCGTGATGAGGGTGGCAAGGCCTTCTTCAAGGGAGCCTGGTCCAATGTTCTCCGAGGCATGGGTGGTGCCTTTGTGCTGGTCTTGTACGATGAGCTAAAGAAAGTCCTTTAAATTATTATTTTTTAACATCACTGTTGAATTTACATTAAATGGCTAAATGTAACTTTACTTTCCACTCCTATGGATCCTGCATTCTGCCTTATTTATGTGAACCAGCTAGTGGTATTCTACTAGTTGAGGGCGGCTGCTGTAAGTTGTGCATTTTATCATTCAAACGTTCCATTCTCATTTACCAATGTCATTCCTGTATAAGAAACCTCAAATACTACTCCTGTCCTCCAGCGGGTATGTTTCTAACCACCACTTGAATAAATTCATTATAATGGACAAACCTACCCTGGAAGGAAGGTTGTCAATGGTGTTTTCTTTTGTGGGGGGGGCTGTTAAATTAACTGTACTATTGGTATGCAGGTTTGTTGAATGTCTGGGATTCAGAGATTTTGGGAAATGAGCACTGATTGGATAATCAAATGGATGAAGTGGATTACACCACTTACTGCTATATTTACATGTGCTAATCTCCTACTTAGCCTCTGCATTGTGGCCACGGTTATGGTTGTAGTCTACTACAATTTATCATTTTAGCATGTAATAAACTGTTCTGGGTTGAGTTATTGCGTAATGATCCAAGAAGTGAAATATAGTTGCTGACAAGTTTGAACAGCCTTAACATAATATTTACTTCGTGCCAATGGTGTCAGATGCCTTGTTGGCTAGTCTTGCCATAGGCGTGTTATATGATCCCAGCACATTCCATTTTGGCTTGTGACAGCTCACACAGCTACCATTTTTTTTTATTTCTACAGTTGGAATGTAGTTGAACTCCTGTCTACATTTTATGGGATACTTTTCTTCAGTTCTAATGGAGTAGTCTACACTGGTGGGAAATCTGGTGTAGTTGGCCTACTTATGGTAGACAAAGTATGCCCTCTAGTTGTCAGAGTAAACACAAACTCCTACATTGTCCAGTTTCCAATTAAGCCCCATTTATACCTGGTTCCGTGTCCTTTGTCCTGATCTTGTCCACATTGTGTGCTCACATTTTTAGACTGGTGTAGACGATTAAAAGACATTGATCAGATCTTCCGTAGCTAGTCAGTCATTGTGTAGACTGATCTGGACAGTAAACCATTTAAATAATTATCTGCCTCAAAACAAGTGATTGACTGGTGGCACCATTGGCTTATGGCATCAATGTGTCTTAAAATAAATAGCTGTCAAATAATTTGCATACAGGGAGGAACCAGGAAAACTGGTCAATGTGTCAGTGGACAGATATTACATTTTAATACAGTGTAGACATTTCTGAAGATATGGGCACAATCAGAATTTGGACAAGATCAGGACAAAGAACGCATGTTAGCAGCACGTATAAACGAGGCTATATTGAGGTAAAATAATTAGGAAGGATTTAGTGGCCAAATTGAATCAGGGCAAAACAAATGTATCACAAATAGCTGCATGATACTGTACCTTTTATTAATCAGTAAAACTATATGAAAAGTACTTTTTTCTAATACAATGTGTTAATTATGCAATCAAAATATTTTTCCCAATGAAAGCGGGTGTTGCCAGCTGCTTCGGTAGTATCAAAATGGAATGTAACTACTATCTTGGGAGCATCTGTGACACCAGCAGACATGGGGCAAGGAGCAGCAGAAATCCTTTACTGGCCATCCCTGGATTTCCACCTGCAGCCAGACCAATGCCCTCTGATCCTGAGACACAAGACACAATAGAAAGAGGTCAGCGCAGAGAAAGTGAGATGGGTCATAATCTAATTTGCCATAATACATTCACACCCACCTTTGGTCAAAATTCCTGACCTGATATTCAACCAGTAGACAGTGCGCTGTTGGGCTACAGTGGCCCTGAAAAAAAGTGCAATGCAGATTAATGAAAGCTTGCCTGTCAAAGTGCTGTTATTCAAGCTGTGTGAGGGAAACATATTGTTTTTGCTGACTTTTAACTTAAATTGGCACATCATTAGAATTTAATGGTAAATGTACCTTTATTCTTAGAATTCTTATAATACATTACATTAGTTAACATTGTCATATAATTTGTGTAATACGTGCGGAGGAAAATGGATAATCTAGTTTTATAGACTCACAAAGGGTTCAAGATTAGATTTGGGGCTCTAGTCAATCTGTATCGCTGAAGCCTAAAGATTGCGCACTGGAAATGTAAAGTTTATTCCCGATTGAGCATACATATGCAGTGTTTCCCGTGAATGCTAACGCCGGAACATTGCTTTTAACATTGCCTCTGGAGGTAGCGGTCGAGACGTAGCAAATAGGCAAGTTTACATTTGAGTAATGTGCGTAGTCGACTGTATTTTTACGAAAAGTGTAGTAAGGGTAATGAGGCTCTAAATTTTATCAATTACGTAAAGCTGAACTTCAGCTATACACAGACCCGTCGCCAGACCTCAGTCTTAAGGGGGGCATATGAAATGCATGGGAGGGCAGGGCACAATTGTTATTAGCCTACAGTACGTATATTTAATAATAAATTCCCTCAAGTGGGGGGGCACAAGCATTTTTGGGGGCGGCCCCGGCCCCCTATGGCCCGCCCATAGCGATACAGATTGGTGGCTATACAGATTGAATAGAGCCCTTGACGTTCACGTTCTTACATGAAGTAGATAGTGCTGGTGTTGTTGGGTGGCATCCAGGTAAACACAGTAGTGCCGTCTTTCAAGTTAGTATTGGCATGGGTGATGGCACCTTGTGCATTTCCTGAGCACTTGGAGACACAATCATAGTTGTCAGCCTCTTTCTAAAATGTTTAGTTTACTCTTGGAATTCTGACCCTTGGGTCCATGCCAAACCCCAATTAGGTTAAGGATGGGAAGCTAGGAACATACCTGCAGGAATTTGGTATCTGGAGGAGGAAGTTGCCAACTTCCTAAAGCATTAGTGCTGGCTGCTGATCGGGCCTCCAGAAGCACGCCTCTGTAGTTTTCTCCAGTTATGGTCACTTATGGGGAAATACACCAACAAACAGTACAGGGTGATACAGATGTGCCATTGCGTTCCCCTTCATCTGCAGAAAGGTGGTATCTTGAATCAATGCTAAGGCATGGTAAAACAGAAAATGTAAGAGGCCTGACACACCGAAAAGTGCCTAGTTGTGGCCACTGTCATTGGCCTGCCTTATCCCTTCCACTATGAATTATGAACTGTATTTTTAAGACAACACATTTTTCTAATTTGTGAACTATTTGTTAGGGTTATTTCATAACGTCAGCAGACAAGTGTTACTGGTCCGATCAAATCAGAAAACACACCTAGTTCCTTGGACATGTCCAAAGCTGTAAGGTGTGGGTAGGATGTCCAACATCTTACCTGTAATGGGCTGGCCAGTCTGAAGGGTCCTGGTGCTGGTAAGGATGGTGTAGGGTGCTGGGGTGGGCTGTGGCTGCACCCCAGAGTGGCGAGGGACCATGTCATCACAGGCAGAGGTGGGTGCACCATTGGGAAAGCCAAAGCAGGGAGAGAGCACTTGTAGTAGGACCAAACCAAACATCAACAGCTCCATCAGGTCAAATCAAAATAATCCAGCACAGCAGCACTATGTACAGAGGGCAGGTGGGGGAAGAGTGAAATGGGAGCCTTGAATGAAGAGGGTCTTTTGAAGCAAATTACTGCTGAGTCACTCATGCACATGCCTGTGCACTAACAAGGGTGAGCCCTTGACATGCGCAAGAGCAACAGTCCCCATATTCTATTCTCCCTCTTCTCTTTTATAATAATAATAATCTCTTTTTATGGCAAAACAAAGCAACTCTTTATCCACACAGCTGTGAAAAATTACAATTATTCTCACCAGACTCGTGCACATGCCCGTGCACCAACAGGGGTGTCAGGTGAACCCTTTACCATGCGCAAGCAACAGTCCCCTGTTCCATTTCCCCAAAAATATGTTTATCCTCTTGCCGTTTCATGGAAAAACAATGCAACTCTTTCTTCTCCACACACAGCCGTGAAAAATGACAATTATTCTCACCAGACTCGTGCCTTGATGTCAGATTATCCGAACTGCAATGGAAAGTTATTGTGCAATGTTTTATCTCCAAGTCATGTCATCAACAGCAAGCATTTACACCATGATGAGGAAAGGCTCTAATCTATGGATTACTGACCATTGCTCTGGATGAGTAGAAAAATAATATTCCTACTAGTGAAATATTTCTCAAGAATCAACTCTTTCCAGCAAAAGCACTCCACGTAGCAAAAAGTGAAGCATAACAGTAAAAAAAAGAAAACAGCACCTCATACAGAATAGTCCTGAAGGTGCCAGACAGTGAGGTTTATTAGGTTTCATTTGTTTTATTAAGCACTTGAAACCAACAAAACAATTTCATAAAAATACATTTACATGAAAGTTTACTTTTATATCCTCTGATTAACTGATTTTTGTTGATATATCATCACAGATTCACAATATAATTTCATGAGGTCATGGTCTCATTTGAGCTTCTATTTTAAATCAGGAGTGCACAACTCCCTAAGAACCAACAGGCCAACTGACAATCCTTACAGAGGCAGGTAATGGTAAATAGTCACAATTGCCCAGAAAGCACACAGCTTGGTTTCCTCTCATCTGAATCAGTCACTAAAATAGACAGACAACCAGTAGACACAGAACCCTCAACACTGAAATATAACCAGAGGGCTCGATTCAATCTGTAGCGCTGAATATCAGCGTTACAGCGTGCTTGACATTTAAAAGGCAATGTTTCTGCGTTCGCGGAGACGGCATTCACTGGAAATGCTGCATACGTCAGCTCAAATCGGAAATTACCTTTATATTTAATCGCACAATAGCGCTGAACTTCAGGGATACGGATTGTATCGAGCCCCTAACCTAATGAACAGAATGAGTTCTTATCAACAGTCTCAGACATTTCAGTGATGACAACCCGTAGGACCATCAGTTCTTTTTGTGTTTGTGTTTCTTCTTTTGCTGCGAGCGTCTTTTCTTCTGAGCGCCTTGGTCTGACTCCAGGTTTATATTGGGCCCTTTCCCTGTGACTGCCTGTCTGTTGTCCTTTATTAAGTCCTCCCGAGCAATTGGCTCAATGATGGCACCTAACTGGGTGACGACCTTTGGCGCCGTGATCTTCTGCACTGTGTTTTGGGTGTTCCAGGTGCGGCCAACAGGAGAACGGATGGTGCGCTCAAACTGTGTGGGGTTCTCAAATGGGAACGGTAACTGACTCACCTGCAAGAGATGAAGAAAGAAGAAGTCAAACCATAACACAATGTCATACTTGTTTCTTTTTTTGGGGTGGGGGGGCTTCCTCCACCTCCACCCCCATATGACAAAGTCATATCTTTCTAGTAAAATAGTATGCAAGTCACTGAGCTAGGTCACCTGGTGTGCAGCAATGGAGGAATCCCGCTTCTCTGAGATGATGATGTTAGGGAGCTTTTGGTCTTGCCTTGGTGGAGGAGGAGCAACTTTTACCCGGAATCTTCAGTAAGACAAAAAAGCAAACCATATTAGGGGCACAAACTCAAAAATACCTCCACTAAACCTGCATGATACTACTTGGAGCAGTTTGTCAAATGACCACAATTCGATGCCATTGCCATCTACCTACCTCTTGCGTTTGCTACGAGAGGGTTGGAGACCGAGGCCTCCCCACTCTCCCCATCCAGGCAAAGTCAGGTCAATAACCTTCGGCCTTCCTGCTTCCTCCTGTTTCCTTTTGTCCTTCAGGAAGTCGGAGATGACATCATCCCCTGCAAAGGCCTCTTTAATGATGACCCTCTGTTCCTCCTTGTCCTGAGATGGCCATACATTACATGACAGAAAAGGCAGAGTTTAATTTCCCAGATAACAGCATAGAATACATAAAGATCTTTTTGCAGGCAGGTGCGCTGATTGGCGCATTGAAGCCTCCTGCAGATTAAAGGGCACTCGTTTCAGATGCACCTTGAAAAATACATGTATTTGTCTTGTACTGTGTCCCTTACCTCAACATCCTCGACAGCTGTTGGAGCCAACGGCACTTTGATGACCTTCGCCTCCTTGGTCAGAACCTCATTTGGATCAATCACTCTCTTTCTCTTTCTCTTTGTCTGTTGAGTTGCAGACTGAGGGTCTGTTTCCTCTGTGCTTGGCGTCTGGGTGATTAGAGGTGCTGGGTCATTGGCAGAGACGTCCTGACTGAGCAGCTCCACATCCTCCAGGGTCCTAACCCGCACCAGGCCCTCCTCCAGCAGGGCAGGGCTCTCCCCCTGGCCTACACCTGCCCCTGCCTTGGGCAGCTCAGCTGGAGGCTCCACGTGGTTCTTCACTAGCCCATGGAACAGGCTGGTGAACTCTGAGAGCCCAGCCTCCTCATCATCGTCAGAGATCTCTCCAGTCTCAGCTTTCTTCCCATCTGGAGTTTGAGTGGAAAAGGAGTTGTTGTACTTTGTGAGAGACAACACAAACACAAAACTGGGAACTTTACATTTCACTCCTGATCATGAGTATGAAACTAATCTGCAAAGACGTGACCCTACATCAATATCTTCATTACCGTCATTCTCCACCATAGACATGGGTGCAACCTCAACATCTTCAGTTTGACGCAATTTCCGCCTCTCCTCAAACCCTCTTAAAAGTGCATCTTCTTCGGTTTCCTCCATCTGGTCCTCATCCTCCTCTTGGTCATCCTGTCCTTCTCCTGGTTTTCCCACTTCTCCGTGACCAACAACAGGAGACTGTATACAGCTGCTTTCCTCCTGCACCGTAGGCTCTGTAGAAAGCTTGCCTCTCATCCATGGATTCACCTGGTCCACTATGGGCTCTGCGTCATTCACAAAGTCTGGCAAGGTCTCTGCTGAATCCTCTTCATCCTCCTCCTCATCTTCGTCAGCAGGTATTACCAACTTCTGGGTCAGATCTTTGTTCACTTCCAGCTGCGTCTGCATGGCTTTGCGAGCCTGGGGACCAAGAGAAACCAAATTAGTCTCCATCAATTTATTTCAGGCATGGGGTCTCATGACACATACCTATGGCGATATATTTGAAACATTTGATAGAAATGTATGTAGCGAGTCACAAACAAAAAAGTGTTGTGCAAATGTACAGTGGCTTGTGAAAGTATTCACCCCCTTGGCATTTTTCCTATTTTGTTGCCTTACAACCTGAAATTAAAATGGATTTTTTTGGGGATATGTATCATTTGATTTACACAACATGCCTTCCACTTTGAACACGCAACATATTTTTTTATTGTGAAACAAACAAGAAATAAGACAAAAAAACGGAAAACCTGAGTGTGCATAACTATTCACCCCCCCAAAGTCAATACTTTGTAGAGCCACCTTTTGCAGCAATTACAGCTGCAAGTCTTTTGGGGTATGTCTCTATAAGCTTGGCACATCTAGCCACTGGGATTTTTGTCCATTCTTCAAGGCAAAACTGCTCCAGCTCCTTCAAGTTGGATGGGTTCGGCTGATGTACAGCAATCTTTAAGTCATACCACAGATTCTCAATTGGATTGAGGTCTGGGCTTTGACTAGGCCATTCCAAGACATTTAAATGTTTCCCCTTAAACCACTCAAGTGTTGCTTTAGCAGTATGCTTAGGGTCATTGTCCTGCTGGAAGGTGAACCTCCGTCCCAATCTCAAATCTCTGGAAGACTGAAACAGGTTTTCCTCATGAATTTCCCTGTATTTAGCGCCATCCACCATTCCTTCAATTCTGACCAGTTTCCCAGTCCCTGCTAATGAAAAACATCCCCACAGCATGACGCTGCCAGCACCATGCTTCACTGTGGGGATGGTGTTCTCGGGGTGATGAGAGGTGTTGGGTTTGCACCAGACATAGCGTTTTCCTTGATGGCCAAAATGCTCAATTTTAGTCTCACCTGACCAGAGTACCTTCTTCCATATGTTTGGGGAGTCTCCCACATGCCTTTTGGCGAACACCAAACGTGTTTGCTTATTTTTTTCATTAAGCAATATCTTTTTTCTGGCCACTCTTCCGTAAAGGCCAGCTCTGTGGAGTGTCCAGCTTAATGTGGTCCTACGGACAGATACTCCAATCTACGCTGTAGAGCTTTGCAGCTCCTTCAGGGTTCTTTGGTCTCTTTGTTGCCTCTGATTAATGCCCTCCTTGCCTGGTCCGTGAGTTTTGGTGGGCGGCCCTCTCTTGGCATGTTTGTTGTGATGCTATATTCTTTCCATTTTTTTTATAATGGATTTTAAAAATGGTGCTCCGTGGGATGTTCAAAGTTTCTGATATTTTTTTATAACCCAACCCTGATCTGTACTTCTCCACAACTATGTCCCTGACCTGTTTGGAGAGTTCCTTGGTCTTCATGGTGCCGATTGCTTGGTGGTACACCTTGCTTAGTGGTGTTGCAGACTCTGGGGCCTTTCAGAACAGGTGTATATATACACTGAGATCATGTGACACTTAAATAATGTCCACCTGTGTGCAATCTAACTAATTATGTGACTTCTGAAGGTAATTGGTTGCACCAGATCTTATTTAGCGGCTTTATAGCAAAGGGGGTGAATACATATGCACGCACCACTTCTCAGTTATTTATTTTTTATACTTTTTTGAAACAAGATATTGTGGCCTGTGGAATGTTGTCCCACTCCTCTTCAATGGCTGTGCGATATTGCTGGATATTGGTGGGAACTGGAACACGCTGTCGTACACGTAGATCCAGAGCATCCCAAACATGTTCAATGGGTGACATGTCTGGTGAGCATGCAGGCCATGGAAGAACTGGGACATTTTCCGTTTTCAGGAATTGTGTACAGATCCTTGCGATATGGGGCCGTGCATTATTATGCTGAAACAAGAGGTGATGGCGGCGGATGAATGGCATGACAATGGGCCTCAGGATCTCGTCACGGTATTGCTGTGCATTCAAATTGCCATCGATATAATGCAATTGTGTTCGTTGTCCGTAGCTTATGCCTGCCCATACCATAACCCCACCGCCATCATGGGGCACTTTGTTCACAATGTTGAAATTAGCAAACCACTCGCCCACACAACGCCATACACGTGGTCTGCGGTTGTGAGGCCGGTTGGACATTCTACTCAATTCTATAAAACGACGTTGGAGGCAACTTTAACAGCTCTGGTGTACATTCCTGCAGTCACCATGCCAATTGCATGCTCCCTTAAAACATCTGTCGTATTGTGTTTAGAGTGGCCTTTAATTGTCCCCAGCTCAAGGTGCACCTGTGTAATGATCATGCTGTTTAATCAGCTTCTTGATATGCCACACCTATCAGGTGGATGGATTATCTTGGCAATGGAGAAATACTCACAAATAGGGATGTAAATTAATTTGCGCACACCATTTGAGAAAATTAAGCTTTTTGTGTGTATGAAAAATATAAATTATACTAAATATAAATTATACTTTTATATTTATAAAAAATACATACGACTTACATGAGCAATTAGGGTTAAGTGCCTTGTTCAAGGGCACAGACAGATTTTTCACCTAGTCGGCTCTGGGATTAGAACCAGCGACCTTTCAGTTACTGGCACAACGCTCTTAACCACTAAGCTATCTTTTATTTTAGCCCATGAAACATGGGACCAACACTTTACATGTTGTGTTTATATTTTTGTTCAGTGTAGTTTCAAAAACATACAGTATGTCATGATCCAAAAGCAAAGGAGTCATCATTAACGAAAACAGATGATTGTTTTTTTCTGGTTAACACAGCACATTTTGCCAACATATTTCTTACTTTGCAAAGACAAGTGGTCTAATATGTTTTTGTGAATGTGACATTTGTGACTCCACAGATTACTTTTGTGACCTGCATTATATATATTTGTGCCTTGCATTACATTTGACTGCCATCCCATATTTGTGAATTGCATTTTACGGCTCATTTTGTGCAGATTAAAAGCACGGCATCCATATTAGGGCTTCCTCAGGTGGGATCCTCCTGGCTAAAGCAGTGTCCACAGCGGTGGAGTGGGCTCCATCTTTGACAGGTCAGCCCTCACACACACAGGGTCCCACTTCTTAATTTAAAAAACTACATCATTTTAAACTAGAAATTAAAATTGACATCAACCTTGGTGACTGATTACATTATGTAAGACTGATAAAGAGTAGTATAAACAGTATTACCATTTGACATTTTGGATTCAGACCATAGTCATCACATTTACATGCACACCAACTTTGCATTATCATTTGCAGATTGTAATTTATTTTAGTCTTTAAAAAAATATTGGTATCTTCGTGACTCACTACTTATATATTTTAAACATTGATAGATTTCTAACTCCATATGATACCGCTCTCTTTTCTGAAAACACTGGTTCTCTCAAACTGCCAGGCCAATACATTTCAAATATATTTGCACATAAATTATTGCGACTGGTAGCTTAATATCCTTTAAAACAAACAACATCTAAAAACAGTTTAAAAGCACATTACCCCATCATCATATTTTGCCATGATGGCCTTGGACTTGGCCCATTTGCCACTGTTCTGGTGCTTCAGAGACATTCGTTCCTGTGGGAATAGAGATGAAACAGAAAAAAATAAGCAGGTTTAATGCTAATAATCACAATTTATTCTTAGGTTCTTTCAAGTTGTTTCTATCAATCTCTCCTTTCATGTAAAGGTCTCACAAAGCATATTACCTTCATTCTTGACAGTTCCATCTTCTTCAGTTCCTCCAAGGCAGCAGCAGGGTCTGTCTTAACCATTTCATCAAACTGTTTCAGATACTCCTTACGCATCACTTTCTTCTGTACCCTGTGGTATCTGGGGAAGAAATGGGAATGTTATTCATCAAGTAGTGCCTCTGATGTTTCCTTGCAGTGATGTTACACCATTCACATGCCACCTTCCTTCCACCATCTCAGTTAATCAACCTCCTCCTGGATCATCGAATTTCCTTTTACTTTGCATTACTCATCCTCCAGCAGAATTTACAGCTACACAAGTCAGGAATTTCTTCTCACCGCAAACTTGAGGAATATCAATACAACAGTTCATTTTTGTAGTGCAAAATAAATAAAGTGTCAAATAAGTATCAAACCCTCCTTAATATAGGGAACTATATTGTAAGGATATCTCAAACCCTCCTTAATATAAGGAACTATATTGTAAGGATATCTCAAACCCGCTTTAATATAGGGAACTATATTGTAAGGATATCTCAAACCCGCCTTAATATAGGGAACTATATTGTAAGGATATCTCAAACCCGCCTTAATATAGGGAACTATATTGTAAGGATATCTCAAACCCGCCTTAATATAGGGAACTATATTGTAAGGATATCTCAAACCCTCCTTAATATAGGGAACTATATTGTAAGGATATCAAACACTCACTTCTTGCTTTTTATTTTTCTTTCCCTTTTGGCTTTCGCTTCATAATAAGACTGTAGTACTCTGGCTTTTTGAAGTTCTGCACGACGGATCTTGGCCTGCAAAAAAATAAAAAAAACAATGTATTATATATTGATTGTAGATATGAGAGTCAACCAAGAAACATTTAGAAAAACTCCCCAATTTGTACATTGTCCTTTTTGTCCACATACAGAATGAAGTCAAGATCAGTAGTGTGTGCAGGCCTGTGTCCTTGCCCAGCACTAACACACCATATTCAGCTTATTTTATGCATTTCACCACATGCCGGATGTCATGCTTGAGGCGGGGACTCACCTCCACCAGACTCATGGCCCTCAGAGAGGCCTCCTCAGTGGGTGTCAGGACAGGGTCATGGAGAGGCTGCTTGTTCATGCGTAGGAGGCTGAATATCTCCTGTTCTAGGGGGGTTTGAGCCTTGAACATAAAATATGCATCTGAAATTAGTTTATAATCGTGGAACACACAGAAAAATCCAAAGGATCTTTTTACACCCACCTTCCATCCAGCTACCACCTGCTCCATGCGTTTGGGTCCAGAGGGCTCCTGGTTCAGTGGGAAGACCAGCTGCTCCGCCTTCTGGTTCTGTAGGACCACACTCTGCCAGCGAGACACCTCTTTTGACGTTTTCTCAAAAGCCACTTCTCTTTGGATCTGTAAAAGGAAATGTGTTAAATCCTCTTGAGTCGTGAACAGTGGCCTGACTAGACATCCGGCCCCCGTCGGTGTTCTTACCCTTTCTGTCTCCTTCCTGGTCAGGGGTGTCTCCAGGGTGCTCTGGTTATGTTGAAGGTTCTTCAGCTGCTTTTTCATCTTCATTAAGGCACTGGGGGTCTTATCCAAGGTTCCAATGAGGTCAGACATATTTATTTTGTCTCCTTCACCTGTCAGTCATGACACGCAGACAGACATACAGTTCAGACTCAGCTTATTGTCAAATCACATTTTGGATTTCCATCACTGTTCCTGGATCCTGTCATTACAGACATTTAGCAACACTTTTCACTAATTAACTGGCAAAATATCTTGATAAAAGCACAAGGCATTTTCATAGGAGTAAATCAGGTACATTTAGCATCATTTACCTTCTGCATTGACTGTGAATTCTGACACCTGAATGCTTGCTTCAGACCGTTCAGTAAGCTTCTTCCTGATCGTTAGAATAATGCACATTGACAAAAAACAGATCAAACATACATGACCACAAAAGCAACAAGTAAAAATGTAACATTAAATACTGGTGAATAAAATGAATTGGTGGGCCAAGTTCTCCAGTCCTCATTTCTCCTGTATAACTCCAGAAGCCCCACTCATCTAGGAAGGTACTATAGGAGCACAATGTTGCTACATCTCTCACCTCTTCTTCCCCCCGAGCGAGCTGATGGCCTCCAGCAGTTTGCAGTGTTTCCTCTCGTCATCGCTGCCTCCCTGTATCAGACAAAACACACATCAGGGCTCTACAGTGCATCCATTTTACTCGCATATGAGCCTAAATATTTTGCTGTGCGACCTGGAATTTGTATTTAGGAGCACCAGTGCGTCTAGAAAAATTACCTGGACGCACACGTGTAAAAACAATCCGTAATGAATGTGCTTTGAGAAGTCAGCTCATACAGATTCTCAATATAGTGACCGCCTCCTGCATGTTTCTAAAATTCCAAATAGACAGATATGCTACCGTCTTATTATTGCTCAAGATAATTACTGCACGTGTGTGTGTGCATCCCACCTCATCCTCACTAGCACTAATATTGTCATCAGCCAGTGCTTGATGAAGCTCCACTTCATCCTCGTCATCCATCCCCTGGACCACCGTCTCACGGGAACTGGAGTGGGGGACAAAAGAGCTTCCTGTTACTTTGCACTTAGTTACCTTTTATTCCATCAACATTAGCCCTGGAGTTCTGTGCAACGTGTAGTAGTTAGCTAGTTGGCCAACTGTCATATATATATATATATATATATATATATATATATATATATATATATATATATATATATATATATACACATACATACATACACACATACATACACACACAGTGGGGAGAACAAGTATTTGATACACTGTAAGTAGGAAAACCTGCAAAATCGGCAAAGCATGTAGAGGTCTGTAATTTTTATCATAGGTACACTTCAACTGTGAGAGACGGAATCTGAAACAAAAATCCAGAAAATCACATTGTATGATTTTTAAGTAATTAATTTGCATTTTATTGCATGACATAAGTATTTGATCACCTACCAACCAGTAAGAATTCCGGCTCTCACAGACCTGTTAGTTTTTCTTTAAGAAGCCCTCCTGTTCTCCACTCATTACCTGTATTAACTGCACCCGTTTGAACTCGTTACCTGTATAAAAGACACCTGTCCACACACTCAATCAAACAGACTCCAACCTCTCCACAATGGCCAAGACCAGAGAGCTGTGTAAGGACATCAGGGATAAAATTGTAGACCTGCACAAGGCTGGGATGGGCTACAGGACAATAGGCAAGCAGCTTGGTGAGAAGGCAACAACTGTTGGCGCAATTATTAGAAAATGGAATAAGTTCAAGATGACGGTCAATCACCCTCGGCCTGGGGCTCCATGCAAGATCTCACCTCGTGGGGCATCAATGATCATGAGGAAGGTGAGGGATCAGCCCAGAACTACACGGCAGGACCTGGTCAATGACCTGAAGAGAGCTGGGACCACAGTCTCAAAGAAAACCATTAGTAACACACTACGCCGTCATGGATTAAAATCCTGCAGCGCACGCAAGGTCCCCCTGCTCAAGCCAGCGCATGTCCAGGCCCGTCTGAAGTTTGCCAATGACCATCTGGATGATCCAGAGGAGGAATGGGAGATGGTCATGTGGTCTGATGAGACAAAAATATAGCTTTTTGGTCTAAACTCCACTCGCCGTGTTCGGAGGAAGAAGAAGGATGAGTACAACCCCAAGAACACCATCCCAACCGTGAAGCATGGAGGTGGAAACATCACTCTTTGGGGATGCTTTTCTGCAAAGGGGACAGGACGACTGCACCGTATTGAGGGGAGGATGGATGGGGCCATGTATCGCGAGATCTTGGCCAACAACCTCCTTCCCTCAGTAAGAGCATTGAAGATGGGTCGTGGCTGGGTCTTCCAGCATGACAACGACCCGAAACACACAGCCAGGGCAACTAAGGAGTGGCTCCGTAAGAAGCATCTCAAGGTCCTGGAGTGGCCTAGCCAGTCTCCAGACCTGAACCCAATAGAAAATCTTTGGAGGGAGCTGAAATTCCGTATTGCCCAGCGACAGCCCCGAAACCTGAAGGATCTGGAGAAGGTCTGTATAGAGGAGTGGGCCAAAATCCCTGCTGCAGTGTGTGCAAACCTGGTCAAGACCTACAGGAAACGTATGATCTCTGTAATTGCAAACAAAGGTTTCTGTACCAAATCTTAAGTTCTGCTTTTCTGATGTATCAAATACTTATGTCATGCAATAAAATGCAAATTAATTACTTAAATCATACAATGTGATTTTCTGGATTTTTGTTTTAGATTCAGTCTCTCACAGTTGAAGTGTACCTATGATAAAAATGACAGACCTCTACATGCTTTGTAAGTAGGACAACCTGCAAAATCGGCAGTGTATCAAATACTTGTTCTCCCCACTCTAGATACATATACACACACAAAAGTATGTGGACACCCCTTTAAATTAGTGGATGTGGCTATTTCAGCCATACCCGTTCCGGACACGTGTATAAAATCGACCACACAGCCACGCAAATCTCCATAGTCAAACATTGGCAGTAGAACGGCCTTACTGAAGAGCTCTGTGACTTTCAACGTGGCACTGTCATATGATGCCACCTTTACAACAATTCAGTAAAATTTCTGCCCTGCATTTTTGTGTATGGGTGCCCCGGTCCTCTGTAGCTCAGCTGGTAGAGAATCACCTTTCACCATCTGGCAGTCCAACTGACTAATCTGGGTTTGGTGGATGCCAGGAAAACGCTACCTGCCCCAATGCATAGTACCAACTGTAAAGTTTGGTGGAGGAAGAATAATGGTTCGGCCTTCGCCCCTTAGTTCCAGTGAAGGGAAATCTTAACGCTACAGCATACAATAACATTCTAGATGATTCTGTGCTTCCAACTTTGTGGCAACAGTTTGGGGAAGGCCCTTTCCTGTTTCAGCATGACAATGCCATTGTGCACAAAGCGAGGTCCATCCAGAAATGATTTGTCGAGATCGGTGTGGAAGAACTTGACCGGTCTGCACAGAGCCCTGACATCAACCCCATCAAACACATTTGTGATGAAGTGGAACGCCGACTGCGAGCCGGGCCTAATCGCCCGACTTCACAAATGCTTATTGGCTTAATGGAAACACCCGCAGCAATATTCCAACATCTAGTGGAAAGTCTTCCCATAAGAGTGGAGGCTGTTATAGCAGCAAGGGGACCAACTCCACATTAACGACCATGATTTTGGAATGAGATGTTCGACGTGCAGGTCTCCACATACTTTTGGTCATGTAACGTAAGAAATAAGTCACGATTACTTTGGTCAGCTAGGTAGCTAGCTTGACCGCTAATGTTAGCTAGCTAACGTAATTTGGTGTATGTGGCACCATCTGTGGCTCTCGACCTTCCATTTCAAGTAATTAGTCGCACTGTAAAGAATATAAATTGAGACCCGAGTTATTGAAAAGGTGAGTTCAGTGCACAAACCTTGTCATCTTCATAGTTTCTCCACTCTTTCGTGCAGTTTTTGACTTAGCCATTTTGACTATAAACTAGCTAGAAACACACGTGCAATGTAAATGCCGTATGGGAGTCAAATCTGTCGTATGCTGTCGTAAAAGCGCGTGCCCCACAGCTGCCATGTTCGAGTACATCAATGCTGCGTAGTGCGCAGTCAGCGCTCGTGGCCCAGATCTGCTGAAATTGACAAGTATGGGTAACAGGATACTTGGAGCACAGATTGAACAATGAGGTTAGTTATAAAAAATCTTTGCTTGGAGTGTGTCTTAAAGTTGGCGTTGCAAAAGAAGTGGGTGGATCAACAGCGATTGGTAGCTTAATGTTTACATAGCAGGTTAAGAACTAACGTAGCAGGTTAGGATAATTAAGGCGGTAGGTTAGGATAATGAGTTTAAGGTCAGGATTTGCAAAACATGCTACAGTTTTCAACAATTGATTAGAATTGCAGCCCAATCAGACACGCAAAACGGTCTTGAGTGGCAACAAATCTGCCCAATTAGCTGATTCGCTTTCCATACACCCACTTCTCTTGATCCTCCCACATCTACTGACACGGCCACTTTCAGACACACTCCGTTTATGCAGTTACCCATGACTCGAAAAATAACGCCCAACTCTAATCATGACCATCCATGTTCATAATTAATGACTTATCTTCTTCTGGTCTCTTTGAACATGAATTCCCCCAGGTTTTTCCCTGAACTCTACTATGCCTACTTACCACCAGTGGCGATTTTAGCATGTAAATCTTGGTGGGGCAAACTCCCCTCAAAAATGTAAGATGCCAGCAAAGCCACTACACAACACTAAACAATACATTAATTGCACTATAGCGGTGACAAACGGTGCCCACAAACTGTTAGGGCAGGGGTGTCAAACTCATTTTAGCTCAGGGGCCACAGGGAGGAAAATCTATTCCCAAGTGGGCCGGACCGGAAAAATCATGGTATATATAACTTAAAAACAACAACTTCAGATTGTTTTCTTTGTTTTAATACGATCAACATACAACATAAAGCTGGAGCCTGAGGACAGTGTGTCCAAAATAGTACAAGCACAACATCACTATTAATCATAAAACATGTCAAGTTTATTTGAAAATTCTAAAGAAAAAGAACACACAAACACACAATGCCTCAGTGATTAACAGAACTGTTTCACAGATCACAGAACTATATCAGGGTGTCATTTCTCAGGCAGAAATGTAGATAAAAATAATGAAATCCTGTTCCCCAAACAAGTGCAAGAACCACAGAGTCAAGAATAGGTTAAATATACAAATAAAATAAAATCAATTAAAAACAATAGCACATCAACATAAAAACATATAAACATAAATCTGAAAGCGTTGCTCAAACTCCCGTAACAGTCCCGTTATTTTATCTTTGAACCGCTTCATGTCTGCCACATGTTGGGTCGCGCACACATTTTTCAGACAGGGGAAGTGAGCTGCATCACCACCGGCAAGTTGCGTCTCCCACAATGACAGCTTCAACTTGAAAGAACGTATGCTGTCATAATACTGCGTGACAACTTTGTTGCGCCCTTGCAGCTGTTTGTTCAAGTTATTCAGGTGCTCTGTAACATCCACCATAAATGCAAGGTCCGGCATCCATTCTGCGGAATGAAATTCTAACACTGGTTTGCCCTTTTCTTCCATGAACTGTTCAATTTCTTCTCGTAAATCAAAGAAACGCCTCAGCACAGCACCTCGGCTTAACCATCTTACCTCAGTGTGGTATGGCAGGCCATAGATGTGGTCTTTCTCTCTGAGAAGGCTGTCAAACTGACGGTGATTCAGGCTTCTGGATCGGATGAAATTAACAGTTTGGATGACCACCTTCATGACGTTATCCAGCTTTAATGACTTGCAACACAAAGCCTCCTGGTGCAAAATACAGTGAAAAGTCAAAAAATCACGTCCTCCATTTGCAGATTGCACTTTCTCTCTGAACTTTGTCACAACGCCTGCTTTTTTCCAGATCATTGAGGGCGCACCATCTGTAGCCAGGCTGACAGCGCGGGACCAGTCCACTCCGACCCTGTCCAGCGCGCCGACGAGTGCGGTAAAAATATCAGCTGCTGTCGTTGTATCTGTCATCGGCACCAACTCCACGAACTCCTCGGTGACGGTCAATGTGTCATCAACTCCGCGGATGAAAAAATGGCCAGTTGTGCAACATCTGTAATGTCCGTGCTTTCATCAATTGCAACCGAAAACGCAATAAATGACTTTACTTTTTGCTTCAACTGGCTGTCCAAATCCACTGAAAGATCGGAAATCCTGTCTGCAACTGTGTTTCTTGTCAGGCTGATATTTGCAAAAGCCTGCCGCTTTTCAGGGCACACAATCTCCGCTGCCTTCATCATGCATGTTTTTACAAATTCACCCTCACTAAATGGTTTTGAAGCCACTGCGATTTCATTAGCAATGAGGTAGCTAGCTTTCACTGCAGCGTCACTGATGTCTCGGCTGTGAGTAAACACAGACTGCTGTTTCTTCAGACCCGCCAACAGTTCATTCACCTTCTCTCATCTCCGCTGTCCTTGAAAGTTGTCATATTTGTCGGCATGAAGACTCACATAGTGGCGACGAAGGTTATATTCTTTCAGCACTGCAACATGCTCTGAACACACCAAACATACAGCTTTCCCATTCAATTCCGTGATTAAATAGGATGGCCATTTTTCTTGGAACACTCTGCGTCCACGTTTCTCTTTTTTGACAGAGACATATTGGGGCAATGAGGGTGCCAAAGCACATAATGTTAAAAGTAGAAGCCGTAATAAATATCGCGGGCAAAACAAAGTAGCTCATTGGCTGCACGTGCTTGACCTACTTGCTCTGCCCCGGTATAAACAGTTTGCTTGCTTATCACAATTGCTATTGCGCCATCCAGTGGACGCAATTGGAACAGCAGTTTATTTTATAGAAAAATATGTTTTATTTTTAATCATCTCGCGGGCCGGATTAAACCCGTTTGCGGGCCTGATCCGGCCCGCGGGCCGTACGTTTGACACCCCTGTGTTAGGGCCTACATAAAGCTGTCCCAACAGCAGAGCTTTCTTTTCAGCACCATGGAGTGAATCGTTACAACTGCTACACCTGGCTATCAGCAGAGCCTTGTCTGACAGCGAAATAGTTCATTCAGCCTCATTTACTTCCTTAAAAAAAAAACATAGCTGATATGGCTGACTTGCCTAAACAAATGTGTTTTTTTTACTGACAATTGAGATGTACAAACTATGGCATAAGGGTATGACGAGCGGATAAGAGGCAATCCGTAATTTAGATTAAGACATTCATGAGCGAGCTAGGACGGACGTCGTCAATATAACTATTTGTTCAGCACTTTTGAAATGTACAGCGACAGAATTCAGAAAATGGGCCATTCTTACAGTATTCTCCCTGTACACCAAGTCAGAACTGTAGGATAAATAAAGGGGGCATATAAGCAGACAATGAAAGCTCTTACAATATTCGCTGATTACATTTCTCTAAAACAGGCTATAGGCTACATGTGCACCACCAAGTCAGAACAGTAGGCTAAGTTATGAGGGGGAAAGGGACCAAATTATTAGGGTGAGGCACATGGGCTACTAACAGTTTACTACACAACATACACTTAGTATTACTTTCTTAGCTACAGTATACATATCTCTCTGGTATATTACATAATTTATGCAGTAACATACAATACATTTTTGGACTCACCTTGTTGTGCTGTACTCACTTGAACAGAAAGGTGGCACGGCGGTCCTTGTTGGCAAATTTTGTTATCAAACTTTGTCATCAAAGTCTGGCATTCTCTGGATTTATGGCGCTTTCAAGACAACTGGGAACTCGGAAAAACACAAGGTCGAATCATGACATCAGTGATCTTCAGGTCGGAGCTCTAGAAAGAGGCCCGAGTTCCAGACTTGGAATTATGAGTTAGATGACCATTCAAAACGTATTTTCCCAGTCGGAGCTCGTTTTTTCCGAGTTCCCAGATGTCTTGAATTTACTTTAGTCATACTGGATTGACAGCATGGCCAATGTATTCAAACTTTTCTGGCCCATGGTGTTGAGTGTTTATCCTTTTATGCTTGGAAAAGAGACCCTTAAACCTTGGACCACACACCCACTCCACTGAATAGCAGGCTAGTGATTGCTTTGCAACACTTACATTTACATTTTACATTTTAGTCATTTAGCAGACGCTCTTATCCAAAGCGATTTACAGTTAGTTAGTGCATACATTATTTATTTTTTCATACCTCCTGTGGGAATCGAACCCACTATCAACTGAGCTACATCCCTGCCAGCCATTCCCTCCCCTAGCCTGGACGACGCTGGGCCAATTGCGCGCCGCCCCATCACTTGCAGTTAGCCACTGATTCCTTCCAAACTACTCATTGTTGAATTTGCGATTTCCAACTGGTTGTGTAATGTTTATATCCAATGGCCGATGAGCACCGATACCTTTTATCTATAATTTATCTTCATATGACAAGGATTGAAAAGGATTTGCCAGTAGATTGTAGACTTGATTCATGACGATGACTGCTTGTCTAGCTTGCTAGCTAAGATTTAGAAAGTATGATGTTAACATGATCAGTCCAATCAAAGCTAAGGTAGATATAACGTGATTTGATGTAATTTCATCTGTGGCCAATGACCTTGAGCCTTCTTGGATGGGCACTTCTAATGTAACTATATGGCAGCACCCAAGGGGCTTGAATTTTCGAGCTCTCTGTAGATTTTGCGGTGACGTAGTGTCCCCATGAGTGACAGAACACTGAGCCAATCACGTCGCAACTAGAGAACATTACCAACCCCTATGCTCCGTATTTTCCGCTGGCTGCCCCTTTGGAGCTGCCTTACTCTAGAAAGCAAATAAGCCCTGAATGACGGGTCGCCACTGCTTTCCACAACCACTGTACTGCTGTGTTTTTGTATTATCTATATCTGATTGTGTGTTGCTTTGTTGTTTGACTATTATGTTGCATGTATCTGAGAGGCTGTGGAAACAATTTTCCTCTAAGAAGACAATGAAGTATTGGTCTACAGGTAACTG